TATGACATTATAGCCTGCTCGCTGGAAGACTTTGAAAGTAGGTCACTCCTGCCTTGGTATTTGATACTGATTTGTTAAGGACGATTTAGACACGGACGTGAGATTCACAGCTGGTAAGATTGGTAGTGGTCGGTGGTCTTGCATACCTAACTTTGGCTTGACGCAGATGTGATCAAAGAGCGGTTCTCGCCCAAAAAGAAGAGGGTGTCTAATCAAGCTGAGCGAGGTGTGTGTCAAAATTTGTGTGACGGTGGATTCTGACAGGCAACAGGTATCACGGACTGGACCCTGAAAGATATGCCAGACCCCCAGGGGCTTTATCAGTCTGCTATCAAACTTTATGCCCTCGAGGATGTTCCTGTCATGGTTCCTAATGTCCGTGACGCCGCGGGGGTGCTCATGCACCCGTCAGAGTACACTCAGAAATTCACTGGACCTGTGCCTGTCGTCGTGGATGTCAATTTACGACTGTGAGTGTGTGCTTGATCAAAAGGCTGTTGGCTGACCTGGCACCACACAGCTGGACTTTTGGTCCTGACGAGAGGCGTCCGTACGGCTCTCGTGTGTACCAAACGGGACTGAGGTCGATGAGGCTGCTGCCAACGACCGGTGCTGCCAAGGGCCTCTTCACCAAACCTGCTACCAAAGCTACAGAGGGCAAAGGGAAGCGCAAGGCCGACGGACCAGCGGGACAAGCTTCACCAGCGAAGAGAGGAGCAGGCCAGAGCAAGGCTGCTTGAGACTGCAAGTTTTATCCACTTGCTTGGAAATTTGAATTTCTCACTGTTCCTTTGTTTCTTCATCTGCGGTCGTGGCATTTGTCGCGGCAAATTCTTGTCTTGTTCTTGATTTGGAAGTTCTCGGTTCTTGTGCAGTTACTGCAGTAGAGCATTTGCACTACGTTAACCTACGTCCTTGTCGAGCGATTGCATCGTACGGCGCTATAGCCTGTGTATTACTGTATCGTCGGCAACTTTATTTATTCGACTGATTATCTGTTGGCCTTGACTCAAAAATGTGTGATGTGCCTAAAAGGGACTCGGGGTTTTTGGCGCGTAGTCGCCGGTACCCATGTATATAGTCTTTAAATTATTATGGTCAATGCGCCGGGTAGAGATACGCCGTCAAGTACGATAACGTTGAGCTCAGTCAGCAACTGTGCACGTGATGGTGATGCGGTGATGGCTTGCCTGGTCCAGATCTTTCAGCTTGGATTCAGTGTGTTCGTCATTTATTTTTTTCGTGCTCAATGATTAAGTCACTGGTTTAAAGTGATCAATGCTAAAGTCAATAAGATTTTCAAACATCATATTCTCACTTAAAAAGACCTGAGTGCCATTTCAGTGATAGACCTACCGAAAACTTACGCGATCAGTGACGAACGCATGTAAATCAATTAATTTTACTACCCACAGTGTCTTGAATCTACTTTGGGAGGCGCATTGAGCACACTCTTCTCTTCGTTCGTTTCGGCATCTCGGATGACTTCATTCGTTGCCCTATGATTGCTCCATGCTCTCAAAAACATGCTACCTAGTCACCGTTCTAACATGACATACGCTCAAACTACCCCAAATTTGAATGTAATGCTACATATACATACAATAGACCATCAATTAACTGCACGCTCGATATCGTACTCCACGAAGTGTCTCTGGAATATCCGCAAGTCAATTTACTGGAACAAGATCATCGTAATCAAGAGCTACAACGATCGAATTGATTAACTGCGAGGAACGGAAAAGTTAAGAGACTTACTCCTCGTAGCAGTGCTGCCAGCGTGTCCCATGTGCCATACGACTCAAATCAAGCTCAACACATTCTCTCCCAATCACTAATGCAGTTCGAGGATTATAAAATGGTTCTCGAGAAGCGGGTGGTACCCAGAATAAGAGTCGACGATTGGGTCCTAACACCCATCCATCATCTCCCAGCAAAAACGTGTGGTCGTCATGGGGGGTGCCTGCGAGTAGCTCGGCAGTGTCGCACAGTGCATGAGACGAGTTTGATGAGAAGAAAATGAAGTAATCGTTCGCAGTGTTGGGTGTGGGGATGGCCGCTGTTGAATGTGGAATGCAGCTGCCATGCGAGGAGGATGCTGAACAGTCTTCTTCGGCGCGGTCCAGCAATGACTTCCAAATCACCGCATACCAGACCCGAGCAGTATAATCCGACGAACAAGAAATGATGCGAGTCCCGTCCCGCGAGAAAGAGACTGAGTGGACCCAATGAGTGTGCCCCCGCAAGGGCTGCCCAATTGGCTGCCCGGTTGCTGCATCCCACAGCCGGACAGTCTGATCTTCTGAACCAGACACAATGCGAGTCCCATCCGGCGAGAACGAGACCGATCTGATCAGATCAGTGTGTCCCTTCAAGGGCTCACCGACTGGCTGCCCCGTTCCTACATCCCACAGCCGAATTGTCTTATCTTCCGAACCAGAAACGATGCGAGTCCCATCCAGAGAGAATGAGAATGAGTAAACCGAACCAGTGTGCCCCAGCAAGGGCTCACTGACTGGCTGCCATGTCGCTGCATCCAACAGCCGGATAGTGCCATCCTGCGAACCAGTCGCGATGCGGGTCCCATCTGGCGATAGCGAGACTGAGGTAATTGAATTAGTGTGCCCTCGCAAGGGCTCACCAACTGGCTGTCCTGTAGCTGCGTTCCATAGTCGGACAGTGTTATCTCTAGAACCAGTCGCGATGCGAGTCCCATCCAGAGAGAATGAGATTGAGTTAACTTTATCAGTGTGCCCACGGAGAGGCACGCCCACTGACTGCCCCGTCCCTGAATCCCACAGCCAGACAGTCATATCCGTATAACAAGTTGCGATGCGAGTCCAATCCGGAGATAACACGACTGAGTAAACCTTCTTAGCGTGCACCAAGGGCTCACCAACTGGCTGTCCTGTCACTGCATCCAACGGCCAGATAGTGCCATCCAAAGAAAGAGTCGCGATGCGGGCCCCATCCGGCGATAGGGAGGCTGAGATAACTGGTATGATGTGCCCTCTTGAGGGCTCACTAACTGGCTGCCCTGTAGGTGCATCCCACAGTCGGACAGTGTTATCCATAGAACCAGTCGCGATGCGAGTCCCATCCGGAGAGAATAAGACTGAGAAGACAAAACCAGTGTGCCCCAGCAAGGGTATACCGATTTGCTTCGCTGTAGCTACATCCCACAGTCGGACAGTCTCATCATGTGAACCTGTCACGATGCGGCTTCCATCCGGCGAGAACGAAACTGATACAACCACATTAGTGTGCCCCTTCAAGGGCTCACAGAGAGGCTTTCTCGTTGCTGCATCCCACAGCCGAACAGAACAATCCCAAGAACCAGATGCGATGCGAGTCCCATCCGGAGAGAACGAGACTGATGTGACCCAATAAGTGTGCCCTTTCAAGGGCTCACCGGCTGGCTGTCCCGTTGCTACATCCCACAGCCGGATAGTCTTATCACGTGAACCAGAAACGACGCTAGTCTCATCCGGTGAGAATGACACTGAAGTAACTGAGTCGGTGTGCCCCCGTAAGGGTTCACCAATTGCCTGCCGCGTTGCTGCATTCCACAGCCGGACTGTCTTATCGTGCGAACCCGTTACGATGCGAGATCCGTTCGGCGAGAATGAGACTGAGGTAACCGGCTCAGTATGCCCCAATAAGGGTTCGCCAATGGGCTGCCGCGTTGCTACATCCCACAACCGGACAGTGTTATCGGCCGAGCCAGACACGACGCGTGTCCCATCCGGTGAGAAAGAAACTGAGGTAACTGAAGAAGTGTGCCCCAGCAAGGGCGTGCCTACTGGCTGCCCAGTCGCTGCATCCCACAGCCGCACAGTGCGATCCCATGATCCAGTCGCAATGTGAGTCGCATCTGGCGAGAACGTGACTGAGCAAACAGAACTAGTGTGCCCTCTGATCACACTCTGAACACCCTTCCAATTGACATTACGTCCAGATGTCAGACGAAGAGAGTTAGGAAACCGTGCATAAAACGTTCTGGAGATTGCAGAGTTGATGGGCGAGAATGGCAGTGCTGACACATAGAGATGCGGTGTGCTGTGCAAGATGAGGCCGCCGAAGACTTGGATAAATCTCTGCACGTCCATTGCAGCGGATGAGGCATCTTCGAACCCGGCGTGACCCTGCAATTGCGATTGCGCGTGAGTAAGTATGTTATTCAACACTCAATAAACATGTGCTCACCTTCAGCCACTTGGCAATAAACGGAAGGGCGGCGGCTGTACAGCTGAGCGTATTCATAAGGCCGAGTGCTTCGAGCCAGAATAACAGTTGCTCATGCTCGAAGAATGATTTTATTTCTTTGGCGAGTTCTGGATTGAAGTGAGTTGTCTGCACGTGGTCAGGCCAAAATCGACAGGAATAGGATAGGTGTGGGGAGATGCATTTTTCAACTCGTTCTTGCAGCCCGGGATCTTCGGAGTTGGGCAGATATGATGATTTTAGATCGCAGATATTGAAGGAAAGTTCATGCTCCATCACTCGAAGTGATGCGAAAGCAAGGTCGTGCTGCACTTTTGACACGTCAATGAAAAAGTCTCCACTGTGTGATCGGTCCGTCAGGAAATCGCGGAAGGATGCGTGGAGGGGCCGGATGGGGGTGGATGAGTTTGTGGTGCCGCTGAGGAGGGGTCCCATATATTCGACCATGAGTTGCACTTCGTATTGCTCGCTTTTGTCTGGAAAATGGCGCCGCATGGCGTTCAGGGACTCCAAAGGGAGGGGTTCAGATGCGCCAAGGATTTGTCCCATCACAGAACGAAATCTCGTTAGCTGTTTGTGCTGAGACGCGGAATGTGTAGATTTGTCCATTCGCATGATCTCTGTCAGAATGAACTGATACAGATCATACAACAAGTTTTCCCGTTCAGCGGGATTGCGGGACACCACAGCGTCGAAGGACTCGATTGGAGATAAACCAGGAGGGGGCGCTTTGATGGATTCGCAAGCAAGACGTGCCCACTCGAAAAGACCTTCAGCTTTCTTGGCGAGGACTGTAAAGTCTTTGTCCCCAAATTGCGAAAGCCCTTCCAGCTTCTTCGACACGTAAGCATAGATATCGCGTTCCGCGACTTCTGGTGGAATGTCGTCCATGGAAATCCTTCGAATGTGTTGAGTGCCCGCAAACGCATTCTGAATGTCACGAAGTGGGCGAGAGGTAACGATAAACCGGAAGCTGTTTGGGAGCTCCGTGATTTGGGGAACAGCAGAGCTCTGGAGTTTACCAGAAAGAATGTGAAGAAGGTCGGTTCGTGTCTTGGCCGCACCACTCTCGTCCAGTGCGTCGATCACGATCACGACAGGGCCCACGGTTGACTCTGAGAGCTTCTGTAGCGGTTCCATCAGAAGCTTCTGCCATTGCTGGACGATGTCAGCTGTAGTCTTGAGCGCACTGGCATGCTGAACTGTGTCTGCCAACGCTCGCCTCATCCCTGAATCACGGTCAGCCAGGTCGCGTGCAATGGTAGAAAATATCTTTTCATGGCTACGGTCGGCTTCTCGATCTCGGTCAAAGCAATAACATGAACCAAGCCCTCCCGCATCGCTGAACCACTTAGCAATCGTGTGGGCGATGGCTGATTTGCCCTTGCCTGCAGTGCCAGATAGCCACAGCACGCGTGGAACGTCGTCTCCAGTGCTGTTGACCCAATCTGTGATCTGGGAGAGTATTTCCGTGCGCGTCCCTTGCAGGCATTGTTTCCTGGTGTCTAGCCCTGCGTTCGCGGCATAAGTTATACCACTGAGGTCCAGTAGTTCGCCTGAATAGGAATGAATAGCTGTTGCGTCAGAAGCAAGTACAATCCTTACCTGTGTGGTGGGTATAAATAGCTACGTCCCGACTAACTCGGTCTCGGAAGTTTTGTATGAGCGCATCCAACACATCACTGTACCGTTGAATTTCATTATTTGTTTCAGTGAGAATGTCTTTCCCGAGTCTCTTCCCTGTTATAACAGCAGAAGACTGAGTGTGTGGAACGTGCAACAGCTTGAAGACTCACAGAAGCTCTTGGTCTCTGAATAATCTCTGATGAAGCGGGCGCATTCAAGGGTCTGCTGAGAGATCTGTCCAAGGATACCGCGCATCGATGAAATCTGGCCAAGCGTCTCGTCCTGTATCATGAAGCTGTAAACTTGATCTAACTTGTCGACAAGACGAAGCACTGCTTGGTCGCGATCCGATTGGGCGATGACTATCTACACCGATGACTCCTGAGCGGGTAATAGAAACAAGAGAGGAATCTAACATACTTTTGATGCACAAGACAAGACGCCCAGTGCAATCTTTGCATATGGATGTACCTATGGAACAGGATTAGTTCGGTTCCAACCACTGGAGGAATGGGCCCATACACCTGTGAGCTTCCCGATAACATTGTCGAATATCCTGAGGGGTTGAAGATATGTGTCCTGGAAATTATATACATCCTCGAGATCCGCTGAAGTATTTTGGGCGGCGCATACTCCAGATCCCACAGGCCCCGAAAGTAGATTCATGTCTTTGACAGCCTTTTTGGCATCTCGAAGTGCCGATTGGGGATCAGCACATCGTTCGACGCCTGAAGAGGCATCCTGAACCTGCGCGGCCAACAGAATTTATGGAGAGTGTATAAAGTGAGAGGTGATCTACCTTGATATTCGGAATCGATGAGGCATCTTCACGATCAAGGTTCGTAAGAATGTAGTGGGAACCCTTCGAGTGCTTTTGTACGATCGCATGAGCCTCGTTCCAGGAGACTCAGGATCCTTGTCGACTCACAGAAATATTTTTAGTTACATTCTTAACCTTCCCTAGAAACCGACGAATTTTGCCAAGGCGTTTGTCCTGGATTAAGGATGCATCAGAGTCAATGCTTCGAGTGAAATGAGAAGTGGTCATCAGAACATACCGAACTTTCGCCAGTGGTTGCTTCACTGGACGCGCGGTTGCCAAGAGGAGGGTCTTGCCCTGAGTTCCTTGATTGATTGTGTTCACTCATCATTTGAAATAGTTGATGGAGGATCAGTCTTGAGCGAAGTAGAGTGGGATATGTAGTTGGAGGAAGTGAAGGGTGTCCCCGCTTCAGCGTTTAGATAACAGGTCACACCCTTGGCCGCAAGCCTCGAGGCAATACTATTTGCTGCTGTATTGACTGGGCGCCTCTTCGGAACTCCGGGAAATGCAAGGAAGTCAAAAGAACGATTATCGCCTTTGATATTCCTATACCCGTCTGCCTCGAGAGTATGAAAAACGCCACGCTGATCACAGACACGCCAGTGAGTGATGTATGCACGCAAAGACTTACCAGTGGCCCTTTATTGGCCCATCGAAGCTTGTTTGAGGTTGAGAAAAATACGCGATCATACTATGTAGTCACTATTCGCTGCAACTAATGGTGTTGTCGAAGGACCTCACCCCCAGGTTGCCGCTTGAGATTAGCTTGAATTTCAAACCGCGTGCGCAAATAGGATGACTTGCCAAGCTTGCGTCGAGTCGCTTCCTCGTCATCTGTTGATCTGACGTACGTGCTGCACTGGATCACTTTCTTTCCTCATCACATAAACCTGTGTATGTGGCTGTGTGCAAACGAAGCCAAGTGACCCCAGAACATCCAAACACTGCGCCCCCCGCTGCCGCTGCAATCTTCTGTTTGTCGAATCTACTTTGGGAGGCACACTGAGCACTCTCTTCTCTTGATTCGTTTCGGCATCTCGGATGACTTCATTCGTTGCCCTATGATTGCTCCGGAGTCCAATTCGAATGTAATGCTGCATATACATACAGTAGACCATCAATTAACTGCACACTCGATATCGTACTCCACGAAGTGTTTCTGGCATATCCGCAAATCAATTTACTGGAACAAGATCATCGTAATCAAGAGCTACAATGATCGAATTGGTTAACTGCGAGGAACGGAAAAGGCTGGAGACTCACTCCTCGTGGCAGTGCTGCCAGCGTGTCCCATGTGCCATGCGACTCAAATCCAGCTCTGGACCTCCACTAGGTAACACCAATGCAGTCCGAGGATTATAAAGTAGTGTTCGAGAAGCGGGTGGTACCCAGAATAAGAGCCGACCATTGGGTCCTAACACCCATCCATCGTCTCCCAGCATAAACGTGTGGTCGTCATGTGGGGTGCCTGCAAGTAGCTCAGCAGTGTCGCACAGTGCATGTATCATCGGGATTGATGAGAAGGAAATAAAGTCATTGTTTGCAGTGTTGGGTGTGGGGATGGCCGCTGTTGGATGTGGGATGTAATTACCATGCAGGAAGTATGCTGAACGGTCTTCTTCAGCGTAATCCTGAAACAACCTCCCAACCGCTGCATGCCAGACCCGGACAGTCCTATCCCATGAACAAGAAATGATGCGAGTCCCATCCCGCGAGAAAGAGACTGAGTTGACCAAGTCAGTGTGCCCCCGCAAGGGCTGACCAATTGACTGCCCAGTTGCTACATCCCACAGTCGGACAGTCTTATCTCCAGAACCAGTCGCGATGCGAGTTCCATCCGGAGAGAACGAGACTGATAGGACATAACTAGTGTGCCACAGCAAGGGCTCACCGAGTGGCTTCCCTGTAACTGCATCCCATAATCGGACAGTTTGATCATCTGAACCTGTCGCGATGTGACTCCCGTCTGGCGAGAACGAAACTGACCTAACCCAATCAGCGTGCCCCTTCAAGGGCTTACAGACAGGCTCCCTCTTCGCTGCATCCCACAACCGGACAGTCTTATCAGCCGAACCAGATGCGATGCGAGTCCCATCCGGAGAGAATGAGACTGACATAATTGATTTAGTGTGTCCTCGCAAGGGCTTACCAACTGGCTGCCCCGTTCCTGCATCCCACAGCCGGATTGTCTCATCGTTCGAACCAGAAACGATGTAAGTCCCATCCGGTGAGAACGACACCGAGGTAACCGTATCAGTGTGCCCCCGTAAGGGATCGCCAATTGGCTGCTGCGTTTCTGCATTCCAGAGCCGGATTGTCTTATCTACAGAACATGTCGCAATGCGAGTGCCATCCGGAGAGAATGAGATTGAGTAAACCGAACCGGTGTGCCCCAGTAAGGGCTCACCAACCGGCTGCCCTGTCGCTGCATCCAACAACCGGACAGTACTATCCTCCGAACCAGTCGCGATGCGGGTCCCATCCAGCGATAGCGAGACCGAGATAATTGAATTAGTGGGCCCTTGCAAGGGGCCACCAACTGGCTGCCTTGTAGCGGCATTCCACAATCGGACAGTATTATCTCCAGAACCAGTCGCGATGCGAGTCCCATCAGGGGAGAACGAGACTGAGAAGACATGACCAGTGTGCCCCAGCAAGGGCTCACCCACTGGCTTCCCTGTAGCTGCATTCCACAGTCGGACAGTCTGATCGTCTGAGCCTGTCACAATGCAACTTCCGTCCGGCGAGAACGAAACTGACCTAACGTAGTCAGTATGCCCCTCCAAGGGCTCACAGGCAGGCTTCCCCAACATTGCATCCCACAGCCTGACAGTCTCATCGTCCGAAACAGATGCGACGCGAGTCCCGTCCGGAGAGAACGAGACTGATCTGACAAAATCGGTGTGCCCTTCCAAGGGCTCACCGGCTGGCTGTCCCGTTGCTACTTCCCACAGCCGGACAGTCTTATCACGTGAACCAGAAACGACGCAAGTCTCATCCGGCGAGAACGACACTGAGGTAACTGAAGAAGTGTGCCCCCGTAATGGTTCACCGATTGGCTGCAGCGTTGCCGCATTCCACAGCCGGACTGTATTATCGTCTGAACCTGTCACGATGCGGGAACCCTTCGGCGAGAACGAGACTGAGTTGACCGACTCGATATGCCCCAATAAGGGTTTACCAATGGGCTGCCGCGTCGCTACATCCCACAGCCGCACAGTCTTATCGACCGAGCCAGACACGATGCGTGTCCCATCCGGCGAGAAAGAAACTGAGGTAACAGAAGAAGTGTGCCCCAGCAAGGGCCCGCCTACTGGCTGTCCAGTCACTGTATCCCACAGTCGCACAGTGCAATCCAATGATCCAGTCGCAATGCGAGTCCCATCCGGCGAGAACGACAATGAGTTAACGTCATTGGTGTGCCCGGTGATCACAGTCTGAACATCCGTCCAGTTGATATCACGTCCAGATGCCACACGAAGAGATCTAGGAAACTGTGCGGCAAACGTTCTGGATAGTGCAGAGTTTACGGGCGAGAACGGCAGTGCTGATACATAGAGATGCGGCGTGCTGTGCAAGATGGTGCCGCTGAAGACTTGGATAAATCTCTGCACGTCCATTGCAGCGGATGATGCATCTTCATATCCGGTGTGACCCTGCAATCGCGATCGCGCGTGAGTGTGCATGTAATCCGACGCTCAATAAGCATGTGCTCACCTTCAACCACTTGGTAATAAGAGGAAGTGCGGGGACTGCGCCGCCGAGCGCCTTCATAAGGCCGAGTGCTTCAAGCCAGAATAACAGTCGCTCATGCTCGAAGAATGATTTTATTTCTTTGGCGAGTTCTGGATTGAAGTAAGTTGTTTGCACGTGGACAGGCCAAAATCGGCAGGCATAGGATAGGTGTGGGGGGATGCATTTATCAACTCGTTCTTGCAGCCCGGGATCCGCAGAGTTGGGGAGATATGATGATTTTAGATCGCAGATATTGAAGGAAAGTTCATGCTCCATCACTCGAAGTGATGCAAACGCAAGGTCGTGTTGTACTTTTGACACGTCAATGAAAAACACTCCACTGTGTGATTGGTCCGTCAGGAAATCGCGAAAGGATGCATGAAGGAGTCGGATTGGGGTAGATGAGTTGGTGGCGCCGCTGAGGAGGGATCCCATATGTTCTACTATGACCTCCACTTCGTAACGCTCGTTTGCATCTACAAAATGGCTCCGCATGGCATTCAGGGAATTCAAAGAGAGAGGTTCAGCTGTGCTAAGAATTTGTCCCATTACGGAACGAAATGTCGCTAGCTGTGTTTGCTGGAACTCGGGGTTTGTGTGTTTATCCTTTCGCATGATCTCCGTAAGAATGAAGTCATACATATCGTACAACAAGTGCTCCCGTTTGACAGGATCGCGGGACACCATAACATCGAAGGACTGATCGGAGGATAAGCCAGGAGGGGGTGCTTCGATGGATTCGCAAGCAAGACGTGCCCACTCGAAAAGACCTTCAGCTTTCTTGGCGAGGGCTGTAAACTCTTTGCTCCCAAATTGCGAAAGCCCCTCCAGCTTCTTCGACACGTAAGCGTAGATATCGCGTTCCGCGACTTCTGGTGGAATGTCGTCCATGGAAATCCTTCGAATGTGTGGAGCGCCCGCAAACGCATTCTGAATATCGCGAAGCGGGCGAGAGGTAACAATAAACCGGAAGTTCTTTGGGAGCTCCGTGATCTGGGGAACAGCAGAGTTCTGAAGTTTACCAGAAAGAATGCGAAGAAGATGGGATCGTGTCTTGGCTGCGCCACTCTCGTCCAGTGCGTCGATCACGATCACGACAGGACCCACGGTTGACTCTGAGAGCTTCTGCAATGGCTCCATTAGAAGCTTCTGCCATTGCTGGATGATATCAGCTGTAGTCTTGAGCGCACTGGCATGCTGAACTGTGTCTGCCAACGCTCGCCTCATCCCTGAATCACGGTCAGCCAGGTCGCACGCGATGGTAGAAAATATCTTCTCATGGCGACGGTCGGCTTCTCGATCTCGGTCAAAGCAATAACATGAACCAAGCCCTCCCGCATCGCTGAACCACTTAGCAATTGTATGGGCGATGGCTGATTTGCCCTTGCCTGCAGGGCCAGATAGCCACAGCACGCGTGGAACGTCGTCTCCAGTGCTGTTGACCCAATCTGTGATCTGGGAGAGTATTTCCGTGCGCGTCCCTTGCAGGCATTGTTTCCTGGTGTCTAGCCCTGCGTTCGCTGCATAAGTTATACCACTGAGGTCCAGTAGTTCGCCTGAAGAGGAATGAATAGTTGTTGCGTCAGACGCAAGTACAATCCTTACCTGTATGGTGGGTGTAAATAGCTACGTCCCGAGCAGCTTGGTCCCGGAAGTTTTGCATGAGCGCATCCAACACATCGCTGTACCGTTGAATTTCATTATTTGTTTCAGCGAGAATGTCTTTCCCGAGTCTCTTCCCTGTTATAATAGCAGAAGACTGAGTGTGTGGAACGTGCAACAGCTTGAAGACTCACAGAAGCTCTTGGTCTCTGAATAATCTCTGATGAAGCGGGCGCATTCAAGGGTCTGCTGAGATATTTGTCCGAGGATACTGCGCATCGATGAAATCTGGCCAAGCGTCTCGTCCTGTATCATGAAGCCGTAAACTTGGTCCAACTTGTCAACAAGACGATGTACTGCTTGGTCGCGATCCGATTGGGCGATGACCATCTACACCAATGGCTGCTCAGCGGGAGATAGAAGCGAGGGAGGGACGAGACGTACTTCTGATGCACTAGATAGCACGCCCAGTGCAATCTTCGCATATGGATGTACCTAGGGAACGGAATTAGTTCTGTTCCAACCGGAAGGAATGGGTCATACATCCGCGAGCGTCCCGATAACTGTGTGGAATATCTTGAGGGGTCGAAGATATGTATCCTGGAAATTATATGCAGCCTCGAGATCCGCTGATGAATTTTGGGCGGTAGATACTCCAGATGACATATGTCCCGAAAGTGGCTTCATGAGTTTCATAACCTCTTTGGCGTCTTGAAGTGCCGATTGGGGATCGGCGCTTTGTTCCGCACCAGAGAGAGCATCCTGAACCTGCACGACCAGTAGAGTTTAGAGAGAGCATACACTAAAAGGTGACCTACCTTGATATCCGGAATCAATGAGGCACCTTCACGATCAACGTTCGGAAGAACAGGGTCGCGGCCGCGGGAATCCTTCGAGTGCTTTTGTACGATCACATGAGCCTTTTTCCAGGAAACTCAATATCCTTGTTGACTCACAGGAATCTTTTCAGTGGCATTCTTAAACTTCCCTAGAAACCGACGAATTTTGCCACGGCGTCTGCCCTGGATGAAGGATGCATCAGAGTTGATGTTTCGAGTGAAATGAGACGTGTTCCTCATCAGGAACTCACCGAACTTTCACCAGTGGTTGCTTCACTCGATATGCGGTTGTCAGGAGGAGGATCTTGCCTTGAGTTCTTTGATTGATTGCGTTCAAGGCTCATCGTTTGAAATAATTGATGTTGACTCGGAGGATCAGTCTGAGCGAAGTAGGGTGGGATAAGTAGTTAGTAGAGGAAGAGTGGGTTCCCGGACTGAGGTCCCCGCAACATTTATATAACAGGTCATGACTCATACCATCGGCTGTAAGCCTAGGCCTCAGGCCTCAAGGGCCAAGGCAATATTTGCTGCTGTATTGACTGGGCGCCTCTTCGGAACTCCGGGAAATGCGAAAGAAGGACCATCTTCGATATTCCTATACCCGTCTGTCTCGAGACTAAAAACGCCATGCTGATCGCAGACACAGTGCTAGTGAGTGATGTACGCACGCAAGACTTCAAGTTGCCAGTGGCCTTTGAGTGGCCTTGTAGAGCCTTGAAGTTGGTCGAGAAAACTACGATCATACTTTCTGCAACTAACGGCCTGGTCTACTGTTGTCGAAGGACCTCACCCGCAGCTTGCCACTTATAGGAGTTATAGTATAAGCTTGCCTTGAATTTCGAACTGCAGGTGACTTGCCACTTTCTCGCTTCCTGGTTATCTGTTGATCTGATGTGCTGCGCTACCAGATCACTTTCTTTCCTCATTAAAATATTGATATTGTGGATCGTCGTCTCCAACTTTCTAACCATTCAACAAGTCACTTCCTCCCTCACTCTGGTCTCCCCTAACTAGATAGACCATAAAACAATGAATCTAGTCGTTTCAGAGCTTCTTTCAAAGAATCATGCGAGAATCGAACTAGACTTTGAAAACCCATGGCAATGCTAGAACCCCGCCGATCGACATGATACCGCACCATAGCTTTGAAGCTCAAGGATGTACCCTTTATCACACTGTGTCAACGTCTACACATCCGATACCCATCGGAGACTTACAACGAAGTAAAAGCTTCGTGTGTCGAAGCCGAGGACGTGCCAAAGACGGAAGCGACCAACTTTGGCCTCCATTCCCCCAAATATACCCGCTTCCAAGTTCCTCCAAATTAATGGTGTTTCTGCCAACCACTCTCCAAGCATTCTACGAGCCTCTCTCCCGCCCATCCTTCCAAACTAAACACGCCAATGAATTCGGTCCACCTGGGTACATAAACACCCGAGACGGCAAGCTGACCGTCATCGCAATCATTTTCACTTCAAACAGAATTCCATGTCGTGCGTATACCTCTCCACACCCACGTTCACGAAAATGATCCACTCTGTCCAGGGCTGTTTCCTCCTCTTAGACGGACCCAAAGAATACGGAGCATACTCAAGTTGTCGATCCCAGGCTCCCTGCTGGCCTCAAGCTTCGTGCGCATAAACACCATACGGTAGATTTTTCAACAATAATGTTTGGTCGTAGCTGCAATACGACGAGTAGCGAGCTCAACATAGTTGAGCTCCAGCAATGTGATCGAAATTATGAACAGAGACTTGGGGTTGTTCCCTGGCCAGTAGGAAGAAAGCATCTGGCGGAGTTTGAAACCTATTCCTTCGCTAGATCTATTGTTGCACCTGAGTCGACGTTGCAAGCATAAGTCGTAGTGTCATTGATACCCGCTATTACTTATCCTATCTCCATCAGATCGAAAGCTATACGCCATGGGATCAGTCTCCCAATTCAAACTCGTGACATAGCCGCACTCACCCAACGGAGGAACTGAGAACAATTGCTCGAATTCAATTCTACAGCCATCGCAGGCAACCTCGACAGTAACAACACTCGCTTCCTTACCACACGAGAACCGCGTTGCAAGCTGCGATTGCCAGCCGTCTTCGAGTCCTAGCTGCTCAATCTTCTCTTCCTCGGGAAGGAACGCGACAGTGCCCATCAATGCAATTCGTCGGGGTCGTGTGTTCCAGCTGAGGCTCGTTATGCCTTCAGCAGGAGTGGTAACATTCCAAATTTGGATTTCGGTGATGGACCCAGATGAAGTATAGGACTTGTTGGCCGCAAGACCATCTTCAACAGTGGGAACGATGCTGTCGATATAGCAAGACGTGAATCTGGACCGGCCGAGATGCCATTGAAAGAACATCGAATCCTGGAACAATATTTATGACCAAGTCGCTCCAGGGTACGGAGCTCCACTTACGCTATCGCTCAGTATGACATGCGAGCTTGAAGTATACACTTGGTCAGGTAAGGCTTTGTTCACCCGTACTATGGCACTTGGAAAGAACAACTTTGGTGCTAGCCACACAGGCTTGTTTGGGACACATCATGAACAATCACTGAACATACGTACCTTTTTCTTTTTGTTGAGCGTCGCCGACTAATTCTATACCTGGAAACTGGTTCGGCTGACGCAGCCCTTGGACATTACGCTTCCCGGAAACAGAGGCAGAGGCAATGTTATACAGTGCACACGCGCAAATAATTGCGATGACCTGTAATCCTAGCGTTGCCCAAGCAGGCTGTTTAGATCGAGGGTCCATAGTGCGGTGCTCAGAGGTGATGTGTCTGCCGGGGAGGAGAATATCATCTTCACCGTCTTCAGGTTGATGATCTAGATCATGCATTCGGAGAGGCGAATACGACGCCATGAAGGTGTGTGGCGTATCTGAGAAGTAATTGTTTGAATCTCTTCTTACTTATCAGTAGCAAAGCACCTACATAATGATTTTTCGGACGCTTAAATGCTCTTGGGCACGATTCAGAAGCCTATGAGGGACGAATGAGGGTAGTACTCTGGCTGATGACTTGTAAGCGATTATATTTATACAGGGTCCATGGAATTTCGGTACTCTTTTCTGTTGATGTGATTCACTTCAATTACATATATCGAGAATACGTCCAGTGAGGGCAAGTATGGTCCATGCCTACTGAAATCCCGCAGTAACATGCCCCTGTCAGTTCTTTTGATCGAGCCAGCCGAGAAATAATCTGACTGAATTGTTGAACAGAGCCAAATTTGAGTCATCTCCACTCTCACTATGAATGAACCCTGCTACGCCCTTCCTTCTGTCTAACGGAGGAACACTTTGCCTAAGCGAATATACGCAAAATCCCCCGGTCTCCATTGAGCAGCCTGCGAATGGAAGAAAGCTTTTCCTAAACACACTAGCATGATATATTCGACTGGACGAAACGACACAAAGTGCCAAAGTGAGTTGTGTAATTCACTCAAGCTCGTAAACATTAAATGTCCTACTTCTTGCATCGATTGTATATTCAACACCCCGAGTAACTTGACAATCACTCCTACATCTAACCACCATGAAACTCGCTTTGTCTTTTTTTTGTTTTTGCCACCATCTCTTTGTTACAAATTGCAGCGGCGTCTCCCGTCCTCGATAATCAGAAGTTATCGTGTTTGTCTCAACGTGTCTGCACGGAACGGAAATCCTCGTGTGCGTCTCATCACATCTCTTAATCGCACTCTGTCTCATGTGTCGTTGACTTAGATTATGTTGCCGATGGCAACGCAGATGTCGATAAGCACACTCCCATTCCAGTTACTGAAGGTAATTCTCCAGCACTAGCTTTACCTTGAATGATATATTGATGTTGTTCGACGCTCAGGTGTTGATGATCAAGGTATGTCTTCAGCATCACCTTGGAGTCTCAACTCTTTTCAAACAAGTACCGTTGCTACTAGCCTAGGGTGAAAAACTCAAGGTTGACTTTTGGTCTGATATCGGCATCGTTCTGTCCACCGCTCTGTAGCTGTGGGGACAGGCAGCGATTGAAGATTGTATTTTTTAGACCAGTAACAAATCCTATCAATCAAGAATCACGATCGCATTCACGACTGCTCGCTATTCGTTCGTGCCATCGGTCACCGCGACCTCAAACAGCACTAGTATTGTTTCGTGTGAGGGTGCTTCTGTTCTCAAGATTAAGGTTCCATCCAGTCCGACCCAAGTTGCTGGCAAACTTGAAGTCGCGTGTAAAGCGTTCTAAAGCTTCGCCGCACAAGAATCTCCTCCGATTAGTCCATTAAAGTCAGCTGCTCCAACAATATCAAAATCTTCCTTTTCCTCGTACACCATCATCGCGTGAGAGGCCATGCATGACAACAGGTGGAACTAGTGTTTTAGACTTTAGAAGACGGCACTAGTATAGTTTCTCGCGCAATGATAACAGATGCCAGCCTAGTTGAATTCCAATAGCTAAGTACAAAAACACGACTCTATTGTCAAAGCGCACAAAGCCTGTGATAATAGAATATCAGATGTAAACGGAAAACTAGTAACATGCGGCCTCGGGAACGAGGAGTTACCGGACCTCGAATATTCTATCCTTCGATCGTTTCTGCTGGCCAGGTACGAACTTGAACGTCACAGAGATCAACGTTCAACTTCATCAGTGCGATACTACCTTCACTTCAACGTTTATACCAATATTGCCCACCGTCACTCAGGTTGACATTTAGCCATGGATACAGACAATCAATCAGTTCACAACATGTAGATGGAGGTGGTGGCAGGAGAGCAGTCCAGCGAAGCATGACATCGACGATATGCTCGCTGAGGCAGATGCAATGATCATGTGCGGGTGATGGGTCAGCCTGTATACGTCACGGTGACGACCACCCCCTTTTTTGTGATTGTTCATTCAAATCGCCGCTCTGTAGAGTTTGATCACTGCGCGAACTTGCCCATCCTCGCATGCAGGATCTCACCCATCACCCACGCTTAAGGAAGCAGACGATATTATCTCGTTGTGCGTTGGATATATATGTTCCGAGTCGTGGATGAACGAATTTCATAAACCACTGCTTACATCATCATAGCGGATTGGACCTAAACTATCATGATACTAACATGCTTTGCTGGCTTGCACTTGGCTTGTACGACAGTTTTACTGGGTCTGAATCGGACCCTCGGGCCTCGGACAAGTCTGGACTCTGAACAAGCTTGAAATCCTTACTCGAATCATGTTCAAAATTTTAAATTCAAAGTGTTGTTTTCGTTGAAAAACGATGCCTTCCATGATCCTCCGTTCCACCACCGTGACAGTCTCGCTTCCTCTCCCTATCGAAAGTGGAGTGTCAGGGTCGTAGAGTCCTATTTGCAGAAGCCTTCGTCATAAGTTTGCTCGGACGGAGCCTTGGTACATCCAAGTCTACCTCATCATCCGCCTCCCTGATCTATTGAGGACACATCTGCCTGACGCAGAGCTACCATACCAGAATCAACGCGGCTTTCATCTATACACGATGGAACAGAATTTGGTTATAAACAGCACAGCATCGGAGAAGTATATGCGAATAGCATCTATCTCCATCGCATTTTACGAGTAAGCCTTTGCTTTCCCTGTTGCGTAGTTGTCACGGTATTCTGACTGATCACGTTCAGTTATATCCTCACACTCCCTGCAGAATGGCGCTTTTACCGAAGCCAATCGTCAATTTTTCACATGAGGTATGTATAACCGAGCATTCACGTACCACCGCTGACGAGCTCGATTCCCAAAAGTCTATCCTGCGTCTTGCTTATTCTCATACGGTATTTTTGCCCTTATTCTCTCGTATGTGGTTTTTTTCGCTCACATTTAATACAGCTATGTCAGTATCGTTACTATAGTAACCAGCAATTACGGATACTTCTCCTCCCACTTCACCCAACAAGCGTGTCAACAATATTATCTTGTTGCGCCTATCTTCAAAGGTTTGCCTTGTTGACGTCCACCCATCAGGACCCTATTGACCATACCGTAGTCGTACAAACTATGATATCACAGGCCATCCTAGGTGTCAGGTATGTTCTGCAGCTTTTTTGTGGGTCATGAGCCGCACAGACTGAAGCGCCGTGTAGGACCTTCAATGTTGCGAGGAGAGATAGGCGTATTGGAATTGCCCTGTTGCTGATATACTTCTTCTTAGTTTTGGTGGGCTCTTACCACACAACCATGACATTCCTCGCTTATACGTTGTAGGTGGAGTGGTTTACCAATATATTTGGGCGGGCCCGTAAGTTCTGGCCTATATTTTAATCCCAGGCTCGCATTGACCATTAAGATCAACAGCTGTTGTTATTGATGTACGTCAGCGTTCCTCATAGTGAGATCTCACGCAAACAACATTCCTTTTTTTTAGGGAAAGTAAGTGGTTTTTTATTACTTGTGTGAGCCGTTCGTCTGATATCTTCACTTACCGTAGCTGCACTCCAGCAGATGCTGGTAGAACATTGTCAACGTGGTTCTTCTACCTCGCCCCGATGTTGTATGACATCGTGATGGTGACGATTTCTACCAAGCACCTTCTGCATTATAATCCTTTGAGTAGTAGGTGCGCCTTGTCTCCCCTCCGTATTTACATTGCTAAACCATCGTTGTTAGAGTGGAACGGCTGATACGGGTGTCAGTCCTTCACCCCTGGCAAAGTTGATGTACATCGCTGATTGTACTTAGCCTGATCTATGACGGTGTTGGATATTTTCTCGTGTTGTCTGGCAAGTGACGCTCTCCTTGTGATGATAACCCTCTTAATATTCCCCCAGTGTCGAACATACTGAACCTCATCCTTTATCATACGACCGATTTCCAGACGCAGGTACGTGGGCTCCATTACTGATGCACCGTGGAAACTTAGCGATTACGTTGACTTTCTCCTATTGTTAGTCGGCAGGGTGAGTGTCGCACTATTTCGCATTATATGAAATTCAGACTGTTCAATTGATATCGCTAGGGCATCAATGGGTTATGCTGTGACGTGGATAATGAGTCAACGGATCCTCATCCATATACGAGGTACGCACCGCTCGAGAGCTCGACTGCTATTCCGCTGACCCGAGTCATGTCTACTCGCTCCATTGCTCCCGCTCCGTTCACTTCGTGCTCTAAAGAAATGACAGAGCTAGACCCTCAACACTTGGAAAACGTGGTCATCGCGCGTCCCACGCTCACTGCACGGGCAAAAATGACATCTGGTCTCCGCTCACAGTTCGAATCCAAGAGCCAGTCGAAAAACTTGAAAAACTCCAGAGATGCAGACTTCGCGCCCACATCGCCTCGCAGTGGGAATGCTAATACCATGGAGCTCGGTATACGTGTACGCGTCGAGCGCTCGGTGGTCCAAAACCATACGCCTGCGGATGAATCTGATCGTTCAAGTCTGTGGGAGACGAAAGGCATTGGCGCGGAACAAGAATCGTAACGAAGGAATCCCTGTCTGCTACGTGAGACCACTGAAGCCCATGTACAATATTTGCTGTTATAGAAATATTGGTACTTCTCACTCATGAGAAATGCCTCTGTTCAGACCAACTTACACAGCTGACACGCCAATCACCAATGCGAAGACAGGCTGTATGCTGAGGCGGCGGCGTTTGGTTTGGGCACCTGATCATTTAAGTCGCACACTGCGGTGCGTATTCTATGCGTTATCCTCGCGTTTGCACTACAATTTATTAGCCGTGTATGATACTGTTTTTTCACAGGTTTTCTCTTTGATATCGGAGGGGCGACTGTTGCGTAGAAGTTTTAGGAGAATAGTCGGATTGTGGCGCCCGACTCAGCGGCACCCACAAGGAACATAGCGACAGGATCTTCCTTCGTCTGCTACTGAATATGTACTGATTGACGGGGAGATCGGGAGTGCGCGGCACATAGCACTTGAGATCTCTCCCAACTGCATCTATGGCATCAAACGCCTTGCGCCCTCTTGCGCACACCTCCTGAAAGATTTGTCTGCCGCGATTACCTAGTATCCAATAGCATCTATGACTGTTCGCCACAGCTTTAAATATAGCATCATCACCGGGGTGCATATGGCCGCACATACTACTATACAAATACCAATGTGCAGATAACGGGCCCCACACCGCCTCCGCAATCAAATTTGACTCGGGCTATCCATGAAATGTTTGGTATTGTGATGTTGGCATCATGATTGTGATGCTTCATGTGCAACTAGAAGAATTGCTCATCAGATTTGCTGTGCTGAGAAGGTACTGGTGCGATTCCCCATGGCATATAATTGGCAGCTGTCGACATTTAAAGAACCTGAGCTGATATGAAACCGGACAAGATACCATTACCCACACCCTCGTCAGTCGATACATCCCCCAGACTCCGTCTGCCATGGCTTCGAGAGGCATTCCGCTCGATACCGCTGCTATATTTTCAACCGTGATGGAAGGAATTTTATATGGTGAGTATTGCAATGAATCTGTCAATACCATACCCACCAATCTAGGGTTATTCAGGCTTTTCAGTCCTCATGTTTGTGGGTACCATGTGGACATTGTCCTACAAACGTCGTATGAAAGAGATTAACCGTCCAATTGCTGTGGTGGCATTCATGCTACTGATCCTGAGTACTGCAGTAAGTTTCTTGCCTCTCACATTTCGTGTCATCCGTACTCAAGTCTCCCAAGCACATGATAGTGGACATCATTCGTGTCGAGCAGGGTCTAGTTACCTATCGAAACACATTCCCAGGGGGACCAGAGGCATTCTTTGCAGATATTGCCCAAGTCACATTTGTGGTCAAGAATATAATATATACCATGCAAACAATGGTTGGTGATGGGATGGTGGTGGGTTCCATTTTTATGCGCTAGATTGCGACACTCTTGGCTTATATAATGTCTTTTCGGGCAAAAGATTTATCGATGTTATGTCGTTTGGCAATCTGTGTGGATTATTATAATACCGAGTTTGTTGTGGTTCGGTATCACAGGTTAGCAGGTCACAAACATGTTCAGCGAGTTGTGCCTCTGATGAAGTTCTATTGAAGTATGCGGCTGTATTGCAGTCTACAGTGTTTCACAAGCAACTAGCGAGGCTGGAAACATCTTCGCCAAAGCAACAGGTCAATGGATCACGGCCTTCTATGCCATGACACTTGCAAGTAATTTATGGGCTTCAGGTAAGCATACTTTTACCTGAATACTCGAGGCCTGAGACCAATTTGTTTTAGGATTTCTGGCATATCGCATCTGGAGGATGGAACGCAATGTCTCTGCAATTCGCGCTACAAAGCGAGGCTCAATGATGCCAATAGTGCGCGTGCTTGCGGATGCCGCTATTTTGTACTCTGTGACGCTCCTGTCGACATTAGTGTGTTTCGTCGTAGAGAACAATGGACAGTATGTTATGCTAGACATGGTAATTTCTATCATCAACTCGTTTTATTGAAAGTACTAATCAAGCTTTGGCTACCTAGATCATGCCAATCATCTCGATTGCCTTCTACATGGTTATTATCCGGATGGCAATCAAGACAAGAGATCATAGTTACCTCTCGACTGTCGGGATGGGTAGCGAGACGGCACGAGGGACCCCGCAGCAATATCATATGAAACCTATGGAGGTGCACATATCCCGGATCATGCACGATGACAATACTTCCAAATCGGCATGCTAAAAATTCAGGATCACCCATCAACGCTTGGCGGAGTCCGTGGGGGAGGCATCGTACTGCTTGTGATTTTTATATGCATTTTGATTATATGACTATACATTTCACTCGCCAGGCTATAATTTACGGATGGTTGAAGATGGTCTATATGCATGTGCTCGGTCTGACCTCTTTAATTCTGTGACCTCACTCGTTTACACGACTTACTTATTCTACCGGTACTAGATGTACTACATGATGTTACTCAAAGACAGTATACACATTGGAGATCTCGGTTTCTGCTCTTGGTTGGACTTCTGGCGCAAAACAAAGAGCACGAACAGAATTACACGCGACAACGCGTCAGTACCTCCTCCACATAGTCCGCCATGATCCTATGAGTCTGTTTGGAAGGATGCCTAAGAAAGCGTTACTTCATCAATATCGTGTGCAAACATTCATAATACTGAACTTACCCGTCGAACCAATAGAAATAATGCTCCGGGTCATCGCAAGTGTTGCCATCAATGAAGCAGGCACCCGGGTTTGTGTACCCGAAAGCCTTATAGCCCGGATCGGATCCAAGCACTCCGTCCCAGATGGTCCCAAAAATGGCAAAAGCCAAATTCAATGGAACATCCTGAAAGCGGAATGCGACGAGACCATCAAAAATTGATTGAAGCCACGCCTCCCCCCATGCGTTATGAACTCCGCGACCGTATGCATCGGTAATGAGAAAATTGCGAGCATTTGTGGGCGGAGAAGCAAGAAGAGCAATCTGGCCTAGCATATCTTGCGCTGCCTCTGGTAGGTGGTTTCCGTCCACTGGAAGATAGTATTAATCATCATTTGATTTGGGTTCACGATTTCAAATTATTACCAAAGGAGTCCCCCCAGTCGCTATGGCGCAGAGTTAGATCGGGATTGCATACGTGCTGCGACGCTCACTTAATTCCAAAGAATATCGCGTACAGAGTGGTCTCCGGATCCAGGTTATTGGATTGGTTTAGAAATGTTGTTGCTAGAGAGGTAATTATTCAAATAAGTTTCGTCGTAAGTGAGGAGGGAGCACACTCTGCATGATGAAGTCCCGCGGATATGGGTTGCTAGGCCATAAGCTGATGTTTGTAACAGCGCTTGACCACTGCAAGACGTCAAGATATGAACTGATTGTGAGGTAAAACATACGGCATAATCCATGACGCTGGCGCCGATGTCACTGGCAATGCCCTCGACCCAAACGGGTCCGTTGGTCGAACGACCGCCTGCTAGGATATTTGGTGGTATTATCACGGCAGGCTCAAGAGGGCCACCGTCATGTCTCCCGCCGTCAGTGAATGAGTCCTGCGTAGATTCATTAGCCAGCTAAGATGTTGAAGGGAAAGCACCTACGAACGCCAAATGCAACGATGGTCTTAAATTGAGGAAGATTTAAACCGGCATTGAACTCTGACACTGTGCCAGACAGGGGACCGCATCGGGGACTAACAGCAAGATGAATACCATCATTGGGACCTTGCAGTCCCAAGACAGAGCTTTAGCCTCTGCCAATATCACTAACAAGACGAGAAAGTGAAATTGCATGGAATGCCGGCGAAGCAGCCTACGAATTCGGCCTATAACTACCTCTAGAGAACATTCCATTGGAGAGACGCTGGTGATGAGAGAACCACAATATCGAACTGAAACTGCGGAAAGCGAACGAATGGAAAATAAGGCTCACCAATCGAAGGTACCAGGAACGTCAAAAGGGCCCGAAATAAGAGCCCTAACACCCCATAAAGTGCAGAGATTGGAAACAGCAGGACACTATACATTACTACCTGTTGTGCTGCTTGGCAGCGGCAGTTTGTAAGATGGTGAGAGTATTGATGAAGAGACGCCGGCCACTCTCCGAGTGAACAATGCTTGGATAATCGGGCGTAATCAGGTGCGTTTTTAGCGCTGCCAACTCATTTTGTAGGCTTCACAAGGATTGGACAAAGTTGGTTAATTGCCAGCAGGTACGGTCGTTCCAACATCGAGAGTCGCTGGCGTATCTGATAGGTTTGGGCTGGACCGAGCGTTAGCTTGAGGTAGAGCCGCTCGGGCCGAGCCAGAGCAGCTAGCACGGTGTGCGATTTCAAATAAATCACTCGCCGACACCGATGCAGTCCTGCTTACAAATTCGATCATGTCAAATGACTCGCGATTCGAAATAGAACTATGTATCGACACAGCATACAATGAATGTGAACTGGGGTGTGAAAATCGAAAAGGGGGCGCATATAAAGAAAGACTGTCTGCAGCATAGTGCGAGTGAGGAACGTTCGAACGACTAACTCGTGGCAGAGAATGTAGGAAGCGAACAGCGCATCCGCTCATGGCACGATGCCGGCGGCACCCGAACATGATGCATGATGTCTCGGGACGTTTTGCTTGTGTGCTTACACAAATCATCACAAAGTTCATTGCCACACTCCAGCCATGGAATGATCCAGCTGCCCAGCTCCCGCATATTTATTGAAGCCTCTGGAGTCTGGACTTGGATCTTTGGTCTCTTTTAGGTAGAAGGCTACGCACAAGCCACGCAGGAACCTGCAGGAGCTCCACTTACGTTGCAGATTATCTACTTCGTGGTACGTTAATTATGCTTCTATCGGCTGGGATCAACCGCGAGCTTTCTGATCGATATCACAGCTGTTCGATATCACAACCGCCCGTGTCAGCTGGGCACGTTAGCTAATAGCCAATACCGAACACCTGCATCGCAGCGTGTTGCAACGTGTTGCAACAAGGCAGTCATATATGACTAAAATGATTATCTTCCCGGTAGCACCTGTTTTCCTCCCCTCTCAGATCAGTGCAATTTCAGAGCAACTTTTGCAATACTAGGTGCGTTATGATCGTCACTGGATGCAGGTAATCGATAAGATGTGACCTCTGAGCACAGACGATGAGCCGCTCTCAATTGAAAATACTCTCCCAATTGGCATCGTCGCCTAACGATGTGGCGTCAGGTCTTGCACAATGCATAGAGGCCTTGCGTCTCGTTTCCTCCCTACCGAGATCATCGCCTATCATGGTCGAGTATTCGGGTCTGAAGGGTTCCATAATCAAGGCATTCGGAAGGGAGCATCTCTCACGTGTACCGTTCAGGGTGAGCCTCGTCTTATTTCTCGTGGCTCATTCTTTTCCCGAGTCCTAATATCGCCAATGCTAATCGACTCATGCAGACTGTCGTCGGGCTTCTCAAAGCCTCCATGGAGCTCCCTGAAGACTCGCGTATCCTGTATGCTGCATTCTACCGCGAAGATGGGACAATTGATCCCACAAAGGTACTCATCGACGAGGACTCGTGGAAAGAGCTTGTTCCATACGTGCATACATTGCACATCGAAGACGATCGTCAAGCGCATTCGCTATTTACCACACAAGCCACGTCATCAACAACTTCGCAGAGCACAAGGGCATCTCCCTCCTTAAGTCCAACGTTGACTTCCCCAACACGGAGTCTGAATAGCAACGCAAACACTTTCATCCCCAGCAAAACTACAGTGACGTTGAAATCGCAGGATGGAACAAAGGTCAACCTACAAGCTCTCAGAAAGGGCAGAATCTCGCCGGCATGTATGTATCTTTCATTTGAGGTCGGACAGTAAAGCTCATATCGGCCCGTAGCCATCCAACCGGTAAAGTCGTTGGTGGTTGTAGCAGACACGTAATGTTACAATATTGGGTTGTATGTACATGACAAAAAATTGCAGATTAGTTATGATCGTACGATGTGCATGAAATCAGGAACAAGATGAGAGATGTGGTGTCTATGAGAAAGGTTTATACATGCTAGTGAAAGGATCGGAAAATCACTGAGTACCAAGGTATTCAAGAAGAGGTAGTACAGTTTCTAGTTTTGTCCGGAGTGCTGTTATGGGTGACCTACCATTAACGGCATGTCTTGTCTCCAAGAAAAAAACCAAGACGTACCAAGTACAGGGCAATGGTCCGCAATGTCTCTTAATACACCTAACATGGTCCTTAGGGCCTGGACAAGCCCTTCGCCGCGTACCGGGATCTGAGTTGGCCAGACTTTTAAGGCGCGCAGACGTGTAATTTCCGCATGAATCACGAAGGAAGCATTTATCCATATTATCTGGCGAGCAAAAATTGTCAAGAATTAGATACTAAAAGCTTCGCAATTATAACTCACGACGACAGGATCAAAATATTGCAGTGTATTTACGTTCACGCATCGCAGGGCACGCGCTATGAGCACGGCTGCGGTGACGATTTTGGCATTCGATAAGGCATAGGTTTCACGGAAGGGGCTGTGCAACCGGATGGTAGCGAGAGATAGAAGGGATTGCATGTAAACTGAATGACGAGAAATAAGATGAGGCGACGGGTGAGTAAGACTTGATTGCGAGGACGATGGTGACGTCTCAGTTGCCAAGGATGGATTAGACGGAATGAATGCTTGCAGATGTTGTATGAGTGTGTCAAGTGACGTAAATTTTGCTCGGAATGACTGTGTTTCTTGAACCCGTGAATCTGAAATGCAAGGATATTAGAAGAACAAAATTGTGTGCCGACCTTACCTACCCGACGTGTATTGTTCAACCAAATTGTTCACCTCGTCAAGTAGCACAACTGCTTTTGCGTGGAATGCAAGTGCCGAGTCGGAATCTCCTTTTTCACTCTGTCCATCGACAAGGAACTGTTGTATGATGTCTACTTGAGGTCCGATTCCCCGCCTGCAGCTCGTAAGGTGGATATCTTGATCGGACAAATTGATCTCCTGCATTTGTCCAGGCCAGGGGATGGATACTCTAATGGATCTACCGATGCTAGGCGGAACCCCCAACACAGCAGACATACTCTTGTCCCAAGTGAAGACGTTCCAGAATGCATGTATGGCTTCTGTTTGCTCGATATCGTCAACTGGCTTTTGAAGGGTGGTCCTGAATGTATCGAACGACATAAACTGCATATCTGCAAGTGTATTTGGTCCTCCTTCAGGAGGGGAAGAAGAAGATGAATGAAGTCGGAATGCCAGAACAAGGCTGGCCGCCGCGCCTGAATGGTACCTCGCCTCGACTATCCGTCCGACCCGGAATAAGTAGTATGCGAGCAGGACCTCCGTTTGTAGGACATCCAGCAAATCTCGAGTGCTTGCGCTGCAGGAAGGGATTATATCAGCTAGTTGACGCAAACATCTCGATAGCATTGTCAGTTGGAAGGCGGTCTGCTTCGTTTCCGTGATGTGGAGACATAATAGAATAATGGCGTTTTGCAATGCAATAGGAATACCACGAGAAGGAGCAGTCACAAGCGTATTGCGTACACGCGGGATATGCAGGAAAAAGCCAAGTTCGTCCGCGCAAGGTAAAATTTCGTTCAAACTGTGTGCAAAATCACAATTAACAAACTATATGGATAAACGCACAGGATTACTAGCTTACGATTCTAGTACAATTTGGCTTGGAGGCTCTTCTTGAGCCCACCAACTGCTCGGGCTGAAGTCACCCCACGGAGCACTAGAGCTCGATGCTAAATAATGATGAGACAGCGTGATTATCGCCTTGTAAATACTTACACGCTGCAGGACTTGATGCAGATGATATCGACGCAGAAATATAGGAGGGCTGGAAACCAAATGGGACAGAAGAGCCTTGCGGGACATCGGAAGATGAGTAAGGATGGTGTAGCGCAACCGCGGGCGTAGTCTGCTCGGGATGCTCGAGGTCTTGTATTCGAGCTTGAAGACGTACAATGTCTTGTTCCAGCATGTGTGTCCGAGACCGGCCCTGGCCATCCGTGTATTCACAGTCATCGGGCCTGTTACCACGGATGCATTGACCACACGTTGGTCGGGTACCATCGCACCTCTAGCAAAACAAGTGAGCAAGTCTCAGATAACGCGGGTTGCATCTACGAACGACTTTTCGGCGTCTGCATGCAATGCACGCTTTACCGCGTTGAAGGCCTCCGAGTGGTTGGCTTAGAGCACGACTTGAACCAGACGTAGTCATTGAAGATAACCGAGGAAGTCCTTGTAGTGTCGAGGATGCATTGGCGGTGCCTCGCCTGCCATAGTTATATACATGTCGGTGAGGACGTCATTCCCGCCTGATGAAAGTGTCCGGTTCCGCTTACTAGGCGGTAACGGGCTCGGTGGCTGAGCTTGCTAGTGCCACCTTGTGTCTGTGCAAGTGTGGAGGATGGTGTGTAAGCAGACGAGCATGTCGACATGATCCAACCGTGAGATTACAAAAATTCAACGGTGACTTTGCTGATTCTCCTTCTATAACATACCAGAAGTTGCCTGACCATATCGACGGAGGTGAACAGTAGCATACTACTAGTCAATGTCTGGTTTCTGGTTGGTGTGAAGAATGTGACTTATTTGGGGAGGTTCCGGTTCATGGGTTCAATCAGTTGCCGAGTGGCCGGGTCGAAGGATAGCGGAATTTGCTTTGCTGACTGAACCAACCGCCCGGCGAGGTGACTCAACGTTGAGCAGGCACTTAAGTGCAGGTGCCGCCGCGCCGACAGTTGCGGTCACAGTGAACGGTTGACATAGGTCACTTGCTTAATATTCCCGAACTTTGTTTCAACAAGGGTCAATTTCCCAGTCATGATATTGTTCAAACTTCAAAGCGAACTGAACGCACCTACAGACCCGAGCGTCAGATACGATATGACCGCTGGGTACTCCATCTCTCTGGATCTTGTCTAGCGGATCTACTAGCAGCAGTTGACCACACGTACGTGACCTACAGGTGCCAGCTCTTCCATCAGCTAGTAGGTAGATGAAAAAGTGATTCAGTCCGCAGGTTGGTAACTTATAGTAAGTCCGTGCAGCACTGCAAGGTGCGTTCTGTTGAAATCTATTCCCATGCCCGCTGACATAACTGTCGGACGTGATGGCAGTGATTGCAGTCCTAGATCTTCCTCCTGCGCAACGGCTTTCGCCTGTGACTGTTTCTTCACCAACTACTACCCCGTCATCACAAAGTTTGCATTCGCACATGCTGGTGCCTGGATGATTTCGGCAATGAAACATTCTCAACCAACTCTCCTGCACCTGATCTAAAACCCGTTTCAGGGTACATTAAATTCAGAACTAGTTTTTCTGGAAGGACGGGTGATTAACGATTGAACGTAAAGGTGTCGGATGACCGCCGAGGTCGCTTAACGTTGACGCAAGTAACCTGCAATCTTAACAGGCTTTGTCCCCTCTTAAATCCTAAATAGGCGTCACGGTCTAACGAGGGCCAAACCATTTTTCAAAGCGAATCGGACGATCTTACTCTAGGATCATAGTCGAATGAAGATGGTCATTGGGGAACGTCCCCAACAACGAAAGTGTAGACCTACGCAAAAGGACCCGGGTAAAACCGATTGTCCAGACCTATTTTACTCCCCTCTGTTCCTTTTTGAGCTGACACCGCAATCCATAGAACTATTCGTTAGGCCAAGGCCGATATGATGTGGCCCGACCCGTGAGCATATTTATAAAATGTGCCGTAACATATTCTCATATTTATACCGTTCAGAACTTGAACAGCCACACCCGCGCAGTGGCACCGCCCCTGGACGGCCATGAACTCCAGATATGCTGGTTACCATGGTGCTGATTAGACATGGTGTCACCGGGAACCCTTGTGTCCGAGCTTACTTTGATGCTCTAGTCAGGGATGTCGTATCGCCGCAAGTTGGAAATGCCATGCGGAGTGTGTTTTGTTCTTATACCGCTGGCACAGTTCCTGAATGTGGTGGCGTTATTTGCAGATCTTCTCCCTGCGTCACAGCTTTTGCCGCTTCTTCATCCACTTGGACGTGGTACATATAATTACTTTCTTGTCGTTATTCATGTATTGGTCTGAGGATGGGCCCCACATTTCAAGATGGTGAGGATTTTCTATTACAATCCTTCCCTTCTCGCTTCTCTTCTGCACCAGAGCAATCTTTTGTTAACGACAATTGGCCGAATATTTCTGCGACGCCACAACGAGAAAATTATTGTGTAATCCGACATCTGAGTTTGTACAATTTCTTGTCAAATTGAACTACTCTTGATATGATTTCTTATCATTGGTCTTGGAAAACCTGGCGCCAGACACGGGGCTCCTCCCTCCTTAGCCAGGAACGCGTTGTGCTACCCGCTCCCTTTCCACATATTCATGACGACTGATCTTCGTCACGAAGTACCCTGGACAGAAAAACAACCAGGTTTGAACTGTCGCGCAGAGACCGCACACCCTCACATCGCAGCTTTCGTACGTCGTGGTGAGTTGAGCAAACATTTCCTCTAGCGGGATCACCGCCCACATCTGTCGAAAAAGGAGTAAGAGGTGCAGAACAACCTGTTGTAGCGCGGACAACGGATGCAGATGCTGTTGTGTTTCGCCTAAATGTCGCATGCCCATCACCCAAGCTTTCTGGCGTACACCTTCACTCGTACATTATGGGCAGATCACATTATGTCCTGATCACCATCCTCTGCAGTAGTTGCCACATGAATGCTGTCAAAGGTGTACAAAGAACACTACGAGTGCTGATATGCAGCGATGTTGATATGTCACGTTGTGTCTAAGTAGAATGAATTACTACTTTGCAAGGACTTTTTCGTCCTTATATTATTACACCCATTATTGCAGAAAAGATCTCGGTCCTTTGGTACGACTAAGATCTTGGTAAAGCTGTTCAAATTGCAGAAAAATAGGAGCCGGCCAGAACAGCTTTGCGCGTCCACAATGCTTGGTGGCAATGTCCCACATCGCCACTATTTGGATACTACATAGCGACCATGTAAAATAAGGTGATTTGATCATACTAGTACTAGTGGGGGCTGTGTTGATTGATCTCACTGAGTGCTGGTGCGCATGATATCAAATGATCCAAAATTCAGGGATCAATCGATCAGGCCTCAGGCCTCGGGTTGGAATTGATATGTGGCGCGACCGAGCGCGTGCACTGGCAGCGAACGATGTCAGTATGCTGATATTAATTAGACGCATCAGGGTGTTTTTTGCCAAGAGATTTATGAATAATTTGCGGGCCATCAATTTTGCGCCCAACTAGAACAATTGGAACCCGGAGAAATGACTTGGGACTTGCCGAACTCTCGAGTGACCAACTAGAATTTAATACTCATGTGTTACGCAGTTAATAAGTATTTGTACTGCACCGTGGAGTGAGCGCCGTTTCATGACCTAAGAGTCACTTAGCAAAAACTTCCTATTTAGTAATAAGCTCGAAGTTCAAACGCTCATGCACATGCATCATGGCCGCCCCAGTTTGAGAAAGAACCTAACAGTCAAGCACTATTTGCGGTAACTTCGGATTAGACTCGGAATAGGTGCAGTGCGCTATTATCAGGCGTGGAGGCCGTACTCGATTGATGCAAGATTCGCAGTACATATGCGGCAATGCTGGACCCTGACATACACAGGAATTACTACTATCAGTGGTTAAGTTCCATTACTGGGACACATGCCCCAGACGAGGAGTTCTGAACCATCTGATCCGCCGATCCGATACAATTGTACTGCGATGTATTATTTGCCCATTAACTCCCACCGTCGGAAGGTGGTGCGACCAATAAACTGGTGGCACTGCTACTAGTATACACGGGAATTTGAGAATGATTTTTGCACAGGTAAGTCCAATATACACCAGTACTTAAAAGCTCCTCGCGCAGTTGTCCCGACCCAAGTTCATTCCAGCATTATGTCCTGTGTAAGCTCCTTTGCCAACTCCAAAGATTTCAAACTCACGATTACATCCACTAGCCTTCGGAAAACTCTTTTCAGTCTAAACCACACGGTGATGACCAGACACATGCGGCAGTTGCGAAATCTCTATATATACTCCCGACCGATGAGCAAGAGCGCAAAAGGTCAGATTATAGCTCGACTTGAATGAAAATTAATAACTCTGAACATAATAGACTGGAAGTTCAACACGAAGTCCTTCGAAACGCATTCGGGGGTCGTATTGTCTTCGCTCCAATTGAACTGCACGCAGGAGACAAAGTACTCGACAATGGAGCTGGCTCAGGTTTGTGGTCATCAGAAATTTTGTTCCTTGATCTGACTGTTGGTCCACTCGTACGTTAGCAACCTGGCTCCTTGACTGCTATAACGCCAATAAGGATGCTACCTTCTTTGGAATCGATTTGAAGACGAACATTTTTCCAGAGCTTGACGATGTACAAAAGCAACATATACATTTGGGGGCAGGGAACATTTTACAGATACCGAACGATTGGACCAGCAATTTTCAGCTAGTGAACCAGCGACTCCTTATCGCAGCGTTATCCAAAGAAAATTGGAACACGGCCGTGGAGGAGATTTTCCGTGTCCTTGCTCCAGGAGGCTGGGTGCAGCTCGTTGAATCTAGTCATTGCGTAGCTGGAGAGGCAACCCAAAGACACTACTCGATGCTTCAGGATCTCTTTGTTAAAAGAGGTCTATTACTCAACTGCGTCGAGCATATTCCGAATGTCCTCAAAGGCACTGGGTTTGAAAAAATCACGACACAGCGTCTTGAAATTAGCCTTGGGGGTGGGGACGACGAAGACGGGATGAAAGCTAAAGCTCGGGAGAGTTTTGTTGGTGTCTACAAGGGAATGCAAACTCCAGTAGTGAAGATGGGGATTCGAACAGAGGGGGAGTTTAAGGAGTTGGTGGAAGACCTAGAAAGGGAATGGGAGAGCAACAGTCAGTCAAAGGTTATCTTCTACGCATTTACAGCTCAGAAACCGACCGTGTCGGCTTGAGGCTTCGGTTTGAACAGTGGGTCGTTTTATATACAATACATTCTTAATACATACTAGTAGAACGCAAGTACTACATGGCAATGTCACATTAGATATAATGATGAAACACGACGTTGAAACATGCGCCACGAGAGTATTCAGCAAGCAAATTGAATAGTCAGGTCAAAGTCCAACAGTGTGAAAGGATGGCTTTCCGTCTGAGTCATGATGCATGATAGGATAGTGGGCCTGAGGACATCGCGCATTATATATAGAATTGTGCTTCTGATGACTAGGCAGCCACAAGCATGTGCTGGCCCGATCTGTAGTTCTGGATAGAACGAAGTCATGCCGTTTAACTTTGAGAAAGCCAGTTATAGCATTGTAAGTCAAGTCATCTTGAAATTAAAATAAGTGCTGAACCAGATGTATCGAATGCGACTGTCACAATAGATAGTGCTGCAATTGTAGTACGTGTGCAATGCTAGTTTTTGGATCTGACATGATCAATGCATACTAGTCTGTATCTGGAATAGCCCTTTCAGAGTTCGAAACATGGAAACAATAATGAGAGCGTGGAACGCTTTCTTGGCGAGTCATTACATGAATCATTCATACCCACAAGTTGACATTTAGATTGTGAGAACACTCACATAGAATACTGACGTTTTCGTGTAAGATACAAGCCTTGCATGTGTTCGGTAGCCTTATTAATTGCAACTTCATCCATTGTATGGTCACCGAGCGAGCTCACCATAAGCATTTACAATCCACTTGTGACGACTTTGTGACGAGTCGCGATGTTTAGCGCATGATGGAGGAAAGTGGAGCTCGTGCAGACAGGCCGCAAGCATAAGCCTGCACCCTCGTCATTTTGCCTGGTCTATATGAGCAAGTTTAGTACCAGAGCTGGGACCCAGCGGAAACTACCCAATGATTCACAAGTGAGAAGAGAGAACAAATATGTGATGAGCATCGGCGCCGATGTGACTCGGGGGGCGCCCGCCACTCATGAGTATGAGTATTAGTATGCATTAATCGTAGTACTTTATATACATGAAGTCGGCACTTTCACAAAAGTCGTATTTCTAGAAACACAAATTTCTCTCTCTAATACAATTATGAGGTTGAACGACCACAATTGAGGCAGAATTATGTAAGTGCTGAAGTCACGCAGAAATGTAACCTGCCGATATGTGCCGTGACGGAGTTTCAATACCGTACATTTCACAATTTGAAAGTGCCGACTTGTGTTGGTGCAGCGCTGCGCAATGCGGGATATTTTCATTAAGAATTTTCTGCGCTAATCCATGAGATTTCCACGTCCTACAATGCAGCATAATAATCCATCTGGCAGTCCCGTTGCATCATCATTGAACTTCTCATCCATACCGTACTACACGGTCCGAGTCCAAGTTTCACTATATCCCCCTCAAATTTACAACTACAACACTAATAGTCACCCTCGTACTTTGTAAGTAGACATACTAGTAAACGGTAAGTACTGTACTTGCTCGCTTACCGCCGAATACTAACTGAGTAAGTACTGAACTCGCGCAGAGTCTTGCTTGACTAGGCCTATGTGACATGATGTGTCCTACAGTGACATTTGCGTGACTGCCGGCAAGTTATCTTTCTTTCAACTTCCTGGGCCTTGGCGGGGTTTGTCGTCTCCTCGGCCTTTGGTTCTATTCGCCAGTATTAGTATCCAGACTCCTCAATTTCTCCCTAAAATACATGAGGGCGTGTTGCATATGAAACGCAGAGCAAGGCGGTACAAGCCTGATCGGCGGCCCATCATAAATTTTGATCCCGATCCGGTTGACATAATGTATCCGCAGTTTGCAGGTGCGTGCAAGCTAAGGCCTAAGGTCTCACTCAACCTCTTTCAGGGCGGCCTGTTACATTGTATATTAATATACATATTTTCGCAATGTCAATTAAGCTACTGACCAGTGACTACGATGGACCACCGTGAATTAGATGACCTCCAAACCTCCCTAAACAATGCGCTAAACAATTTGCGCGTCGCGATGGACGAGTCGATGCTGTCCCCTTTGTCTTCACAGTATGGAATCGACATGCACCCTTTGGATAGCCTAGACCAGCCCACGCCAGTTGGTGTATACAAAGCCCGCCGAGCAGCACTAGGTATGTTCGAGTGCAACAGGATCAACCCACGTACTGATTCTGCCCTTCTAGCATGTGTTGTAAGTTATTCGGCATACTCTTGATGTGAGATGTGCGAATTCATCTATTCAGGCAGAGCTCAAGAATCTTCTACAACATCCTTTTGAGAAAGCCGCTGAGAGCACCTTCGCCATGTATGATTTCGCTACCGTTCAAGTCTTTGTTGAACATGGCATTGTGGACCGCATGGCAAAGGAGCCCTCTGGTATCTCTGTCAAAACTCTTCAGTCAGAACTGAACCTCGACTCCCATAAGCTCACCACAGTATTACGCCATCTCTCAGCTTGTGGTTGGATTCGAGAGACTCAGGATGGCATTTTTGCCATGAATCGCTCTTCTCGCATTTTACTACAAGGCCAAAGGGGCCGTGCATTGATATCGTAGGATTTTTTTGCATACCGGTTTTGCACGACTAATCTTGTCGTAGGGTTCCCGGCAACATGAAGATCGCAGAGGCTCTTCCTCGATGGCTGACACATCCCGAGTTCAGGTTCTCTAAGTCTCCAGAACATACCGCATTTCAGCTCGCGAATGATACTACGAAGCCATTCTTCGAATGGGTGAAAGATGACAGAAATTATCTCAATCGTTTTGCAGCTTGTGTTGAGGTTTGCATCCTCCGCCTCTGACTGACAATACTATACTTATAATCTTTAGGCACTCGGAGAATATGTAACCCCAGGAATCTTATCGGACTACCCATGGCAAACGTGCTTGAAATCAACTATTGTTGATTGCGGGGGAGGTAAAGGAAGCCTAGCTATCGCCCTCGCTAATAAGTCAGTACAAAACTGTTAAGAAGCAACGCAACTGACATATATCAAGATTCCCTGTCCTCCGTCTTGTTATCCAGGAGAGGGAGGAGATGGTCCAGCTGGCTGAAGCTAACATCAAGGCCCATTTAGACCCCAACTCAGTTCCTGGCACAGTAGTCGCCGAAGCCCACGACTTGTTCTCTGCTCAACCGCGCACTGGGAATAACTATACCTTCATGCTACGACATGTTCTGTGCGCTACATCTTCTTCGTGATCCTTTGTGATGCACTGACGTTCTTTCATAGGCACAACTGGCCCGAGACTCAAGCTGTAAGTTTTTTCACCACCGACATCAAGTCTTAGTTGACGTTTCCAGGTGAGCATCCTAGAGAAACTCGCTGCTGCTGCAGGACCAAAGGTTCGTCCTTGAGATCACTTTGTAGTCCCGAGAACACCTTAAATATCTTTCCAGTCCAAGATCCTGATCATCGAGAGAATTTCTGGGCACTATCCCGACATTCACGTCCAGCTTGAACAAGACCCAGCGAACACAACTGATATTACAACTCCTGCTTCCCTCATAACCGAGCAAACCCTTCTCAATTCCTCGTCCCGCATGCCGTACGCACTCGCTTTGCACCTCTTGTGTATTTTAAATTGTCACGAAAGAACGCTGGTACGCGTGCTTCTCCTTGGCATGAACTTCGCTCACCATTCTTTCAGGATCAGTGGCAGACTATAATTTCTCGGGCTGGTCTTGTCGTCACAGGGCTGTACAAGCTTAGGGCTTACGTGTCTGTCATAGAGTGTCGAGTTATTCACACATAGACGAAAGTTGAGATGACCTATAACATGTCTATGTTGATAACGTGTTATCCGCTATAATATGCAAATTGGCGCCGAGGAGTCTTACCGAACGGCACGTATCAAACTATAGCCAGGCTGCACCGTAATCTAAATTTGCCTTCGGAGCTGACAACGAGCAAAAATGACCACACGCTCTCTTAGCCTCTCTTGTGGCCTGGTACCTGCTGATACCCGTATGTTGGTTTCTGCTTGTCTTTGCGTTATCCGCGGCGTATGTTTCTGATGTCTGTAATTTGCAATTAACCATTGAGATCACGCATTATCCCCGTCATCTGCTACCCAGATTGCAAGATCCAGATATAGATTGATCACTTCTCATTACGCGCGTATGAGGTGAACCGCGGGCCGTGGAAGATAACCCAGCTTGTGCGAATTTCACTCGTGTCAAGTCAGTGGCGTTCTCATCTGATGGACTCTGATGCAGATCATCGGATCTCATCATGCGGTATCTTTTCTTGGCCTTTTTGCTGCGGTCCTCAATTTTGAGTCTTGCAGCAGACATCATTGTATTTTGGGCGTTCACGTACGTAGCACAAAAATATCCTGTGCGCGATGTTTGGTGCATTTCTTATCACCCCTCTATAACTCTCTTTAATAACCACGCTCATCTTTGCACTCGTCAATGGCATGTGCTCTACAAATTTCGGTGGTTGGCCTCAGTATCGTCATCAATTCTGCAACCTCCTCCTTAGTATATTGTGTGTGCTCAAAGGATATGTACATTCCAACCCGCTCAGTCATTCATATTGCAATCCAGTTACACGAACGCCGAGGCAATACTCTGTGCAAGAGGGGACACCTCGAAATAGATAACTATGGTACTACGATAGTTAAGCAGGAGTGAATCCCCCCTCCGCGTACTATTAGTATAGCTAGGCTATGTCCGACATAGAGTCCGGCCCCGAAGGACAATAAATTTGACTTGAAAAACTATTAAGGTCCAGACTGGACGAGGGGCTCAAGAGTCAACGGGACCTTAGTAATAATGAGAATAAATGTTTTTTTTTAAATTATTGTCCTTCGGGGTCGTAGACCCTATGTTGGACATAGCCCTAGAGAACAAATGTTATACTTAGGAGGGCGATTAATATAATATGTTGGTGCTGATATGGACGACGCCGCCGCCGCTATTCGAGGGTTCAGGACGTTCCGCTGTCAACATGGTGTGCCATCCGGAACAAAAACACTGCAATATTGTTACAACCCAATCGAGACTAGCTGTGATTTTAATCAGTTTATGCCGCCGAGCGGCGAGAAGGTGGCGCCCTCGACATTGTCTGCAGCCAATCGGATCGTTTTTCGAAGAATTTAGGGATGGGCGCTGTCGCCGCTACGTTTCGATACTCATGTCAGAGAATCGAAACTATCCGCTTCAAGGCTCAGGCGACTTTGTCTTCGGCTACGAACGTTAGTACTAATGACCAAATTTTAAATTCAGCAGTCTTCCAAGTTCTATATAGTCATTCCTTCAATACTAAATATATGGTGTTGAATTCGACTCTGGGTTATGTAAATCACAAAAGAGACGGGTTTGAATGGGGATTGTAACATTAAGCGGAAAAATCATCGAAGTTCTACAAGCTCTATACTTCAGTCCTCGTGTCAGCGAATAACCGACTTGTTATGATATGTCCATTACAGCTCTGCATTACTAGCAATGCCTGACTTACGCAGTCTCCAAACCCAATCTGCCTCGTTCTAAGACGGCTTTGAAACCAAAGTGTTCCTCCACACCGAAGTTCTCTGTTGGGTTGTACATCGTATGGATGGGCTTTCGCGCGTTGATCTCGCTCAAAACGAACTTAGCTTCCTCATCAGCATCTCCGAGCAAGCGATCGATGTCGCTCTCTGTCATGACGGGTGCGTCTGGGGATGTTAGAGAAGGATCCAATCTATTCAAAGTTTACTATGGGATAATTTAGTTCAGTCGACAAGGGACCCTTACCTAGCTTTGACTGCAGAATGCATCTCGGGATCAGTGGGTGCGAATAGATGACGACAAAAGTCCATAGTTTTCTGTTAATTGGATTGAGGATGTCGTGGAAGATAATCGCAGAACATACGTACCTGGAGTTCGTCTTCTGTTAAGGCCTTACCAACATCTGCTGTCCCTTGTATCACTGCACTCAAGTATCAGAATTTCCAGTGATAGGAAAAAACATCGATGCTCACCCGGCCTGATGAGATCAAAGGCTCTGTCAAAATTGTCCTCATCCACATCACTCATCACCGGCATAGCTTGATTTTGGATCTGTTTGTAGGTGCCAAGGACGACGAGAAGAAACCTGCGACATACATTGTGTTAGAACTTAGTTGCCATCATTCCGGTAACCGAATTAACATGCCTGGTGTAGGAGGTGGCAATCTTTGAGGTGTGCCAACGTTGTGCGTTTCCTTCACTGCAGAGTCCTCGAATCGACGCAGCAATCGTGAGAGCAGCCGAAAGTCCTCCTGTGAAAGCCAAATGGACGCCAGAGGAGAAGAATGGGTCAATGAATGCTTATTATTGTCAATTGCGAGTACCACAAAGCATCAAGAAAAATACCTCCAGAATCCCCCGCTAGCCGAAAATGATCTCCGGCATAAGAGGAGGCCGAGTAGCTAAAATCGCTTGCAGATTTCACAGCTTCCGGTGTGCCATCGTTTCGAAGGGTGGCCTTTCCTATCAATTTGAGGACTCCAGGAGCTCTGCTTAAAAGTTCTTCCTTATAATGAGCCAGAAGATTTGAACCGGATCCTCCTGAGGCCGCACGAGAAGCTTTCTTCTTACGATTGCTTGACTCTTGATCCATCACAATTCCCACAGATGTGGATCCATCGTGAAGAGGAATAAACCAAGCCCATCCAGACTCGTCTGCAGACATTAAGCTTGGCTCAAGCCCTTAAGTTGTTCTCATACCTTCAAGTGCTTGGACAAAGATAGCATTCTGGCGAGTGGTGCCCGGCATGTAAGACTCGGTTCCATCCCAGTATCCCCAACATGCAACATTGTTGAGGGCCTGATTATAGCGTCTGTTCTTGAGATACTTTGTGGACATGATCCCGTTCCTTCCTGACGCATCGACAAGGTAGCTGAAAGAGATACGGCCCTCTATTCCAGTGCTGGTATTCCTCCAGTTGGCTGAAACAGGTCTTTCGCCCTCGAACTGAAATTCAGTAACTCTTGTGTTGTCGAAACACATTTGCACCACTCTTCGAAGCATGACGAAATAGCAAATCGTCAAATTCCGATCGAACCTGCAAAACGATGAGACTGTAAGCATATCTCCAATATATTACATACCACGTTCCAAGACGCATTGTTTGGGATTTAGCGCAACGAAATCTGTATCTGGAATGAACAATCAGCATTGATGATATGACAAATGTATTAGGGTGACTGTAGGCTCACATCCTTCTCGCTTGAACTGGTTCAGCTTGACTGCAGCTCCAGGCTATAAGAGGGTAACCGTCTAATGTACTCCGACACATTGAATACTATCCAAACCTTAAGTGTGAATCCATAGTTCTTGACAGATTCCTCCGCATCAATAAATGCCAGGAAGGAGCGGACTGACGGGAGCAAGCTCTCGCCAATATGATATCTGGTACAATTATGTATTAGTGACTCTAGTATGCCAATGTCATATATCAGTATGTGCTGACCGAGGGAACTTCACAGCTTCGAGAAGAGTGACTTCAAAGCCTTCTCGAGCCAAAGCAGCAGCTGCATAGCTTCCGGCGGGCCCGCCACCGACAACAAGTATTTGAGTTGAGGTTGGCTAGCCAGTATTTCAGCCAAATTCACTGTAGCAGACGAATCGATATCAGTCGCTTACAAGTGTTTGAACGGTCATTCTGTCGAAAGGGATTTGGTATGAAAGAGACAAGTTGCAATACCTTTATATATGGCATCCACCGAAAACTGTGTATCGTTAATAGCGCAGTGTGATAAGACCCCCGCATCCCAAGAGGAACCTGTATCATCTCAACTGAGAGAAAGTCAGTTAACTTGGCCACCACGTGGGTTGGGCGGTTGAGTCAAACATCATTAGATCAGAATTGATGAACAATGTCCTGCAGCAGATAGGTCGTCACGGGACTGCATGAGAGCGCGATGGAATAATTTTTGTACAAGTGTAGACATCCACTTGTATAAATCAAGTAACGTCACAAAACCTCGACGTGGGACCGCCCAGTAATACTAATATCAGGACCCTTCGCGCGGCTCATCGGCACTCCATAGCCAACCACTTCACAGAACCCACATATTTCTAGCTACTTACGGCCGTTTGTATATCGTCAAAAATAAAACTGGCGGCGTTGTTTGAACTGCTATGTCCGATCGCGTAGCTGAAGCAATCTACGAGTCTAAGTGGAGCGACGCATCGGGAGTTGTTTGACTTTTTTGCAACCGACTTATGCCTGTTTGGCCTTTTCTAGCTAGCGTTCTGCAAACTGGTAAGCCACAGTTCACTGCCTATACATCTTGCGATTTGAACGACACGAATCAATCGGGAGAATTGAATGAGATCTTGAAACTTGAAGAGTCGAAGTTATTAGAAACCCTTTCCGTGACGGAATTTTTCAATACTGAAATGCCCGACGTGTGAAGCGGCTGAATATTTTCATCAATTTTGCGCTAATCCAGCTCTCCAGGTCTACAATAAAACAGGAACACCCGCGTTGTAAGGACACTCACACACTCAGCGCTCAGTACTCAAGTACTCAGTACTCATTACCCAAACCTTACATTTTTGTAGCTACCGGATTCCCAGTTAACTTCGTGGTTGTGCTATCAATCAGAATCCCTCGGAAAGGAGACCAAGTAGGTATTAGTATGGGTAGCCCGAGTGGGAATACAAAAGATCTGCTCGAAAATATCCAATTCATCATATCACACGGTGTCGAAACGTATCAAAATCAAGGGCGGGGAATCCGGCGAGAGCGGCTACCGCATTGAGCGGATTGAAATTTATCTTTTGGGAAAGTTCAAGTTCCGCCACCTTCGCGCCTAGAGTCCTAGACACTGTTGAGACCGAGGCAAAGTCGAGGCTACTTAAGGTAGAGAGACCACAACATATAGGTCGCTTTTCTGTAAGGCTTTTTTGGGGTCGAACATCCCTACACGTAGCCCCAGATTAGCATACACATAATTGTTCGTGTCGTGTGTATGTGCTCTATCATTAATTATGCTCTTAGCTCGGCCAGCAAGCGTTCGGCCGGGTCCCTGAGCCTACCATACTGGTACTAGTTTTTATTTGTTTGATTGTCCGTTGGGGCGATGTCCTATGGTAGACAAAATTGGTACTAGTGCACGTCTACCGGGAACCTCTGGATAAATAAAAATAGTAGGCACCATGAAGTAGATGTGAAAATCCAGTATGGCGACAACTAGCCTGAGCGTGAAGTTACTGGGCTACTTGGAAGTCTCAGTGATTACTGCACCTGCCAACATTTCATTCAATCACGACTCACTTATAAACCCTAAACTGAGTATCAGCGGATAGGTAATGCCAGGCCGTTGTATCCGTATTAAATCAGACGATTAGGATTATTCTGAATCTTTGGAGCCCTATGGTAGACACTACCAGACGACTAGGATAAGCATGCTCGAAATGTGACAAGTACCACGGTCCTGGCGGCGTTTGAGTGACACTAATAAACGTGAGGCGAGCGAGAAACTGAGTTAGGATGGAAGCACGAACACACGATGAAAAGGAGCACGCCGAAGACAAAGGGATAAATCTATAAGAAGATACCAGAAACACTCGGTGCGATTTTTCCGAGCACGATCATTTAGCCTGACAGCTGCTTGAAGGCCGGGGACTGAGCGAACTCACTCTCACTCTCGCTCTCAAAACGCCTGCCGTACTGATAGTCAAATGCTCGACGTCTTATTCGTCCAAATCTGTCAGAACTGCGTTTTCCTCGGATGTCCATGTCAATGACGAGTCTGTCGTCATCGACTGCCAGTTGGTTGACCTCGAGTCACTCGAGCATGTCGCTCGTTAGCAATCGAGCCAGGAAGCTGGCGACTGTAGGAGCTTGCTGGATGTATATGGATGGTAGGAGCTTTCGTTAGGAGGCGCACCCGCAGCAATTACTCATCTTGTATCGCACTCCGGGAGCCGATCAACCCATGGCCACAAGATGATTGACGACAGAGTCCCGGTCTACCACGGCCTCTTGCTCGAGTGGCTGGGAATGCAGGAGTTTGTCCCTTTACCTAGTCTTCGAGATTGGCAATTTTCTTCCATGGCTAAACGAAGTTTGGATGGCCTCCAGAAACATGGACTTTTAAGTTTCGAATCAAGCTTCGGCACCCCTTCAAGTCCCGGCCTGAGTGCACACGTGATCACTTTCACTTTCCCTACTATACTAAAATAGTTTCTTCGAGCTATGTAAGTATAGCGTTCGCACAGGTTCGCACCGGTTTCTCTCTGCGCTTCCCCTGCCTTCCGCTCGGGGCATTTAGTTAAATGAAATGGATTCGAGAGAGAACAACATCATAGACCTTTGCATATTTATGCTACTGATCAGACCGAAGCTCAAAACCTTGCGCAATATCGCGATGTATGGAATAGTATCATGGTGCTAAAATTCGCTTTTACCTTGTTACAAAACCCTCAGGGCCCCAGTGTCTTCACTTGACAGACTAACTAGCAGATACACTGGATACTGGCAATCATAGCATAACATACAGAAATGATATGTAGCTGTCTGGAGACCAGACTAACGAATTCACTGGATCTTTGTGAATGAGCGGCAGACGTTTACCAGTCGCTGCCGAGATGCGAACCGTGTCATTGAATGATCATTGTCAATCATCAGTAAGACTCGAGCTAAACTCGAACTCGAACACGTGAATGAACGGGTATAAATCTGATCAACGATGAGAAATCGGAGGGATCGTACTACCAATGCCCTGCCATTGTGCGGTGCGATGCAAGGGATGAAGTAGTACACAGTCGAGAATTGCCCAAGGCCTTCTTCAGAGACTGATGTGTATTATGGGAAATTGTAGCACAAGAGGTCAAAATATAAAAGCCAGGGTTCATCACAACACAGGCGTCCTCGGGGTTCCATTGTGCCGCAGAGGCGACCGTGACCTTTCGGGAGATGCATATGGTGGTGAAAACAGGTGTGGTGAAAAACACCGGTCGCGGCTGCGCTTCTAGGCCACTTCCAGGAGATGGAATCCCAGAAGGATAGACAAATAACGGCTGCGCCACATACGCTGGGTATAATGGCCCGGAGTATTGTGGGTTGCTAGTACTGTCTGACGATGGAGCACCATCCGAAGAAGGCGATCTGGACCGCCCGCCAGAGAACTGCCTAGAGAACATGAGGTTCGCAGTGCTCGGGCTCATGACATACGGTCTCGGAGCTGGAGCAGGCGAGTTCTGGACATGATGTGGAATGCGGCCTGTAGATAAAGGAGTTGATGGACCTGAAAGCAAGTCCAAGGTTCCTCTGTTTCGCTGGGAATACCAACTCTTTGATGTCTTGGAGTACCGTTGACGGCTGTGCCTCCTCCGATCACTCTGTCCGGGAACATATTCATTCGAGATACGAGCCGGAGAAATCCATGGAAGGCTGCTAAGGTCCCGCATGAATCGCCGAATACGCGCCACTTGAGAGGCAATGGATTCCTCTGGTGGGGGGCGGATAGGAGACTCCATCTTTGCAAAATCCTCTGCAGGCCGAGGCTCCACAAGGACAGGAGTCGCAGTAGCTTGGGTCGAAAGATGAATGGTACGAGGAAGGGAAATCGCTTCAGTGGAGCGGTTGAAGGGATGAAGAGTGGAAATTGCGTCGGTAGAGTGGTGGAATGGATGGGAAGTGTTACGCGGTGGAAATCAGCAGGGAAAATATCATCATGGACCATGCGAGCGACTAGGTTCGTACAACTCGTTGACAGCCGACAATGTCCGGTCACGCCTTGTATCCGCAATGGATGTGCGTGTATCAGCATCAAACAGAATGTTTGGTTTTGCGGGAGATAGCATGTCGGACGGAGGCGTGTCAACTCTCTCGACCTGGGGCACATTATTTGCTAGCACTTGTCGGTGTACGAGCGAGATTCCTGGAGCTTGAGGATTCGGTTGGTACGGAAGGAATTGTGGTCCCCTGCTTCAATGGCTTGGCATGGTCCTTTGAATTCAAACGGCCTCTCGACATGACTCTCGGTATACTTTTCAACCCATTCATGAACCCGCCGTAAAACTTCTTCTTGCCCTGAGGCTTCCTCTCATGTCCCTCTGAAGACCCATATCCATTCTCCTCATCGGCACCTGTGTCGTCGATGCCAACAGTCATGTACTCGTACTCCGAAGTCTGACAGAGTGGGCTGCGCTGTATGAAGTGCTGGACGCATAACAGGAGTGGAATGTTGCCAGTGAGGGGTCGGAGGGGTTTGGGTTGCAGGGTACTGGGATGGCTGAGAGGCCGAAATCCAAGTAACATCTCGGACACGCGATGTATGGCTTGCCCTGGAATATCTGTCCCTGGGCATTGGCTCTGCAAGGAAATCCCGAGTAGTACTAGGGGAACGTGAGAAGCTTGTGTCAATACGAATGTCTCCCAGTCGAGATTGCCCATAGTCGGGATCAGACATTACAATAGACAGCCTGGGTGAATGGTACAGCTAGCGGAAGTTGAATATGAAGAAGCGCATAGAAGGCGACATGGGTCCTTATATAAGTGTGGTCGGCGTAGAACTGTACTAGGAGTGAACGTCACGTTGTGACACGAGGCTCCGGCAAGATCTGAGATTAAACAGACCGTGCCACTCAGAGCACTGAAACGCATGCTCAGTCTCGCAGTACATCACAGCCGAGCATGCATCTCTCGCATGGTATTGGACTGATTGCAAGAAGAACGACTGTGACAAAGTAGTCAGAAGACAACAAAAATCCACCCTTTGGCATTGATATTTCAGTCATGCAGGCTGCAGCTCACGATGTTCTTTTTCTTAAATCATGTTGACACCCTGGGGCCGGTGGAAAACGGCGATTAACAAGGCATTGACACAACCGGCAACCACAATGCATTGAGGTGCGTGCTGGTGCCCCTCCCCACGAATCAGTTAGACGAAAGTATGGCTAACGGCGGTGCAGGACAGCCCTATTCAGAGTCTTCTGCCCATTAGGTCCGGGATGGAAAAAATGCATGCTGCCCAGCATGCCGCGAACAGCTGTGGGCGCTGACCCGGGACAAAGCCTACACAAGTCACGTGAACTTGCAACATTATCACGAAAATAGCTGAATCCATACCATGATCTCGTACCAAGCAAAAGCTGGCGGGCCGACCTTGTGTATCCCTAGTACACTGGGTAGAACCATCAATAGTATGAGCTAATCAGTGATTGGCACTGATTGCGCTTCAACTTTTATCAGTGGAATCTGATCACGTGCGCACAGCTCTCCTCTGGTCGGACTATATAGAAGGAAGACAGTCGTTCCTTAAGTTCTTGCACAGGATGGCAAGTGAGCACTCAAGCGCCGAAGCCGAAGCTCGAGCTGAAAGTCCGGCTGGATGTGAACGTGCAAGATACGGCCGGGTGCGCATGTTCGGGGTGGACTCAGACTCCGTGTCTGTGTTTCCCCAGCAGCTTCAAGCGGAGTTAGATGACAAAGCTGCCCGCCACACCGCCCGCTGCCTGAAGTACGCCCTGCAACGACGTTTTCGACATCATGATAGGCGCCAGGTACCCAAATCATGCTTGAACGTTCATCCTCGGTATCAAGATTCAATATTGACCGGTCCGCTATCGTGCACACAACTTTGACTGATTGGCTTATGGGCTCCTTCGAACCCTCCAAAGCGCTTCGACAGATTGTCGATGATATATGTATTACATTTTTCCGAGTCGCGGCAAAGTTCAAATATGGCAAGATTCTCCGAGCTTCGAAAACTACACGATGCAGTATATCATTCGTCAAGCCATCGAATTTCCTTGCCTGTAAGTAGTTATCAGAGAGATATAACATAACTACGGCGCATGTCTGATTACCTCGACTCATGTTCACGCATTCAGGATCTGAAATGGCTTCTCGGCGTCAAACTTCAAGTATAAAACGTTCAAGGATGAATCGGCGACTTCTTCACGTTGTTTCGTCACTGTACTATGACCAGATAGCCTTGCAGGAATCGTGTATCGCTCCCTGGACCACATCTTCTGCATTTGCCGCTTCAAGAGGTAGACGTGAGAGTATGGATGGTTGACTGATGAGTTGGAGCGAGATTCACATTCACCACTAATCTGTACTCCTCTTACCTCGTAGTCTCTGCGAGAGTCATGCTTTTTCAAGTCTTCGAGAATGACTCAGAGAGCCCTACGAGCCGCGCAAATACGTATTCCATCTTCCAGCGAACGCCGCGAGTTGTGCCTTTGAGCTCGAACATGCCGATGGGCGCGGGCGGGAATCGAGCCAACTGAAATTGTGAATACTAGATCAAGGTCGAGTCAGAATTCGTCCAGGATCGTCGTAATGCGCTCGCCACACATTCTACTAATCCCGCGGACCTTCCGGCATCCATTGCAACGTGAAAAGCTTCTGCAGCTTCTGACTTCTCCTTTGCAACACCGGCTATAACGGGAGAAGGTTACAGTCAGATTGACAGTGAGTGCGCTCTCAGTTCTTCACAAATACTTTGTTGACGAGTGGTCAGTTTGTGATGAATCTTTTGGACGAAGGAAGACAAGATCATGTCTGTCTACAGCTTCCAATGACCGTTGCTAAACGATACGGCGAGACTCCGCTCGATACATCTACGGCTAATGAAAGGACGCGTGTTCAAATCACTGTAGACGTCCAAACCAGCGGTGTGATACAGGCTATACGTAACCCTACTCACCCGATTTCTCTACTGCGATACAGGATACACGCAGGAACAAAGTCTGAACGACGGATGACCGCATGGTGGTCATCTACGACGTTCCTAGACCAAGACTTCGTGCTGACGGTACATGCCCTTGGACTCAACGAACCTCGGTGTTTCGCCGAAGTTCATCCCCAGCATGCGGATACAATTGCCATGCAGCTCTCTTTCGTACCGAAGTTCAAGATGCCTCGTGTTGCGTCGCAAGAATACATATTCGTTGTTGATCGCAGTTCGAGCATGAGCGGAGCCCCGATGGAGACAACTAAGCGCACGCTGGGGATGCTCCTTCACCTCTTGCCAGACTCGGATACCACATTCAATATCTTCAGCTTCGCGAGCGAGGTTAATGGTATGTGGGAGACGAGTGTGTCATTCAACGACAGGAACATGCAGTATGCGGTAATCATGTTCTGTTACCGTCAAGATCAACTAGACATTGAGTGAGTTGTGCAGATCTCGAATATACAAGCCATACAAGCCAACAACAGCGGAACGAAATTTGCCCACGCCCTGCAGCTTGCAGTGGTATCTCGCAATCACAATCGCCCGACTGTCATATTCGTTCTTACTGGTGGAGGCGGACGTGTTGGAGTGGGCCCCCTTCAGAGAAAAGGTATGTTTGCACGGTGTCGTAGAGTGGTCACGCAAGTCTTGTCCAGAGTCAAGCGCTTGATGCCATCGTCTACCTCAAATGGCGTCTGATGTCGGCTGAGGCTCTAATCGAACTAATCACGAGACAGTCATCCACAAACCTCGATCCATTCGAGATTGTCTCAGCGGCTGTCGATAACTGCAGGCCAAACGCGCCATTGAGGGTATTCACCCTCGGGATCGGTGAACATGCTGCATCGGCCGTGTGCGAACGCCTCGCTCGCTCGGGCGGGGGTGAATGTTTGTTTGCAGTTCAAGCTGAAGACATAATTGAGAAATATGCAAAGCTTCTGAACGCTGGTCGAACGGGTGTAATCGAGAATCTCGTGGTTGATTGGGTTGGTTCGGGCAACCTACAAGCCGTCAACTTCTTACCCTCGAATTACCATCACTCGCTTCCGCCCAGTGGCGTGCAGCTGGAGCCGTCACCTCCGATACAGCAGGTTCCACATAGTATTACGAAGATATTCCTCAAGACGCGCTTCAACATCTTTGCAATCACCACCTTTAGATCGATCCCTCCTGAAGTCAGGTTGTATGCCAAGGTTGAAGGCTTGGCTGAGATCCTCGAGTTCGTGGTGCCGGTCACGGCAGTTAAACCACCGCGCAAGGATGAACTTCCACTCCTTCATACTTTGGCTGCACGGGAACTTATTAAGCACCTGGCAGAGGGTAGAGCACCGCTTCCAAAACCTGTGGTACCTATCACGAATGAGGAAGTTCGAAAACCGGCGATTGTCCGCTTGGGACAGCTTGTGGGCCTGAGGTCAGTATGTTTACTACACTGCCCGCGCGCCTTTCTCCTCTTATTTTCCCCCATTCAGCAAGTACTCCGTGGCTATTCGTGTGCATCCCCCGCATCGCACCGCTGTCGCCTTCTTTGCATCGACGTACAGCTCATCATTTCTTACGGCCGGTTGCTGTTGTCAGCACCTGGCAGCAACGCCACTGCCAGTACACTGGCATACTGTACATCAGGCCCACGCGTAGTAACACACTCTGGCACTAAGTACACCACTTGCACCCATCCGGCCTCTAATGCTCTCCCAGCTCTCCAACACGTTTACAGCAACCGACTGCCAGTGCACCCTCTCTTTATACAACCCCTTCCTGGTTTCTTTGGATATCCGGGACGAGTGACTCAAGGTCAGTCAACTGGCAGTCGATGGCGGCAGGCTTGTCACTGATGCTCGAGGAAAACGCGGGTACTAACAGTTCTGGATGAACTAGATGTCAAGCACCTGGCAATCCTGCGTTAGGCATTGTAAGAGTGCGTCCACTCCACTTCAAACAGTCAGGTGAAACCGTCCTCACAAAATCGCATCGATTGTTTCTGGTATCTTACAGGACTTCTTGTATCCTTGTGTCTTTGGCGCGCTCCCTTTCATCGCACGTTCGTGTTCTATTCTGCCTGAGATTCCCATTCGCCTCACGCTTTGTTAGTGTCACTCAAACACCGCCCCAAGTAGTCCGATGGCTTCACGCTCAGGCTAGTCATCACTACACCGGATTTTCACATCTACTTCGTGGCGCCTACTGTCAGTTTCATCTAGATGCCCCCTGTTTGAGCACTTGCTGACTGAGCTAAGAGCACCCATAATTATGACAGAGCACATGCACACAATATGACGCATTGTGTGTATGCTAATCTCGGGCCCCGCATACGTATAGGGATGTTCAACATCGCCGCAACCAGAAGATTAGAACGCACTTTTGGCAACATCGTCGCCGATAACTAAAATGAAGTGAGCTAACTCGTTCCCCGCGCACAGCCAGCCCTGAACCTGAAGAGTAAATCCCCGTGACTCCAAAAAGACGAAAACCTCGTGTACCAGTGCACACACCCCCATCCCCGTTAGCCTTAGGTTGGCTTCCGATGCTCTAACACCCCAAACACTCGTACGGGGCGCGAGCCAATGGTCCATAATTATACCAATGTCATTAATGTAACTAGATCGCAGTAGCACACAGCATGTACTGTCTACATCGGGCGTTGCCCTCAGCAGACAATAAACAGGATTAAAAAAAAAGGGATGTTCAACCATAATGGCCTAAGTTAATGACATACTTGGACTTGCCTCAGTCTCAACATTAATGCAACAGTGTTTAGGCGCGAAGGTGGCGGAACTAGAACTTCCCTAAAAGATAAACAGTACGAAACTTCAATCCGCTAGATGCGGTAGCCGCTCTCGCCGGATTCCCTGCCCTTAATTCTGATACGTTTTGCCACCATGTGATATGATGTTAATGAGATATTTCCTAGCAAGTCTTTTGTATTCCCACCATACTAATACCAATACCCACTGATTCTGATAGCACAACCATGAATGCAGAATTCGGTGGCCGCCAAAATGGAAGGCCTGGGTAATGAGTACTAAGTGCTGAGTGTGTGAGTGTGCGCGCGTTTTCGCCACACGAGTGTTTTCCGCCGCTTTGATTCTCCTGTGTCATGGATCTAAAACCGATTACAGGTACCCATTCAGCGATCTGTTCCGAGCGTGAAGCCTCAAACAGGTTTCGGTGGAGGATGCGACTTTGAAGTATTAATTCTATTAAAATGGGAAGTCAGGTAAAGTACCAAAAGCATCATGGTGTGTATGTCTCGGCAAAGGTACGCGACTTTGTATGTTTATCGTGTTTGTCCATGTTTTATGTGCGTATCGTAGTTGAGCGGATCAAGTGTCATATTCCTGCAAGTCTTCAAAACATATGTGGTTATCAGGCTGATTATACATTGTAATTCGAAGGCACCCCTTCCTTAGACTCCGCCGTGCATGTCGATGGTCGGTCTTCATGTGTGAATTTGGATACATGGACCTGCAAAGGCTTCAAGGCATATTGTCGTGAGTGTTCTTGTTCTGCCTCGCTGGCCGTCTGCCTGGGAATACTGATACCAGTCGAGATATAACTGCGATCTTTTTTGTTGAGTGCGACACGAATAAGCACCATATAGAAAGCAATCGACATGATCGGCATGGCCTAGTGGCTCGAGCTCAGTGTGTTTCAATAACAGGTGTTAACGGCGGACTTACTATGTCTACAACAGCATCCTGTCCATTGTTTCCGCAGACGAACAATATTAGTGCAGTAAATAGCGTTGCGGAGTACAGAATAGCGGCATCCACGAGTACACGCACAATTGGCATCACAGTGCCCCTCGCTGTAGTGCGAACCCCAGAGACACTGTTCTGGATGTTCCAGATGCGATATGCCAGTAATCCTGGATATAGATTCAGGGCTTGACGTCACGCTCATGCAGGGATTGCTTACCTGAGCTCAACAAATTAGTTGCGATTGTTGAGGCAAAGAACGCCGCGACCCATCGCGCAAGCGCTGCGACAAAGATCCCAGCGCCAGTACTGGCTTGCGAGACACTGTAAACTGCAATGGTACCAGTTGCTTTGAGGCAACGTTAGAGTATATAACGTGCTGAGCATGATTGTGACTAACCTGCAACACTGCACCACAGTATAATCGGTAGGATGATAATCCGACTGGATTGCCAAACGACATAGCAACGGTAAATCTTTTCACCAGACGAGGCACTTCTATAAGCCCAAAGGGTTTTAAGCTGGCACATAAAATTACGAACTCACCACCACACCATCGGCAAGAAGAGTTTGCATCACATAAAACGAATGTTTTATTACATAAGTATTCTGTGAGACATCTGCGAAGTATGCGGATGGTCCGCCTGGATACGTGTTGGCATACTTCACCAGTCCGTCTTCAGCTCTAATGATATTCACCACTATGTGCTTTGGAGACGTCAATCAACAACATTTGAATACAAGAGGCAAAAAGCTAACCGCAGTACTAAGTATCAGCAGCAGAACTGCCACAATAAGAATTGGGAGATTGATATCTTGCATGCGACGTTTGTAGGTCAAAGACCAGACGGTACCAATGAACAAGAGTGTCGAAAAGCCTGCAGAAATTTGATATTAGCTCAGACGAACTCATTGCAATGCTCACCATATAAAATTCCTTCCAGCACTGTCGACATTAAAGCCCCTGCATCCAATGGTATACCCGCTGATCCCATGGCGAAGAAGTCTGTCACGGTATGCAAGAAAGATGTGTGAAAGCGTGGGTGTCACGGTCTTCTTATGTATCATTATATATAAAAACGGATTGTGGTATATATGCGTTAGTAACTGCGAAGTTGACCAGGGGCTAAAATGGTGTTGTCTCATGCACAGATGTATATTTCCGATGCAGTGCGGACACGGCATGGGGCAGCGTAGGGTGTTTCTAGTATTGAGGAAAACGTACGTTTGCTAGTTGCTACAAGCAGACAGTGGTACTAATGCGGACCTGAGTGGATAATTTAGGACATGAAACAAAGCCTTTCGCTTACTTACTTGCTTCCAGCGGTGTGATGTATGATGCATATCATGATGTGGCACCGCCAGAGATAAATCTGGCGAGGGTAACCTACGAAATTCCACGCCCTGCAAAATTAGAGACCCTGATATGATGGACTACAGATGGCCCATCTCTTGATTCATCAACCATATCACGCATTGAGACTAGCACTTCTGATATGCAAGATAAGTTACATCATTGGGGGCAAACATGCCTATATTCATCGACATCGTTTGCATGTCCTCAACAGGCTCAGCCGTTCTGATGGACCCCTGGTAATGCTTATGATGGCAAACTTGTCCAAACAAATTTAGGACAAATACACTCGGATGACGGCCCAGGTTTGTTTATACTCTATCTTCTTGGTACAGGAGGTTACGTTTGTCTTATTGTACGGTAGCATAGCCTAAACTACAGCATATTTTACTCTTGCTAGTATACGAATTACCCATGATTTCGTGAAAACATGTGCGATCAGAGCTGTATCACATCGTTGCCAGTGTGGATGGTATGCACCACTGCGCACCTCGTGAGTATACGCAAACAAGTCAACATTGTCTCACTGAGCATGAACCAGCAAAGTACTCACGAATGCCTTGGAACCAGGCCTAACAGGCATAGCACTGAATGTCGGTGATAAATGCGCGAGCTTTGGAGAACGCTCAACCTCGAATGGGCACATAGTAAAGCAAGCGTCAACGCACCATCTCTCTTTCCCGCCAAACAGTCCACTCACTGGCAGTTTCCAGCATCCGATCATGCGTCCTAAGGAACCTGTCATGGTGAAAAAAACCTCGCAGCAGAAGGAAGTTAGCTAGGAACCACCGGGACAGCGCAGATAGATAGATAGGATATGTTGAGAAATCACAACATCAACAGCCTCACAGGCTTGAATCAATGTGGACCCTGCGCAATAATATGCTCTGCAAAACACGAAACATAAAGGTACATACCTTGTGGGACCGTTACCCTCCTTCCCATCATGATATCAGCTTGGCATGCAGATGTAGCAGCCTATAATATATGAATGCCCTAAAATAAAACAGAGGACATAGCAGGCGCACCTCCATGTGAAGCACCACAGCAAATGAGACCTTCCTGATTCGCTCCATCAAGGTGAGCCACGAAATGACTGTGACCGTGACATTCCGGAGGACCAAGAAATAAGTCAAGGGAACTCTCATGTATATATGCTCCGCCCACGCTCTCGATGTCAATAATACAACCCTCCAGAAATAAGCAATTTTTAAAAAACAGTTTCGTGTATCCATCATTCTCCCACCGCACATATACTCACCTTGCCATCTAAAACAACTTGGTAAGACTGATTCCCGCACTCCTCACGCTCTATTTTTCATATCCCTACAGCAACATCTCAATGAATATATCTGCGGCGCCAAGGGCCTCACGGCGCACGCTCCCTTCAAAAGATATCTAAAGATGCCGAACTCCTTGAACCAATAACATCGTTCTAGATTTGCATGAACTCATCAAGCTAGACACAATCAGCAGCTCCGAGTCCCGGGGTATCATCCATCCGAGGGTTTAAAGCGATCTCAGTGTCTTCGACAATGTAGCGATTTCTTACCCGACAGATCCAGATACGTCTGTCCCGAACAAGACATTGATGAGGATTGCAGATGCTCGGAGTGTATGTGGCGATTGCAGGTGCCTCAATGGTGGCATGAGTGCTTGAATGTCTCTATGAGGCGACGGATATCATTTACGTTTGCGATCACATTGTCGCATATTTGATCCTATGGCCGAACTTGGCCCCACGTTGAGACAAAGATTGATCAAACCTGTCCTCCGGGACAAATGTTCCCCTCTGAGATCAGGCTATAGGGAACATCCGGGGTCCTGGAACCTTACTAGGTAGTCGGCCTGTCACTTCTCATGCATATTTATAGTGCTGAAACACATAAACAGACCATATAATTAGTCGCCGGGGCAGTCACCATCTGATGAGCAAGGAATCACCAGTGCATATAAGATACGGGCATTAACGAGTATTCTACAACGATCAAATGTCTCCCTCATCCCCGACAGAATTCGATATCATCTTTGCTGGAGGTCAATATTAACATCTTTTGTCATGGACTATCTTAATTTTGTGTTTTGTGTAGGTGGTGCTACAGCTTGTGTTGTTGCGGGCCGCCTAGCTGCATGTGATTCTTCACTAAAGATATTGATTCTGGAAGCGGGTGAACACACCCTCGATAAACCTGCTCATGTTCAACCTTACCAGTATCCGTTCCATATGGCCCCGACGAGCACGACACTCACATTCAACTTCGGAAATCCCTCTCCGCGTCTCAATGGGCGGTCATTGATTGTTCCGTCTGGTCGTTCAGTCGGCGGAGGATCGACTATCAATTGTCCGTAGATTTTTTGTCAAAATGAACAGGATGCTGATATACAGACAGTTGGGGCATACACTCGTCCACCTGCCTCCGATTATGATGATTGGGCAGTCGAAGGTTGGGAATCGAAGAATCTAATTCCTCTCATGAAGAAGGTTCTCGAATAAGCTGGCTATATATTTGTCACGCTGACCACATTGCATAGCTGGAGACATACGAGGTGCAGCCTGGTTGTCCAACTCACGGGTATACGGGACCTGTCAAGGTGTCCCCTGGCGGGCATAAACTAGGTATCTGCGAAGAGTTCATCCGTGTTGGTACGACCTATCACAAGAGGCCATATTCCGACGACACCAATGATTTAGAAACATGCAATACATACAGCGTGAGTTTTCTAATCTTACTTCCGTGCCTGCAACCGCTGATTAAAGCTGTATCAGCCATGGGCGAAGTGAGCATGTCCTTGTAGTTTATTGTGGATCGGATTCATGTGTGAATAGGTACATTGATGGCACCACTGGAAAGCGTTCCGACGCAGCCCACTGCTACATCTACAACCAAGCTCAGAACCCGAACTTACAAATTTGGGTTGGCAAACGCGTGACGCGCGTCATCTTCGAGTGAGTGGTCCGCCTTGCATCTGTAACCAATTGTTGACACCTTTTCTGAATCACAGGGACAAGCGTGCCGTAGGTATCGAGTTTACCAATGACCCTGTGTCTTGCCCAGATGCAGACCGGTCATTAAGTACCGTGAAGGCTTCAAAGCTTGTTGTTGTCTCTGCCGGAGCATTTGGTTCCCCAGCCATTCTCGAGAGGTCTGGTATTGGTGCCGAGGCGGTACTCAAGCGATGTGGCATTAAACCATTTGTCAGCCTGCCTGGTGTCGGAGAAAACTACACAGGTAATATTTCATCCATATATTCGTGATCTTGGCTTACAGGTATTAGATCACGATGTCGTCTTGGTTCCGTACTTAGCTGCTGATGAGGCAGTCACTATGGATCCCCTCTGGCGTGGGGAGGAGAGTGTTACAAAAAGTGAGCATCGCCTCACTATGTAACCGTTACCTCTCAAAACGACCAACTGTAGATGCTCTCGCACAATGGACCAGTAATGGCAAATCACTCATCGCTTCGAAGTCAGTCAACTTACTGGTCATCATTGCTGGTACATGCTCATTGTTATTTCAGTGGTGTTGATGCGAAAATCAAGTGGCGTCCTGATGGCGACGAGCTGAAAGCCATGGGTTCGGCCTTTCAAACCGCGATGGAACAAGTTCTTCCGGGATCGCCCGGACAAGTGTGTTGCAATATTTTCCCTAATTGCGGGGTGTGTGTGTATTTCTTTGCTTTGATGTGAAAGCTCATGATGACTAGATACATTGGACCCCTTGTCGGTACCCTTCCTCCCCGTAATTACATGATGGCTGCCTACTTTACGGTAACTTTCTCTACTTTGCCTGTGAGTTTTTCTGAACCTTTCGACAGCTTTACCCTGCATCTACTGGAAGCGTGCATATCAAAGTGGACGAAAACGGTAAGGAAGCACTCGATTTCACGCCAGGGTTTTTGGACGAGTGAGTCGACACATTTCATTCCAGGTCATTGTATAACTATTATTATTCATTCAGTCCATCCGATATTGTACCAATTAACTTTGCGTACAAAAAATGCGTGAAATCTACCGACGCATGCCTTCCTACCGAGGCGAACTCGCTGAAGCTCATCCTAAATTTCCAGAGGGAAGCGCTGCGGCCTGTGGAGAAGCGTCTGGGCCAGTCGATCTAAATACACCTGACATCATCTACACTGCTGAAGATGACGAAGCCATTGAAAAATATCACCGTGACTGTGGTATGTGTTAGCTTTGCATTTTCGTCGTTCAGGTTACTTACTGAATCGAATCATAGTGCAAACGACTTGGCATTCGGTACGTACAGCTATGATAGCTTGAAACGGGGGCTTGATTCTTCTGTATGCAGCTTGGTACCTGCGCCATGAAACCACAGGCGGAACAAGGAGTTGTTGACGCTCGGCTAAACGTGTACGGCGTCACAAACCTTAAGGTTGCCGACATGTCTATTGTGCCCAAAAAACGTGGGCACGGTGAGTACCCAACTAGATTAACTGACCTTTGGTCTAACTGTCTCCCAAGAACACGTATTCCACGGCGCTCCTCATTGGAGAGAAGGCTGCGATGATCATTGCTGAAGACTTGGGTATTGATTTTAACGTCTAGCTCTAAACATTGTCGGCGGAAAATAGCCTGAGGACTCTACTAGGAACAATCAAATGATCCAGTTGACAGGAATACCCTCGGACGTTAGCTTGACGGCTGACAGTTAGTCCTGAAAAATGCATTGAATCAACAAAGCAGATCTGCACACTTATAGTTTCTAGTAACTCTCTCTCGAGCATTGAAACATGCTGTAAGGATAACGTGTCCGTAATTACGCCCTCGACCAACGCTTCAGGTGAAGGCGCAAAACGCATGTTTCATCGATGCGAAGAGTAAAGTGCGAAGAGTAAAGCTCTTCGCATCCGAGACATGCGGGTTATCTTTGTACGTCATCCTATCCATGTATTTAGATTTTAACCCCTCGTTTTCTCCTAACATTTCACACAGTCGTGCAGGCCACGAGTACAAACTTCTCACCAAACGTCGTCGTCGTTTCCTTTCATTCTCTCGTATATGCGTATTTTATCTACTAAGCCACTCACGGACGTATATAAGCACGTCCTGTGCCCTCGTATTAACCAGCAGAATCACACCCAGTGTTTTCCCCGCTCCAAGCACATCCGAAAGTCTCAAGAAAAGTCACCATCCTTATCGCTCGTCACTACTCATTTTTCGTATTGTTACTACGCACGACCTCTATCTACGTCGTCTCGATCTCTATTTCCCATCGAACTCATGCTCCGCCTTACAATGCCTTTCCCATCGAACTCATGCTCCGCCTTACAATGCCGTCGATATCAGTAGCAAAGTCGAGCTCGAAGGCTGGATACTAGAGGTGCATTTCACAGTTCATATGATGTCATCCCACGGATAATACATCAACCCTCCAACACCAACTCACCATCATGCTCACACCGCTGATCGAAGGCATTCGCTGATGGTACGTGATTTGTGCTTTTTGTTATTTATTAAAATTTCAACACTGACGCTATTGTCGCGGTTCACACCAGATACTAATTGACGTACGCCACGTTACTCCTCAAATATCCACCTCTCTTGTGTTTTGACACGCTGTTCGTCATCGTTTGTTTAACGGTTTTTGATACGCTGATGGCGGGGAGCGTGAAGGGGCACGTACATATTCAATTTTTGGCCAATTCGAGGTATTTTACAGCTAATTACATTCTCCCTACTCGGACCGCGGCTTTTGGACCAGGCCGGGACGGAACATCACTACTAGTGAGGCTCGAAGTCCAGATGGTACCCACAAACATGAATCATATTTGTTGATACCATCTGGATATTGATCTACAAATATCACTTGGAGGATATCAATCGTCCAGTCGCCGTGTTTTGATAAGCACGTGGTCGTAGATGTCATTCATGTCGAACATGGTCTAGTGGCGTATCATGACACATTCCCTGGAGGGCCAGCGGCGCTCTTCGCAGACGTTGCCCTAGAAACGTATGTGATCAAGAATGCGATATACACCTTGTAAACCATGCTTGGTCGATGGGATGGTGGTGCGTTCAATTTTATTTGAAGATTGCAACCCCCCTAATCAAAAGTTGCTCGGTACCATCACTCCATAGCCTCGAAACGATGTGGCCCACTTGATGATGATGGGCCTGGCCTCTTGTTACTTCTTTGTTTTCATCAATGGCCAGAATAGTTTTGAGCGCTGGGTCTGACTGGGTAAACAGGAACAGGTAATGAATAGGACTAAATATATGCAACGGGATCAAGGATTGCAATTTGCCGGTGAGCGCGGAGCCCCTCGTTTCCGTGATTAAGGCAATTTGCGAGTGGTTAAAGATTTTGACCGCTCGCATCATTCAACTTCTTGCCAGATCCTCAGAACCATCAGTCTTCCAACTCGAGTCAGATTTCGTAACCATGTCCTCCTTGAAGTATACCCCGAAGCAACATATCACAGAGGTTTCCCATCCATCATATGGTACTCACGATAAATGCTGATATCCCATGTAGATTCACAGCAGGTTGTCGAACACCTTCCGTGAGGGCCGCACTCTTCCGTTGGAATACCGTCGCAAGCAACTTCTCCAGGTTGCCCGCCTTGTCCAGGAAAATGCTGATGCTGTCGCGGCCTCCCTGAAAGCTGATCTTGGGAGGTACCCTTTTGAGGCCAAACTCGGTTCAATTGTTTCAAGTGCCCTTCATGCTGTCGAGAATCTCGAGAAGTGGAATTCTCCCGAGAAACCGCAGGTAGAGGCTTGGCGCAGTGGGTGGGACACAACAATATTCAAGGCGCCAAAGGGCACAGTGGTTTGCATCATGTAAGTCGCTATCATCTGGCCAGGTTGTCTTGGCGGCATGATGACAATTTACCCTTAGTCCCTGGAACTCTCCATGGGTGCTCACGATTTTGCCGCTCATCGGTGCAATCGCTGCGGGTTGCACATGCTTGATCAAACCCTCAGAGCACGCCCAAGCTTCTGCAGCCCTCATGGCGAAACTAATCCCGCAATACCTTGACCCGGATGCCTACGCTGTCTGCCTCGGAGCCGTCGAAGAGACCACCACATCCTTAGCCTGAAGTGGGACCACATTTTCTACACGGGTAGTGTGAGCGTCGGACGGATCGTCGCGGAGGCAGCAGCAAAGCAGCTCACGCCAGTGACTCTCGAGCTTGGCGGACAATCACCCGTCTTCGTCGACGGGGACAGCACGAACATTGAGATCGCAGCGAAGAGGATTCTATGGGGAAAGCAACAAAATGCAGGACAGGTAAGGTCTGACCCAATTGTCCCAAAGATTAACAAAATAACCGTACTGTCATGGCAGGTTTGCGTCGCACCGAATCATGTTTTTGTGCAGGAACAACACCAAAGCGCACTCGTGGAGGCATTCAAGAAAGCATATGACTCATTCTGGCCAAAGGGTCCGCTTGATTCCTCATCTGAGATGGGTCGCGTGGTGAACGCTCGACACTACGAACGCAACAAGAGTCTCCTGTCCCGAACTAAAGGAAAGGTCGCATTCGGGGGACAAGCTGGGCAAGATCTTCGCATCGAGCCAGCTATTGTGACTGGCGTAACATTGGACGACCCATTGATGGAAGAGTCAGTTAAGCTCGTACCCTTCCAAGTGCCATCTAGCTGACTGTTCACATCGTAACCGCAGAGAGATATTCGGTCCTATTTTACCAATCATCCCAGTGGCAAATGTTGACGCCGCCATCTCACACATACGATCTGGGTGAGTGTTTTGAAGAATGCCTATCAGGCAAAACGCTCATCCCCTATAGGTCCACGCCCCTTGTCATTTACGTTTTCACCGAAGACGAGGAAACGAAAAATAAATGTAGGGATCACGTTTCACGTATGCGATACGCGTTGATGAGCTGTGTTCCAAAGTCGTGCAGCACACCCAGAGCGGGCAGCTAGTTCCTCAACGAAACATTCGCTCAGGTCGCTGTCTATGAAATACCTTTCGGTGGTCAAGGGCAATCTGGCCTGTGTGTTACGCTCCGCGTGTCGTTGAAAGAAGTACTCATCATTCGTTTATTGCAGATGGATCATACCTTGGGAAGTACTCCTTCGACACTTTCATCCATCAAAGGGGCTATATCAATGTCCCCGCAGACGCAGGGTGCGTGATACTGTTCATGTCGGACTTACCTGGTTAACGACCGGTCATATCTTGAAGGACGGAGGGCTTCATGCAGGGAAGGTACCCACCTTACTCGGCGCCTGCACTTGAGTTCTTCTCTCAGGCGCTCAAAACGAAAATCCCCGACGCTTGATCCCTGGTTCATGGTTGGAAGCTAACATTCTTATGTCGACGTGTTCAAGTTATCATCTCCAGGGTGAGGAGGATGGAAGTATACTAAAGCAACCAAGCTGCAGTCATACGATATTCCAATCTGTCCTAAAACTCGGTACTCATTTTTGTCTGTTGCCCCCAAATATTGAAATAGCGACACATCCTTACATTTCTACAAAGTGAGTTTTGGCCCCAAAATCGATGATTTAAAGGATGTTCTTTGGTTTCACTGGTAGCAGAACTGAAAATGAAAATAAAACAAGCCTCGTTGAACGAGTTGCCCTAGCTCCAAGGCAGATTCAGACGGTTTATTGAGCATTCGAGTGTTTAGTCACCACTGACCAGTGCAGATTTGTTCCGACCTAGTTCGTTAGGTACGACACGGTAACCGACTCGAGACTCGATTCTTCGCAAGGTTGTTCAACTTGTTAAAACTCTCATTTTCGATCGCGGGCCAGACATGTTTCTCGGTCATTGGTCTTGTAATAATGTGATATTGCATATATAATGAAATCGGTGAAGTACTGGACAATCAGAAAGAGCTATGAAAGTGACTAGGAAGTAGTGGCTACTGCCGCTGGCAGACTGAGCTCAGAGGTTCAAGTTTTAGTGCTGTCCGGTTGAGTTTGACTGCGGGTGTAGCAACCTTGGATCCAGACCCTGCCCCGTACAGGGTTTACACACAAAATAGATAGAATTAGCTGCTACGACACGGAAAAAAGAATTGTATAGTCAATAATATCCTACCCATCCTGGAGTCAATCAGTCACCAGGACAACGATATGCGGCGAGCGTGTGTCGAGCAGCCACGCAATGCACATATGCGAGGAGATGATACGCGAGCTGCAAATGGCATATCCTATGGTGGAGAGACAGGGCTAGTCGGGTGTGGGTTTGATGGCAGCGCGAGTGCAATACAGTACCAAGATCCTAAATGGTGGCAGGGTCGACAACCAACAGCAGGCACGGTTGAGGCTGCGACAGTGGCTATAGCAGAAGCTGCGCAGGGTACGAGAAAAGAACTATGAATTTAGGGCTTCACGAGCCTCATCAGCATTGTGTGAGCGTGCTGAGGTTCCCGACATCCCACGGTAGTGGAGGAGTGGGAAGTTTGGTGGTGACGGAGAGAAAGTGGAGTAGAGTCGGGAGCGGCGCTACGATGTTAGAGGGTGTGCTTGAACCCATTAGGAAGGCCGCGGTTGGGCGGCTGAGAGGCAATTGAAATGAGAAGTCTGGAATTTGTAAAGTAGGGCGTCGCGGTCGAGAGAACATTAATGGGTCTTGCAAGTCGATCGGAGTTTGAAAACATGTTGAGCCCGTGTATGGAAAGTGTGAATGATTAGACCAACGACAATGAGCAGCGATGGGCTAATTTCCACTCTTCAGATATCCCATGCTAAAGTGATTTCCTCTTTGCTCACTCAGGGCGAATCTGAGCGCTAATGTGCATTCAAATATATAACCAGCGAGGTCGGCGAGTATGTCGAACACAGGCTGCGGTGTATCCGGAGGTCAGGCAGCAGGAATGACTATCTTCCTTCGTCTATAAAGGGGAGATTGCTGTGTCTCGGAGATAGGGAGAATCTGCACACAAGCGCTGACACTATAGGCAAGTTCTGATATTGGATTATGGAGATTAACGAGCATCAACTCGTCACCTCACTTCGAAGTTCTTCATTCAGATCTGGCCTCCGCATGGCACAAAATGATGACCTTGGGCAGCTACTAAATTTATCAAGAGGCACAGTACCAGCGGTCTAGTGTCTCCCTGATACCGAATTGATCGGATCAGCGTCAATACTCGAAAGTTAGGGCCTACTCAGGCTAGAGCTGGAGTACACCTATATCTGCTACGACGTGATGGGCGCAGATTTATGACACAAACACAGCATTCTCTCTCTGAAGGTTCAACGCCCAATATTTATCGGTGACTTCAACGGAGAGCTGTGGACGCCGATAACAGGAGTTTTCGTGCAAAGTGACACTTTCACTGTATGTACATCAGAAAATACTGATCGGGCTGCAGATAATCGTCATCATAGCTTCACATTGCTCCAACGATTAAAAGGAACTTGATACCGTGACAGTACCAATCAGTCCATTATGATGGCGATGTATTTTAAGTTGAACTAGAACCTTCAGAATTGGATTGCTGCAAAGACGTCCAAGTTGGTACAATTGGTGTATGACCTTGAAAGCTGAGCCGACATGAAGCCTGATACATTCCCCGGCCTCAGGCTCCACCCCTAACATGGCTTCAAGTGGCATCCCGCTGGACACCGCTGGACACCGCTGCTATATTCTCAACAACGATGGAAGGAATTCTATATGGTGAGTATCGCAATTGGATCTGTTCATCTTATGGCCACCAAGCTAGAGTTATTCAGGCTTTTCGGTCCTCATGTTTATGGGAACTATTTGGGCACTGACCTACAAACAACACATGAAGGATATAAATCGTCCAATTGCTGTGGTGGCAATCTTGCTGTTGACACTGAGTACTGCGGTTAGTTTCTTGCCTCTTACATGTTTCTTCACCTGCTCAAGTCTCCCAAGCACATGATCGTAGATATCATTCGTATCGAACAGGGTCTGGTAACGTATCGGGACACATTCCCAGGGGGGCCATCGGCGTTCTTCGCAGACGTCGCCCAAGAAACGTTTGTGATCAAGAATGCGATATACACCTTGCAAGCCATGCTCAGTGATGGGATATTGGTAAGCTCAATTTCATCTGCCGGATTAATATTGCGATTCTCTTGGCTTATGAAATGTCTTTTCCGGCGAAAGATTTATCGATGTTATGTCATTTGGCAAACTGTCTGGGTCATTATCGTACCCAGTTTGTTTGGTGCGGTGTCACAGGTTAGGTTGCAATCATGCTCAGAAAGTCGTACCTCTTATTTCCCATGGAAGCATGTGGCTTTTGTGCAGTTTACAGTATCTCACAAGCGAGCAGCGGGGCCGCCATCTTCGCCAAAGCAACTGGTCAATGGATCACGGCGTTCTATTCCATGACATTCGCAACTAATCTGTTAGCTTCAGGTGAGCATGCTCCCACCTGAGCACACCCTCGGGGCCTAATACCGATTCAGGATTGATAGTGTATCGCATCTGGACGATCGAACGCAATGTCTCCGCAATTCGCACTACGAAGAGCACTCTAATGCCAATAGTGCATGTACTTGTGGATGCGGCTATTTTATACTCTGTTGCGCTCTTCTCGGCATTGGTATGTTTCACCGCGTCGAATAACGGACAGTACATTATGCTAGACATGGTGATTTCCGCCAATAATGCTGTTTATCGAATATTAATACTGAGTTTTAACTGAACAGATCATGCCGATCATTTCGATTGCCTTCTACATGGTGATCATACGTATCGCGATCAACAAAAGAACTTCCAGTTACCTCCCGACCGCCAGTGGAGGGACCAGTGCGACAACACCAGGGAACTCGCGGCGATATCCTATGAGGCCTTTGCAGGTGCATATATCCCAGCTCGCGTACAACGACGATACTTCGTCATACAAAACAGGGAGTCAGGGACAAACCATCGACAGAGGTGGAGGTGAAGGGGGCATCGTACTCCGTGTAGTCAGTGCTATTTGCTCACTGTTCAGAAAGAGAATATGTTTCACTTACCAGGCGAGCATGGTTGAATGTCTGTGCATGTGTTCGGTCCGGTTTTTGCCTAATTACCTTACAGTATCTCATCTAGGTTTTATGGCTTAATATACTGATGCTGGAATCAAGGTCATCCGTGCCATTTCAGCAGAAATTCCACTTAAACTTTCAGCATGAACGCACGGTCCTATGGATTCAATTGGAATAACTATCCACAGTGGTCAGGAGGGCTTGAGACATGTAGCCGTTCGGTACAACTTAATTGAATGAAGTCGACCGCAGTCCCGCGTTCTCGAAGCGGAGTGAAATTACCTCGAGTCACTTCAATTCGACGGCAACATTGTCGACGACGGTACCAGCTACTGCTTGGTGGGCTTCATGAACCAACAAGGACCGTTATATGTAAATTTTCATACGAAGTAAAGCGAACGAGCCCACCATTAGTCACGGTGTGAATGATAGAAGAATAAACAGTAGCATCGTCAGGCCTTCGGGGTCGGATTTTCACAAGTAAAATGAACAAACCCGCAATGACAGGAGTACGAATAGTAACACGACATCTTCAATACATACTCTCGTCCGCCATCATCTCCTTCAACCTCGCAACTTCGATCCGTGGAATCACATCAATTTCAAATGGCGCCGCACGAGAAACAACACTATCACTAGCCTGCGTGTTGATTGGAGCGTCAGATCGTTGGTCAATGCGGAAAGACCAGAAGAGAAGTGCGAGGCCGATGTACATTGAATTCTCTGCGAGATGCCTGCCGGGACATACCCTTTCAAAGACAAGTGAGCTTTGTTAATTCTCGACAAAAGCTGTCGGAACAACTTACCGTCTACCAAAGCCAAAGGTGAAAGACTTCATACCGTCCTTAAGGCGGCCTTCGGAATCAAGCCAGCGTTGAGGATCGAATTTTTCAGGATCTGGAAAGGCAATTGGATCGCGACAGATTGCCCTGACAAATTCAATTAATGAACGGACACACAGCATGAGGAAGTAAAACCTTACCAATGACATCCGTAGACCGTTGCACCCTCAGGAATACGATATCCTTGCTGATTGCACACATAATTATGTAAATATAATAAGAACGTGACATCAATCCAAGACACCAACCCAAATAATATCCCGAGTTGCGCGATGGGGAAATCCTGAGGAACGTGTCAGCCTGCAGGGGCGTAGCGAATTCACAGCTTACCTATGGGAATGACAGGTCTCCATCTCAAGGCTTCCAACAGGAACGCGTGCAATTGAGGAAGCGAGCTCGAGTCTTTAAATGTTGGTGCTATCACCAAAAATTAGCCGAGAAGGCAAAATATTCTCCTTTTTAACCTTACCTCTGTCTGATCCGATGATCATATCGAGCTCTTCGTGCACCTTTGCCTGAGCTAGCGGGTGACACGCCGCAGCCATAATAGCAGCGGTGATTCCTACAGTGGTCTGAACCAAGCCTATTAGTAAGTTTAGAGACAAGATATGATGGATCACTTGCTGTATCAGCTCCCGCACCAAAGAGTGTTCCGGCGAGATAAGCCATCTCATCTGTCGCAAGTTGGTGATCTTCGGCGTGTTCCAACAGTGTCTTGGTGAAAGAGGGATCCGCTGTGTTTTGTTCCTAAGTACAAGGAGAATGCAAATGAAGTACGTTCATCAAATGAAAAAATCCCTCACTATTTCGCTCTTGACGCGCCCTAACTGATGTCTGTATAGACTTAGTTCTTCATTATGCCACTCAGTAAGTTGCTTTCCGTAACCAGGCAAGTAGCGCAAAAGAGGCACACGGTCGACGAGATAAGCTCCCGGGCGCATCACAAGTCCGAAATGATCGAGGACTTTGTAGATACGGACAACTTCGGGATCAGTGTAGGTAGTTGGTGTAGACTTCCCATAAGTCACCCGAAGAATGATCGATGCTGAATACCTTCAAGTTGAGGTAACATGTCTATGCAAGGATCACAAAAGGACTTAATAAGGACATACCGCGCTGCGTGCTTCTGGTGATTCTTAGGGTCATTCAGGATGTCTAATACAAATTTTCTTGCATTATCGTGCTGCATATCTTTGTATGCCTCTGCCGTCTTGGGCTGGAGATAGGTATGAACCGCTTTGCGGAGACGCCGGAAGCGTTCTCCGGAACGAGCCATGACAAGACGCATCCCATTTGAGAGCATCTCGCCCGCGGCGATAGACGGAGGACGATCTACTAGGGATCTACCTTCTGCCTCCATGATGGTTGTGGTTGCCTGGTGGATGGGTCAATGTTTGAGCAAACCCGAGTATAGATAGATTTTACCTCAACACTGCCGATGACAACGATCACTTGGCTGCCTTGTCGGAACGATACCACAGGCCCATACTCCCGGACTAGGTCGGTCAGCGCACGAGCAATACTGAGTGAGCAGTCCACATTAATTTTGCATATCAAGGATGACATTACTAAAACCCACTTGACAGAAGGTAAAGCATTGCTCCAGAACCAACGGGCGGGAGGTCCAGGTGGAAACGGAATGGCATTCTTGCCATTCGCTAACGAGAATTTCTTGTATAGCACGGCGAGCACCACTACGGATGCGACAACACCGGCAGCATAGTCGGCCATGATGAGGGTTCTCAGCGTCATGATGTCAAGTGGGCTGGAATAACATTTGGGTGGAAATTCAGTACGTCTTATAACAGCTGCTGGTCAGGACTCAGCTGACCCCAAGATACATGGCTACAATGCGCAAGAACGATAATCGGAGGGATCTGATGCGAGTAGAATCGCTATTATAGTCAATATCCACGACATGTTCCGTGGTGCCACGGGTGACGGCAGTGTGCGCCCATATGATCACAATAGATGCCTTCTGTAAGCATGTCTCACAGCGTATTTTACGCATGCTGCTCCCTAAAGTTGTCTATGGAGTTGTGGTGGCGTATTGCTGAGGTTGTACAGAGGCGCTGCATAGGCTTTTCCAGCTTCGACTGGCTCGAGAGTCGCTGACACGATCTATTAGGTTGGGCTGGACCGAGGGTCAGCTCGGGATGGGACGCGAGCAGGTGGAGCCGCTCGGGAGGGCCACCTGCTTACAAATTCGATCATGCCATATGACTCTTCGAGTAGTTTTGGGACGGTGAAATATAATTGATATAGCAAACTTTGAGACGCTTGACTAACGAAATATTAGATGTAAACTGTGGTGCGAAAAAATTAGAAGGGAGTGGCCGCCGGGTAATGTTCGAGCGAGTGAGGAGTGCGATGAACGACGAACTCGATGTTGTGGTGGATAGGAAAACGAATGAAAGAAGCGAATAGCGCAATCGCTCAGCTGGACGCATGGTGCCGGGACATTCCGCACCGGTGCTTCTAGGCCCTTCGACAAGCTCCTGATTCAAAGCGATGGCCCTCTGCACCCTTTGTATGTTTTCTCGTATGTTATGTTATAGTCTATGTCTATGTCTACATCTTATACTTGTCACATCAACTTCCAGCACAACCCACAGACCACCGCGTCTTAACAGTTTCCTTTGCTTGTAGCGGTATGGAAATATAGAAATTCTCTCCCAAAATACTCCCTAATGAACTTGTCTGCCTGAGCGCTGGTCTCGTTGATGTCAGATATAATGGGGCCCTCGTAGTACGTACACCCCTGGGCCCAGCCATCATTTTCCCCCCATGGCTTCAACAGGATTGCTAATGAATACCACAACTATAATTGCACAGTGCTAGAAGGAATCTTATACGGCGCGCTTCGTGATGATCAGTCATTCCATACCCACCAAGCCAAGGTTCTTCAGGCTTCTTAGTCCTCGTGTTTATTGGCACCATGTGGGCATCGACCTACAAACATGATGTCAATCGCCCAATCATTTTGGTGGCAATCTCGCTGTTCATACTAAGTACCGCGGTGAGCGTCTGTGCTCTTGTATCCGATGTCATCAGCTGAATTCTCTCTCAAGCACATAGTCGTAGACATCATTCGTCTTGAAAATGGATTTGTCAAGTATCGCAACACTTTCCCTGGTGGACCAGCAACATTTTTCCAAGATATCAGCCAGCCAACGTTTTTGCTAAGAATATGATATACACCTTTCAAACTATGCTTGGCGATGGGGTGTTGGTGTGTTCAAATTTTATTTGCTAAATGGAAACCTCCGAGCTTAAAGAGTGCCTTCTCTGGTAAAAGATTTATTGCTGTTAGGTAGTTTGGCAATCCATCGGGCTTATCATCCTACCAAGCCTGCTGTGGTGCAGCTGCTCAGGTAGGTCGCTATTGTGCGTTCTGATTTTGCATTGAAACGGCTAATTTGATTGCGGACTACTACGCTTTGCAGGCAAATGGTGGAAATGTCTTCACCGATCAGACTAGAGTATGGGTTGTTGCCGTGGTTGCCTTGACACTTTCAACCAACCTGATTTCGTCAGGTAAGCATGATCGCATGTTAATGAGGTCCATAACAACCTGAATTCGTCCAGGATTACTTGCGTATCGTATCTGGATGATGGAACGCAAAGTCTCTACAGTGCACGCTACGAGCGACACTTTGATGCCTATTGTGCGTGTGCTTGTGGACGCCACCATTATATATTCTGGGATGCTTCTTGTCATGCTAATCTGTTTCGTCTCTGATAACAATGCCCAGTTTATTATACAAGACATGGTAATTATCACTGTCGATGCCTGTTGTTAAATCTTACTGAACCTCGACAAGATAATGCCGATCATCCCGATCGCATTTTACATGGTATGTATTCGTATTATATTCAGGAACATCATTCACAGTGACCTCTCAACGGTCTATAGTGCAGGGAGCAACGAGAGGGAGAGCGACTTGCAGCAACATCCTACGCAGCCTCTGCAATTCATACCCCGATGGACGCATACGGACTGTATCTTGAACGGAGTAGGGAATCAGGACCGAACGTTGACATGCAAGGCGGAGTCTAAGGGATTCGAAGGGGCGCCTGGCAACGTCTAAAAGGCAAAGAGGGGCACCTCTAGTTCTTGGTCAGGTTCCAACACTCGATGAGACAGATCACGTCCAGCATATCAGGTAGAGCCCTGCTCGAATCTGGTTGTATTTCGCCCAAGCTTTGCCATTCTATCCCATTATCTACACGCTTTAGTGTTCGTTACCTTCAAGTCACTTGCAAGGTCATACACCATATATTTAATACACAACGGTCCTCTGATACTGTCATGGCCTCCCTGAAAACTGACCTTGGGAGACATCCTTTTCAGGCCACCGTCCCTCCCGGAACTCGGTCCAATGGTCTTCATGCTGTCGAGAATCTCAAAGACTGGAATTCTCCCGAGAAACCGCAAGTAGAGGCTTGGTGCAGTAGGTGGGACACACATACAAACCGGGTGAGTATTTTGAGACTGCCTATCAGGAAAAATGCTCATCCCCTATAGGTCTACACTCCTCATTATTTACGTCTTCACCGAACTTGAAAACGAGGAGACGAAAAACAAATGTAGGGATCAAAGTTGTACAGCGCATCCAGCAGGCAGCTAATTCTCAACGAAACCTTCGATCAGGTCACTATTTATGAAATGCCTTTTGGCAGTCAAGCGCAATCTGGCCATGTGTTGCGTTCCGCATGTCGTTGAGAGAAGTGCTCATCATCCGTTTGTTGCAGATGGATCATAACTTTGGAAGTACTCCTTCGACACTTTCACCACCGAAGGGGCTATATCAATGTCCCCGCAGACACAGGGTGGATATGAGACAAACCATGTCGAACTTAGTACCTGACTAACAAACATATCTTGAAGGTCGGACTCGGAGTTACGGAGGGCTTCATACAGGGAAGGTACCTTCCTCACTAGGCGGTCACACTGAGTTCTTCTCCCAGGCGCTCAAAACGAAAATTCCCGACGCTTGATCCCTCGTTCGTGGTCAGAAAATTGTACTCACATGTCGGCATCTTTAAGTTATCTTCAAGGTGAGGCGACGAGGGAAATATACCAGACCAAGCAAACCATAATCATACAACGTCCAGTCGGTCCTAGGGCTCACCTTTGTCTGTTGTCCCAAATATTGTAATAGTAAGACAACTTGAACCTTGGATTTCTAAGGTGAGTTTTGGCCCCAAAATCGATAATCTAAAGAATGCTCTTTAGTTTCACTGGCAACGGAACTGAAAATGAAAAGAGAACAAGCCTCGTTGAACGAGTTGTCCCAACTCCGAAGAAGGATTTACTGGCAAGGTCGACCGCACGTGGAGTCCGAACATCCGCGCAAGTTCAATATGGGTACTTGGAGCCTCGCGACACAGCCACGTCCGATAACAAGTAGTAACAACTACACAATCTACCACTGAGACATACGTATTCAGTTCCAAAGAGATAACAAACATGGTTTCTTTGCGAAGAGTTGTACCCTCGATACCGTCACGACAAGCATAAGGCATAACTTTGTTCCTGTTAGAAGCTGAGACACAAAATCGCTCAGTGTTTAGAGACAAGTAGACATTATCTATACCTAAGACATAAAACACGCTAGAGGAGATATAGTAAGAAGTGGCACGACGACGAGAGACTAGAAAACATATTACCTCAGTGTTTGGAGACAATAACTGAGGTATCAGGAAACGAGACGGTGACGTATTACATACGTGAATGCACGTGAAAAGTAGAAAAAGGAAAAGTGCTGTGCGATGACGACGACGACAACGATTCTGCTTATAATGTGTATCTGAAGTCAGGCGCACGGTCTCCCAGTTCTCGCAATTCCTGTTCCGAATATTGGATTTTCTCTCCCCGTTCCGTTGCGAGGCGTTCAGTAGCGTCGCGTTGGGCGTTGATCCTCTTGTAAATGAACGCCACAATTGGCAAAAAGATGAATCCAATCCCGACGAACATGAGTTCCAATGCATCTGGAAAAAAGAGTTAGCCGGCGCGAGCCGAGTCAACGAAGTTGAACTTACGCCCAAGAACGAAACGAGGGGAGTCTTGCGATCTATAGATGACGGCTGCAACTGCACCGCTGAAGTTTCCAATGCACATTTGGAGGGGCATGCCAACACTTCTCTTGTACTGGCCGGAAAGATTGTTTCCGAGCCTTAATTACCATATGTTAGCCTTAGTCACGACGCGACTGATAATGACGTACCAAGAAATGATTCCAGGATATGCTGCATAGCTTCCCATGACAATCAAGAAAGTCCCAAAGTACTTGACCCCAATGGGTGCAGTCGATATGTTCATCGAAAAGCCGATGAGACACATTGTAAGGCCAGCAAGAATGAAAGGGGATCGTATTTTCAACTTGTCCGAGTAGTATGCAAAAACGAGCAATGTGAGAGCTAAATGGAACAGGTTACTGCGTGAGATTGCGGAAGGGTAACATAACTGACTTGCGGCAACATATGGTGGCACGGTGAGCAACTGGCTGACTGGCGTGTTATATCCAAAGCTCAAATACAATTGAATAAATGGATCACAATCAGCTTGTCACGACGGACCTCTTGATGATTGTTCTGCCGCCGTAAATAGGTTAAACACCATCTTCAAATATCTAACAACCAACTTACGGGAGAAACAGGGTGATGCCATACACTAAGAGTGATTAAATCAGCTTCTGCCGTCGCTGAACGGCAAAGGTGTGTCACTTACGAGGCCCAACGATTGATACGTAAATGGGGATATGAAGCCAGACCTGACGAGTTGGTTGAGGCACGAAAATGACAAACCTCAAAATAATACCTGCCAGTCTCTGAACGCGGCCCAGACGTGCCTGGAGGCAAACCTCTCTTCCTCTCCGACTGATGAATTGTCGTATTCTGACAGAAATCCGAATCGTATCTGCCCTCTCATAATTTGTTACTCCACTCACTTTCCTCCACACAACAAAAGCACGCTCTTCCGGGGTCAAGAACTTAGCTGTGTCCGGAAAGTCGACCAGCACTGAGCGATCATATATATATATTAGCCCTATGTGTGATAAAACGTGTGCTGCACTCACCAAAGAAAGCAATGATGGCTACAACTATCGTTGCAAGGCCTTCAAGCATCTGCATATAAGTTTTGAGCGCCACTTCTGACATTGACCAGCGTAAACGAGCTCACGAAGATCCAAGACCATGCTTCGAGTCCTTCCATGCCACCCATGTAGCCAATCCCAAAGGCTAGTAAACCGGAGAAAGCACCTGAATTTTGTTTCATTATTAGAATCCCAATGATGTAGCGAGACAACAAACCTGCAACTGTTGCAGCACCAAAAAACAAGCCAACTATCGGAGCACTTCAACATCCCGGACGGACAACCAAATACAGGATACTTACTTCGATATTGTAACATGTGTCTCGGATACCACAAAGTAAGGCTGTAGATCCATCAGTAATATCCCGCAAAAGTTCTCTACTTATACTCACTAATAAACCACGCCAGGGAACAAACCTGCCTCAGCAATACCAAGACAGATTCGCACTCCAACAAGCTGAGGGTATCTGGCATGCAATTAATATCAAGTCAAAAAATTGGCGAAATTTTCCCAATCTTACGTCTTCACGAAAGCCATGAGTGTCCTGGCGATAGGCTTCCTCAGCAATTTTAGAGAGTATCAAAACTGAATGACGCACATAACTACCCCCCCATGCAAACTGTCGAGCGTGAGATAAATTCAGCAGCCATCATGCAAGACTTACATTGATCCCCGGAAGCCATCTCAAATACGAAGAGAGTCAGTCATGTAGTACTCAAAGGTTAACACGAAAACTTGCCTGGATGGCCTGAACACTTTAAGAACCAGGCTTGAGGTTGCAGTCAGAGCGCAAATAACCAACACATTGGGTCCCAAACAAACTTAGCGGGACATTCAAGCAAGCAGTATGGCTTTAACGGTTTGCTTCAGAAAAATCCGACACCTATCAGAATAACGATACTTACTACGATAAACATTATCTGCATCCAGCTGTAAGATTGGCAATATTGTGGACATCAAACCACACATTACGTACCAATGTAATGTTGAATCTATTTCCCGTGAGATCCAGCTGAGTGACAAGCCCCTCCAACTTCGCGTTACCGATGTTACCTGTTAAAAAGTAAGGATAATATTTGATGCCAACTGTTGCGATCACTACGCACTTCTGTCAAGGAAAGCCAGAAGATACATCAAACTGAGGATAGGCACTATCCGCAGGTCAATCTTTCTCCACAGTTTCCTCTCCTGTTCTGGCGTCAACACTGGGACATTTTTGAGATCCAAAACCGAGTCCTCCAGCTGCTCGCCACGCTGGTTGTGTTCAGAGCTGATGGGATTCATCTGATCAGCGGGAACAGTGTTCACAACGTAAGTCATGGCAAACAGCGACAATAAGAAGGGAAGTTCTTAATCCTTCCTGATCTCTAATTCTATCTGAAGAAATGAAGAGGCTCGGACTAGACACGATGAAGAGAAGGTTGCATATCGTCAGTACTAAATATACAATAGATTCGTAGTAAGTAGCTCACCCCAGTCTTAGTTGAAAAGGTTGAGGGCAAGTAATATTATTGGACGCTGAATACTAAAGGATGTTGAAACGGAGAACGAAACGTGAACGTGTATGGAACGTGTATAATAAAGATAGACACGTACGCTGGATGTATCGAGATATGTACCCCCCTTTGCTGAATTCTAGATCAGCAGAAACGGGGCATAGTATGACGTATTCGGCTGTATTCAGATACAATTTAAATGTCTGCCAGCTGTCCCTGCGATAGACGGATCAACTTGTGGTGAATCTGGTGATACAAAAGTCAGCTCCAGGGGCGCACTTGAGAATAATTAGTTGTGCCTTTCGACAGACCATTACCACATCACCATCAGTGAAATACATGACACGAGAGAGAATGCCACTTGCATGAACCTACTTGAATTCGAAATCCAGGATTTGCATCCGAGCTTACACACAGAATTTTATCCAAACTTCAGTGATGTCTGTCAGCAGCGAGGTTTCAAGACTGGTCTCATGGGTTCCATTAACGAGTCTGGCCGTTGCATCTGCGTTGTCCATCCCTAATCGTCAGTAGATGGATTAATCATCGAACGTTGCTATACCGACATATGCTTTCATTCTCGGACCCCACTTGCCAATTCGCCTGTTCATCAGATAAGTAGGAACAGTTTCTGGCTTTCCTGTCAGCAGGCAAGAATGGAGGATGGTCCGGATTCTGAATAGTGCTGCCGCAGTCCGGTTTGGTCCGGTTCATAGAGGGTTGAGCAAGAACCGAGAACCGAACCTAGGTCCGGTTCTACTAGACTCGCCGAACCTCGAACTGGACCTTTGCGAACGGTTCAAAACGGTCAGGTCCGGTTTTTTTTTCGGTTCGAACGCGAACCGAACCCAATTTTTTTTACAGCTACCAAAAAAAACATAGACGGAGTATTTGTACGAATAGCTACATGTGTTCTCGAATCTCGATAGGTGTAATTGAAGTGAATCACATCAACAGAAAAGTTCGCCTCTCCGAATGCATGATCTAGATCATCAACCTGAAGACAGGTGAAGATGATATTCTCCTCCCCGGCAAACACATCACCTCTGAGCACCGCACTATGGACCCTCGATCTAAACAGCCTGCTTGGGCAACGCTAGGATTACAGGTCATCGCAATTATTTGCGCGTGTGCACTGTATAACATTGCCTCTGCCTCTGTTTCCGGGAAGCGTAATGTCCAAGGGCTGCATCAGCCGAACCAGTTTCCAGGTATAGAATTAGTCGGCGGCGCTCAACAAAAAGAAAAAGGTACGTATGTTCAGCGATTGTTCATGAAGTGTTCCAAACAAGCCTGTGTGGCTAGCACCAAAGTTGTTCTTTCCAAGTGCCATAGTACGGGTGAACAAAGCCTTACCTGACCAAGTGTATACTTCAAGCTCGCATGTCATACTGAGCGATAGCGTAAGCGGAGCTCCGTACCCTGGAGCGACTTGGTCATTAATATTGTTCTAGGACTCGATGTTCTTTCAGTGGCACCTCGGCCGGTCCAGATTCACGTCTTGCTATATCGACAGCATCGTTCCCACTGTTGAAGATGGTCTTGCGGCCAACAAGTCCTATACTTCATCTGGGACCATCACCGAAATCCAAATCTGGAATGTTACCACTCCTGCTGAAGGCATAATGAGCCTCAGCTGGAACACACAACCCCGACGAATAAATGACCATAAGTGTGTGCCTCACCAATGTCGCAAGGAAGCTTCGGTTCGCGGTTCGGAACGGTTCGGGAAAGTCCGAACCTATGTCCGAACCGTCCGAGAGACAGCGGACCGCGAACCTCATTCCGGTTCGGTCCGCGCAAAATGCAGAACCGTGGACCGAACCAAGGACGAACCTGACCATTGGTCAGGTTCGAACCGCAGTTCGGGACCGGACCACGGCAGCACTAGGACTCCGGAAGGCGATACTTAGCTTCACATGTCAATCAAGCCTTTTGGAGTTGATACGTGCAGTACTGACAATACGCGAGGACAGAGAATGGGTGTAATCGCATACAGGCTGACCTTCGTGATTCCCATATCCACATAAAGACATCATATATAGCCCAACCAGTGGATTCAGCTTTCGACCTAAATGGCATTTGTTTGGCTTGTCCCCAGGCCCCCAATCACCTCGCTGGCTTGTACCAGCGGAAAAAATTGAAATGCATTGATCGACTTGGGAGGTAACAATCTGAGTAGGTCGAGACCTACTCTCAGCTGGCGGAAAATCTTATTATGTCGGACGGGTGTCGAACTTGAAGTTAACCTACTAATATAGTATTTGAATAACTCGCTATTTATTGGTGCTTTAGTGTTCAAAAACATTAAACGCCAGGTCTACTTGGGACCTCTCATGTAGTTCACAGCCTAGGATGCACGACATGAAAGTATTACTCATAGTAAGAAGTGCACACCTGACGAATTTTGCATCCTGCCATGCTTTTCCGGATATCTGGCCTCAATGTGCTAAAGTCAAGGCGACTCAATCCAGTTCCAGACGATTGGATTTTTGAATAAATCTAAGATCCCCCAGCGATTCGCCACACCTCCATCCCGCCCTCGCCTCCAATGGCCACCACATCCCCAACCCAATCCACCGCAAGCACCTTCATCCTATCCCATACCCTGAAACTGGTCACAGCGCCTTTCGTGCTCCGCAGGTCCCACAACCGCATAATGCCATCATAGCTGCCAGTGACAACCTGACGCTTCCCACTTTCAGATGTGGCAATGCAGGATGGAGTCGCAGGGTGCATCATAATGCCTGTGGAGGATGAGAGGGACGAAATACGGAGGTCGAAGATGGACACGGTGCGGTCTGTGGATGCAGCAAGGAGGACGTTCCCGTCCGGGGTTTCAGCAAGATCGAGCATCGGACGCTCAGGGACGTTCTGATGCGGCGAAATATATTCAGTTTGGGTTCAGACAGCGAGGAATAAGACTCACAATAGTATTTATACACACACCACTTTCGACATCCCAGGTTCGCACAGTCGAGTCAAAGCCACAGCTGTACGCCTTACCTTTTGCAAGTTCACCGGCAGCAAATAATGCTTTTGACACGCGTGCAGTGTGCGATTTTAGCACTGCTGTTGGTGCTTTCCGTTTTATGTTTGCGGGGGCGGTCTTACGCCGCTTTTTCTATCATCACCACGCTCTAAATTGACTTGGTGGTCATCGGGTATTAAGGTGTCCCAGACACCGATGAGACCATCCCACGAAGAGGTGAGGAGATGCGAACCAGATGCATCAGTAGATATAAAGGATAGTGGGCTTGTGTGGAGATGCAGAGAAGCAACAGTGGATGCAATGGGACTCTCTGGGCTCAGAGATATGCGCGTAAGACACGCAGTGAGGTCATGCGACGAACTTGCTAGAATGTGAGACTCAGTGTCTGGTGACGAGGATGGTACAACGCAGACGGAAGTGATGGGTGATTGGTGCGCAGAGGCGTCGAGAACCAGATTTTGCGAATAGTCGAAGAGACGTAGGTGACCGTCATATGACGCTGATATGAAGTGTCTGTGGTGATAATTGAAGGTTTAGTACATAGATGGATCACGAAGTGATGTACGCTGGCTGAACATACTGAGGTATTCGGCATGATACTGAAGATACCCAATCCTCATGTGGAAGCTCGGACATGCGCTGAGGAGGCATCACACTCTCGAAATACTCGATCTCCAATGTATCTTCCTGTCATAACGTCAAGCTCTCTCTCAGATGAATTGATCGCTTCGCTCACCTCTCCAACACCCTTCTCAGCACGCCATTCCAAAAGGGATGTTCTAAGAATCTCGCCATGGACAAGGAAGTCAAATGGAATAGGCTTGGGGAGGTCAAGTGCTTTGTTGATGAGTTGGGAGAGCTGGTAGCGTTTCCAGTCCAAGGGGATCATAAATTTTTGGGAGGGGAGTGCATAGGGTGTTTGAGTCGTAAATATGACGGGGTGTGAGGGCGCTGCGGACGACGATGACGACGCCATGGTTGATAGTGAGCTCGATACCTACACGGTACACTCGTTCAGTGAAACCGACGCCTATGTGCGTTAATAGACGTTAATGATATTTTTCTGTGACAGTGTCAGGTCACTTCAAGTTCATGTCACACACAACTTGCAAGTCTCTTCCGACTCGTCTGCCGCCACTCGGAGTACTTGCAGCGCAGATTTGGCGCTGACCATCATGCATATGCATCAAGCTATTTCAACATTGATATCTTTTACTTCTATTTGGTCAGCCACACGTACATGTTAACGTTGTTGACTTCGGATTAGAGATTCAAGAACGCGGTATTACCTGTTGCCGTCATGGTTGCCTGTTGCAGACAAACTTGAAACCAGCATACTGAATGCACTGACGGTCCTAAAGTAAGTTCAAATATTCAGCTTATCTGCTCAATTGCAGGCACATCGTCAAAGCTATATGCTCAATTTCCTACATTGTTTGCCCTTATCATTATCCGGGCTCACTCACATCCTCGGGGATTGTTCCGCCGCGCGATCTTGACAGACCTATTATTAAATAGCTTGAACTTTGATAGTGCGGATCAGGTGAGAATTCGCGATTCCGCGGTTCGACATCTGCCCTCACGAGCACGTCCCGTGCACCATCTGCCAACCAGCATATAAGTAGGAGCCCGTCTACACGTTATCCCTTCACCTTGGACTGTTCCCTCGTCTCAATATTATGTCCAGCTCCGTCGACGAGAAAGGTGGCGGCTCAAACGGCCCTGATAATGATTCTATCTCCGTGTACGAACGACCAAAGGGCTTGCGTGGTGTTTACTATCACCCCATAACGCAAATCGTTATGCTTGCTTTTGTCTGCTTCTTATGCCCTGGGATGTTTAACGCCCTCACTGGACTCGGCGGAGGCGGCCAAGTCAACCCAACGACTTCTGCAAATTCGACTTGTGCGGTATACGCGACATATGCGTTTTTCGGGTTCTTCGCTGGGTAAAGACATTCCATCCCCATGACTATCCGGTAGTTAATTGAACGTACAAATTGAAAGAACCGTCAACAACAAGATCGGCGCTAAGCGCACTCTGCTCTTTGGATCATTGGGCTATGCGCTCTATGTCGGTTCTTATCTGCAAGTTCTTTTCTTTTCCTGCCGGTCTCCATCCTTATGTCTAGCCCAGCGCAATCAATATCCACCCTGACGCTGGCTGGTTTGTTGTTACCTCTGGAGCCCTTCTCGGTGTCACTGCTGCGTTCCTGTGGACCGCTCAAGGCTCAATAATGCTAAGCTACTGTACTGAAGCGCAGAAGGGCATCTTTATCAGTATATTCTGGGCCATTTTTAACTTGGGAGCAGTCGTAGGAGCTGCCGTGTCCTTCGGGCAGAATATCCACTCAACGGTATGTACTGCGGTGCATTATTGACACCAGTGCTTACCACTGCGGCTTTAGAACAACAATGGTAAGTCTCCTCCCTCATCATGCTTTCCTCTTAATTCAACTTGTCTCCTATCAAGTCAGCAATGGAACATATGTTGGTCCTCGCTAAACGCTTCGTTGGCACTATCACTAATCATAATTACTGCACAGGTCGGAATCCTGGTTCTCACAATACTTGGGGTGACGATCCCTCTTCTGATGGCCGATCCCGATAAAATGATCCGCACAGACGGTACGAGGGTCGTGATGCCTCGCCTTCCGTCATGGAAGTCCGAATTTTATGGTTTATGGGTTGCGATCATCACTGACCCTATGATCCTCTTGCTCTTCCCGATGTTCTTTGCGAGTAATTACTTTTACACGTGGCGTGCGTCGCTTTTTATTCCCACTACTTAAAGCACCTGACCCTCTGAGCAGAGTTCAACGATTACAACTCAGCACTGTTTAATATCCGCGCGAGGTCTCTCAATAATTTCATGTACTGGCTTTCGCAGATCATTGGCAGCGGAATGATCGGTGTCGTCCTAGACTCCAAGAGGCTACGGAGACGTGCGCGCGCGTTTGTTGGGTGGGGTATTCTACTGGCGATGACATTCACAGTGCACATCTGGGCTTATTATTACCAACGGTTCGTATTCTCCAGCATAGATAGACCTTCCCGTCAATTCTTGATGATATTGTATCCAGGACGTACACCCGCGCTTCTGTCCTCGCAGACTCGCAGAAGATGGATATTTACGACGCGGGTTACCCAGCGCATGTCTGGCTTATGATATTCTATGGATTGCTGGACGCAATGTGGCAGACGACGAGCTTCTGGCTCATCGGTGCAATGAGCAATGATACGAACAAACTGGCTATCTACGCCGGGTTTTGTACGCCTCGTCTCTGATTCCACTTGGTATGTGAGTCCTAACTGTATTTTACAGACCACTCCATTCAGAGCGCTGGAGCTGCTGGCGTGTGGCGGATGGATGCAATAGGGCTTCCGTGAGTCTTAGTCACTCGGCCAATTGACCAGGATCGAAAGTTAACTGCTGGTCTTGCAGCTACATGAACATCTTCCTCTCTACGTGGTGTCTAGTTGTCGCTGGTCTTGTGTTCTCTTTCCCAATGATCTACCTGCGCATCAGAGATACAACTGTGCTCGAAGATGAAGGCTTGTGCGTGACTCTTCTTCCTTTATTTGTCTGTCTGCAGTTGCTAAATCTGTGTCACATACAGAATGAAGAGAGATCAGGAGATGAATAATATGAAGGCAAAAGGGATGATCGAGAGCGGGAACGAGATGTCATGAGCGCTTTGGAGACATGATATGTGCTCATGACCATTCACACAAGTTAATTTGAAAATCAGATTGTGCGCCTGCAGACCTTGGAATCCATCTACTATCGTTCGGCCTTGAACCTTTTGAACTTAGAACACGGTTGATGCCCTACGGTTTCAGTAGCGATACAGACAAAATATACCATGGAAAACTGGGCACACAAACCCCATTCAACGGGCCAGGTTACGTATATGGGCTGTCTAGGGAGAATCGCGTGGAATGCATCTATCATCTTTAGAGTGGACACGAAAGTGTATTCATGAAGATGCAACATGTGAACTAGATTTTATGCACCATATGATCATGTGCATCATGATTGTGCTGTCCGATGTTTATACGCGACAGCGAAAATGATAGGAATAAACAGGAGATTCATATTATAACCCATCCCCGTGTCATCTGCACAAGCTTGTTCTAGTAATACTCAAGTGATACTCATGTCAGCTTCGAATATTGGGACTGCTATTGTTGGCGCGGGTATCTTCGCTAAGGAAGGTATGCGAGATAATCAATTGCTTGACTCACCCATCCTGCTCCGATCATTCACTTTTACTTTCTAATTATATTTCAACTGGACACCTTCCTGCACTGCAAGCACTTGGCCCTCTCGCGCCAAAGCTCAAAGCGATTTACTTGCGATCAGAGAAGAGCGCTCGTGAACTTGCTGCTCAAGCAACAGCCCTCCTCGATACTACCCCTGATGTCTACTTTGACGGAAATACATCTTTCAATCTCGATGCGCTTCTCGCCAGGTCTGACATTTCATCCGTTATCATCTATCCTCCCAATCACCCATCAGTCGTCCATTGTCTTGAAAGCACTCGCTGCCGGCAAACACGTGCTAAGCGAAAAGCCAGTTGCAGCAGACGTGGCGTCTGGTGTCAAATTGATCGCTCAGTATGAAGCGCAGTATAAGCCCAAGGGGCTTGTGTGGAGAGTAGCCGAAAATTCGGAGGCTGAGCCAGGTCATATTGCCGCTGGCCGTGCTATCGCAGCCGGTAAGATAGGAAAAAGGCACTTCTTCTTCAGCTCTCGTACTGTTAACTTCATGGACCGGGATACCAAATGGTATACCTCGACGTGGCGGAGGTAGGTTGATTTCCTTGATCTGTTGTCTGATCTGACAAGATTTGGACTGTGTCTTCGCTTCAATCGGATTAGCATCAGGGAGGTTCGTGGTAAGATCCATATAATGCTTACTCCATCAGACTTAAACGGCTGACACTTAACTGAGTTTAGCTGGATACCGGTGTGGTGAGTCCTCGCGGTGAAATATTTGTGGCCGCCGCCGCCGACTCGCTTCTAGCGCTCCGTCGCAGCACTTCGTGTCATACTCCCAAGTGCGATGACTCGCCTATCCGGATTTGCATCGCTCAACCAATAGTTGCTTGCTCCCCACGATACCATTAACACCATAATAAAAAATGCGGATGGCCCGCATGGCGTATTTGAGCTCAATTTTGCTGCACCTAGCCTGTCTCGTTGCGATGTAGAGTCATCACCAGCACAGATGACTGGCTTAAGGTCCAGCAAACCACGGCCCATGACCTTATCTACAACGTCGAGAAGCCTGTTTTTTAAATCACTATCAAGTCGGCAACGTGCAATGCAAATGGTGTGCTTGGCCCCGAAAAGGAGGTTATTGATGAGCCGCTCAGAAGCATAGAATTGGGGCAGGCGAGCTTCTTTGCAGGATTAGAAGTAAAAGATGATGGTCTTGGTAGCCCCCCTCGGTGCATTGAAGGACGTCGCGGTTATCGAGGCTGCCTTGACTAGTGGTGGAGAACTCATCGATCTTGAGAAACTCATCAGCCAGTCCTAGATGTGGCCCATCTGGCAGCACGGACAAGTTGCGGAATATGACACCCAAATTTGCAAAGCAAATTGCATTTGGTAATGAAATTTGTTATTGACGACTACAGGCCATTTCTTTATGTGCCATGCATGTGCGAGTCATGTAATGTCCGCGGCATCTCTGGGTCTTCTCGGATGCGCACCATCATGATATGCCCCCGCTGATCAGAATATGTGATGGTGATGTACAATCCAAGACTTACTCGTGCGCTAGAGATTTACAGAAACTTCAGGTTGCGTCACAAGTTTCCAGTCGCGCTTACACATACGGTGCACACAAAGGTAAGAGGTAAAAGCGAACTAAGTAATTGGTGAACTAAGAGTCTAAGACAGTGGCAGAATGAGTGAAGTCACAGTGTCACGGCATCGGCCCGGGTGCATGTCACACTGCCCTGCCTGAATCGAATATTCGAATTTCAACGTTAATATCAAATTCTTCAGTTTCATTTGGCCCTACATGTTGCGGATTGCCTGCCGCCTTGCTCGTTGCAGACAACCGGGCCAGTGACCCAGTCATTCTGCCCGCGCGGTCCGCCAGTGAATTCAAATTTTCAGCTTATCTATTCGATAGGCAGATCTTTGGAGCGGTATACGCATTTTCAGGCATCAATCATTCGTGGCCTTCACTGATCTCGTTATTATTAAACCAGGCGCTCCTACCCTGACGAACTCCAGATAAGGTGAGAGATCGCTGTCTAATCCCGCCTTGGCGAGCACCATCATGGTCCCGTGTCATTTCTGCATATGCATCAATGTATAAGTAATGGAGCAAACTCACGCGTTATGCCTCCACTGTGGATCATTTGATCTCTGTACCATGACAAACTGTTCCGAGGGGAGAGATAGCGGTTCCAATAGCCATGATCTTGATCATGATTCTGTCTCCGTGTGTGAACGACCCCAAGGCTTTCATGGTGTCTATTATCATCCAATAACACAAGTTGTTTTGCTTGCCTTTGACTCTTATCTGCTTATTGTGCCCCGGGATGTTTAACGCCCTCACTGGACTCGGTAGAGGCGGCCAAGTCGATACAAGGGCCTCCGAAAGTGCAACTTGTGCATTGTACGCAACATACGCGTTCTTCGGATTCTTCTCTGGGCAACACACATTTTCGTTTCATGGTCGTCTAGTGATTTACTGAGCATATGAAGAACCGTCTGCAACAAGACCGGCGCTAAGCGCACTCATGCGACTAAATAGCCAAGTCGTAATACCAATGAAAATTGTTAACTTAGCGTCGACTTGTTCCTAACATACTAAACCGTTGAGTTATCGTCACTCGGAGTCGTGCTACCTACTTTATAATACATTGAGCAGTTTGGGAAGATATGATACAAATACATAATGCGATATGCGGAATACATTGTCAAGGCCCCTTCGGCCAACTAGATGTAATCCTCCTCCGTTCTCGGAACCTCTACAACGTTATCGCCATCGCCATTATCAATATCAAGACCTTCCTCTGCAGTCGGGGAAACGTCTCTACAGTCGGTAGATTTGAGGCCCTCGTTACGCATATGCTGAGACGTGAACTCGATATCGGAGAATTGTGCCAATGGGACAGCGGTTTTACTGGAAGATGCCGCAGATAACGCGGAGCTAATCCAGCCCTTCCCTTCGGCCTCGCGGAATATAATTAACAGGGGGGCAATGAGCTATAGAGAGTCAATGTAAGAACAGTCAATGTAAAAACATAAATTGAAATGATAATACTGACTTGCGCCTCTCCAAGCACTTGCATGAACACGTTGGCAACAGGACTTTTCGTCGCGAACGGAATCAAGAACAGTAAGGAGAACGTGGAGTAAATTGCAGCGCTCTCAACAATCATCGACTCGACACTAGTGTGTTCCGCTACGTGTTCAGGACCTGATAATCCTTGCTTCGTGTGGAGACGATAGAAATATAGGCGGAACACGATGAGGATGGTGACCATGATATTGGTGGCAAGTTCAAAGAAAAAGTATGGGAAGGTGAAATTCACAGTCGTGCCAGCAGCAGAGTATGGCGATGATGATGGGGATGAGATCTGATAGAGAAAGAGGACGCCGAGCACTGGGAGAGGAATGCCAAGTTAGGCGCATTAATGCATAGAAATGTAGACTATTTACCAAAAGATATGAGGAGCATGGTCCCTAGCATCACGAGGATTGACCTTGGACAATTCCCCACAATCACGGTATATAATGGCGCAGCGCCAGACCTATACTGATGAGGATTGATGATATGACTGTCTCGATCGAAACTCACCATGAGCGCTGTAGCACACCAATCTGCCAAGACAAAAGAGACATTGGATATCTCATCCGCACTGATGGAAAACATATCAACCTCCCACGCACTGGGACCACCTGGAAAATTTCGATCATTTATGAAGGCGAGCTGGGTGAATTGGGAGTTGGAGCCTATGAAAAGCGATCCTAGGGTGAACATGACACAGACATAGACGAGAAAAAAGCAATTCCTAGTATAGTCTGCGTCCCTTACTCGCGTACGGTGCCACAATGACTGCAGACAGAGCCAGAAAAGAGCCAAGACAACGCCATAGCCTACGCCGGTGATGATGCTACCAGCCAGCCATGTTTTCTCGGCGTAGAGCTGAGCGGGGGACTCGTCCGGTGTGTAGGACATGGCAAACGAGTACAAGTAGCCTTGTAGTGGGGATTAACTTGAAGAAGGAAGCTAAGAGAGACATGGCTCCATATCTTGGCTGCAGAAGGTTGCGCTCGGAGCGCGCTGTTGCAGTAACTAGTTTATGTAAATGTTTGTTCGCATCAGGATTTCCATTGGAGTCACGTATCAAAGTCGCCTATATATATACTAACCTTTCCGCTGCAATCGGCACCCACAGAAGTCGGCACTTTCACAAAACTTATATTTCTGGTTCTTAACATAGATATTATTCTCTCTCTAATACAACTCATTACCAGGTCGAACGACCACGATCGAGGCAGAATTGAGTAAGATAGTTCAAGTCGTCGAGGTCCTGCCGAAAGCCACTAGCATGTGCCGTGACGGAGGAATTTCAATAGTACTGCGCATCACACGTTCGCCCAAAAACAGTCACGGTCCTTTAAGCAATTCCTGCTACACAGGTTATATCTAGCAGCGATAGGTAATGTTCGTCCTCAGTCCTCTAGTAGTTCGGATATCGTTCATGTTTTCGTCTATAGGTTACGAAGCACGGATTGTCTTGATGCCACCTGACTTTCGAGGACTTCCAAGTCGGTATCGATATTGGCCGATCCGCTATCGTGCACACAACTTTGACTGATTGGCTTATGGACTCCTTCGAACCTTCCAAAGCGCTTCGACAGATTGTCGATAATGTACTACATTTCTCCGAGTCGCGGTAAAGTTCAAACATGGCGAGATTCTCCCGAGCTTCGAAAACTACACGATGCAGGGCATCATTCGTCAAGCCATCGAATTTCCTTGCCTGTAATTAGTTATCAGAGAGATATAACATAACTACGGCGCATGTCTGATTACCTCGACTCATGTTCACGCATTCAGGATCTGAAATGGCTTCTCGGCGTCAAACTTCAAGTATAAAACATTCAAGGATGGATCGGCGACTTCTTCGCGTTGTTTCGTCACTGTACTATGACCAGATATGCAGGAATCGTGTATCGCTCCCTGGACCAACATCTTCTGCATTTGCCACTACAAGAGGTCGACGTGAGAGTATGGATGGTTGACGGTGAGTTGGAGCGAGATTCACATTCACCACTAATCTGTATTCCTCTTACCTCGTAGTCTCTGCGAGAGTCATGCTCTCTCAAGTCTTCGAGAATGACTCAGAGAGCCCTACAAGCCGCGCAAAATACGTGTTCCCTCTTCCAGCGAACGCCGCGAGCTGCGCCTTTGAGCTCGAACATGCTGATGGGCGCGTTATAACCTGCGTTGCAAAGGAGAAGTCAGAAGCTGCAGAAGCTTTCCACGTTGCAATGGATGCCGGAAGGTCCGCGGGATTAGTAGAATGTGTGGCGAGCGCATTACGACGATCCTGGACGAATTCTGACTCGACCTTGATCTAGTATTCACAGTTTCAGTTGGCTCGATTCCTGCCCGGCAGAAGGTCACAGTCAGATTGACAGTGAGTGCGCTCTCAGTTCTTCACAAATACTTTGTTTGACGAGTGATCAGTTTGTGATGGATCTTTTTGATGAGGGAAGACAAGATCATGTCTGTTTACAGCTTCCAATGACAATTGCTAAACGATACGGCGAGACTCCGCTCGATACATCCACGGCTAATGAAAGGACGCGTGTTCAAATCACTGTAGACGTACAAACCAGTGGTGTGATACGGGCTATACGTAGCCCTACTCACCCGATCTCTCTACTGCGATACAGGATACACGCAGGAGCAAAGTCTGAACGACGGAGGACCGCACGGTGGTCATCTACGACGTTCCTAGACCAAGACTTCGTGCTGACGGTACATGCCCTTGGACTCAACGAACCTCGGTGTTTCGCCGAAGTCCATCCCCAGCATGCGGATACAATTGCCATGCAGCTCTCTTTCGTACCGAAGTTCAAAATACCTCGCGTTGCGTCGCAAGAATACATATTCGTTGTTGATCGCAGTTCGAGCATGAGCGGAGCTCCGATGGAGACAACTAAGCGCACGCTGGGGATGCTCCTTCACCTCTTGCCAGACTCGGATACGACATTCAATATCTTCAGCTTCGCGAGCGAGGTTAATGGTATGTGGGAGACGAGTGTGTCATTCAACGACAGGAACATGCAGTATGCGGTAATCATGTTCTGTTACTGTCAAGAGCAACTAGACATTGAGCGAGTTGTGCAGATCTCGAATATACAAGCCATACAAGCCAACAATAGCAGAACGAAATTTGCCCACGCCCTGCAGCTTGCAGTGACATCTCGCAATCACAATCGCCCGACTGTCATATTCGTTCTTACTGGTGGAGGCGGACGTGTTGGAGTGGGCCCCCTTCAGAGAAAAGGTATGTTTGCACGGTGTCGTAGAGTGGTCACGCAAGTCTTGTCCAGAGTCAAGCGCTTGATGCCATCGTCCTGCTCAAATGTGCGTCTGATGTCGGCTGAGGCTCTACTCGAACTAATAACGAGACAGTCATCCACAAACCTCGATCCATTCGAGGTTGTCTCAGCGGCTGTCGATAACTGCAGGCCAAACGCGCCATTAAGGGTATTCACCCTCGGGATCGGTGAACATGCTGCATCGGCCGTGTGCGAGCGCCTCGCTCGCTCGGGCGGGGGTGAATGTTTGTTTGCAGTTCAAGCTGAAGACATAATTGAGAAATGTGCAAAGCTTCTGAACACTGGTCGAACGGGTGTAATCGAGAGTGTCGTGGTTGATTGGCATGGTTCGGGCAACCCACAAGCCGTCAACTTCTTACCCTCGAATTACCATCACTCGCTTCCACCCAGTGGTGTGCAGCTGGAGCCGTCACCCCCGATACAGCAGGTTCCACATAGGATCACGAAGATATTCCCTGAGACGCGCTCCAACATCTTTGCAATCACCACTTTTAGATCGATTCCTCCTGAAGTCAGGCTGTATGCCAAGGTTGAAGGCTTGGCTGAGATCCTCGAGTTCGTGGTGCCGGTCACGGCAGTTAAACCACCGCACAAGGATGAACTTCCACTCCTTCATACTTTAGCTGCACGGGAACTTATTAAGCACCTGGCAGAGGGTAGAGCACCGCTTCCAAAACCTGTGGTACCTATCACGAATGAGGAAGTTCAAAAAGCGGCGATTGTCCGCTTAGGACTTGAATACCAGCTTGTGAGTCAACACACGTCCTTTGTTGCCATAGAGTCCCGACGTGAGGCAGCGGGGAGTGGGCTACGCTGGACAACACCATGGGAAAGGTCTCTGCAGCAGCATTACTATGCATCCCCACCTAGCGTCAGTGCTAGTGATGCTGCTGAGGATTATGCTCTGGTAGATGAGAGCATGGTACACACGGTTTTGGACGACTTGTCTCGGGTGGTTGATGCAGTGTTTAGCTTTTTCACCGCAGATCAGGCTGCTCTGTCACGCTCGAGACGTCAGAGGTTGCTTCCTGGTACATCTGCGCAATCCCGTTCGAGCTCGTCGTCGAGTCAGAGTGCACGTCCGTTCCATTACGACAACTCAATCATGGACACGTTCTCTACATTGAGTTCGTTGGCGGGCTTCTCCACCAATTCTCAATGGATCCATTCTCGGTCGTCCAGCCCTTCGGAAGATTCAATTCAGCGCATCCCATCGCCAGTCTTCGATCCAACCTAACGCGCGTCTGAGGGCACGACTGCCGGGAGATGCAGGAGTGTCTAACTCTCGCCCACCATCCGTGCCTAAGGAAGTGTACGCTCTTATCTTGCTGCAGAGCTACAACGGCTCGTTCACACCATCACCTCAATTAGAGGTGCTTGTGGGCGTGGAGATCCTGGAAATGGCGGCAGATTTGCAGGTCAATGATGATATATGGGCGACTGCTGTTGTTGTGGCGTACCTGAGACATCACCTGGGTGCGCAACCGGATTTGTTGCATGTTTTGCTGAGCAAGCCTCTGGAGTATGTTGGGGGAAAGGGAAAGGGCTTGCTGGCCGAACGAAAATTTTCGGACTTGGTGGCGATTGCGGGACGTTTTGTGGGTTAGCGGTGAGAATACAATTGCTTGTTGTGTAGTGTAAGGTTTTGTAGTGTCGAGGTTAGCAAGTTAGCAGCTGTTTTCTTGAGTTCAGCAGGAAACTTCGTGATTTCATTGACAGGCCAGATCTCACGGGGTACCTGGTTTCTTGAAATTTCGGTCCGTCTGTCGAGTCCGTCCCGCCAGAAATGCAAGTGAGCGAAAACAGTGAAGGTTCATGGGAAGACACTCGCATTGGTAAGAGGATGAAAGGTAGATAACGCAAGGGAGACCGAAAAAAAAAACAGTACTGTCTGGAAGGCGAATCAGTCGAAGGCTGGCCAATGATGAGCAATCAGGGCATTTGACAACATTCTCCAGCGTGGAGGATGCCAACAAGCCGCAAGAAGCTCGCGTGACGCAGGAACACAAGGTGAAATAATAGGCGGAGATGGTCATGATGTATGTAACACTGAATGTCTCTTGGAGTAAGCAGCGATGGCGACACAGCGCAGCCAACAGCAGCAAAGGTTGAACAGCTCACCAGATATGTGCATCTTCGTTGTGAACGGGGACAACCTGAGAGTGAGAATCCCTGAGATTTCCATAGTAGAATCGGGTGGTATATATACGTTAATATCGCATGTTGAATAGTATCCCGTGGTAAATAGCCATTCCTTCTTTTGTTATGCTTGTTAGGCGCCAGTGCCTCAAATTCATTTTACCCATGAGCTCGAATGCTCAGATTGGTCCACGTAATCTACCACCACCGAGCGTTCGACACGTACACGTATATCGAGTTCCATGTCGTTGGAATTGCGAGGCGACTTGGGCCTGAACTCTGCATCGATGGGGCTTCTGGCACTGCCAGAGCCTTTGGAGTGGCTCTTGGACTCGAACTGGGAACGAAGACCGGACATCACTTTTTTCTGCGCAGTGAGTGTGGGACGTGCGACGATCACGTTTTCCAAGCGTTGGGCGTCTGGCTCTAACATTCCTTCGCAGGTTTGGGTGATCGGAGCGGAGGGCAACGGAAAGGATGAACATTGCGAGCGTTAGTGGAATAGCAGTCAAGCTCTAGAGTGGTGCGTACCTCGTATATTGATGAGAATCCGTTGGCTCATGATCCACGTTACAGCATAACCTATTGATGCCCTAATGATGCATTCTGAGGGTCTGATCTCCTTGACGTCAGACGATACGAAACTTACCCTGCCGACTAATGATAGGAGCGAGTTGATATAAGTTTCCATGGTGTATCCGAAGTTAAGCCTACATACCTGAGTCTCGATATTGGTCGTATGATAGAGGATCAGATTCAATATATTTGCCGCTGGAGGAATGTTAGGAGGGTGCTCATCACAAGCAGACTATACTTGCCGGACAACACGATGAAATATCCGATGCCGTCGTAGATTAGGCTAAGTATGATGAGCAACGCACATTGACTCTGCCAGTGGTAAGGGACTTACACCCGTATTAGCCGTTCTACTCTAACAGCAATGGTTTAGCGACCCGAAATTCGGGAGAGAAAAGACCCACCTGCTACTGAGAGGATCATAACGCAGAAGATACACGGTAGACATGGTCACCATCACGATGTCATACACCATCACAGCGAGGTAGTAGAACCAAGTCGACAATACTTTGCCAGCATCTGCCGAGGTGCAGCTATAGTTCATGAAGATCTGAACAGCCCACACTGGTGGTAAAGGACCACTTACTTTCCCTAAGAAAGAGACAATGTTTGCGTGAGATCTCATTGTGAGGAACACTGACGTACATCAACAACAACAGCTGTATATTCTAAAGGTCAATGTGAACCCAAGATTAAAATACGCCAGAACTTACGAGTCCGGTGAAATAGATCGGAGAACCACTCCGCCTAAAATGAATAAGAGAAATGATGACATGCCCGTGTAGTAAGAACTCACCGAAATTGAAAAGAGGTATAGCAGCAATAGTGCGATTCCTATCCGCCTATCTCTCCTTGCAATATTGAATGTTCTAAATGATGTCTATCTGTGCAGCTGCAACCCACAAAAAAATCGACAAGACAAACCTGATACCTAGGATGGCCTGCGATATCATAGTTTGTATAGCTATAGCGTGGTCAATAGAGTCATGGTGGGTGAACACCAATAGGACAGACCTTTGAAGGCAGGCGCCACAAGATAGTAGTTTTGACACGTTGGTAGGGTATAGGCGGTGGAGAAGAATCCGTAATTGCTGATTACTATAGCCATAATACTAACATAGCTGCATTGAATGTGAGCGGCAAAATATTCGCAAGACAGACTGAGGACAAAATGTACCGTATGAGAATGAATAAGGCGCAGGCAAGACTGATGGAAATTGAGCTTGTCAACGGTGATAGGTGAACATATGCCCACGTATACATACCTTATATGAAAAATTGACGATTGGCTTCGGTAAAAGCGCCATTCTGCGGGGAGTGTAAGAATATACCTGAACGTAATCTGTCAGAATTTTATGACAACTACGGGGCTGCAACAAAGAAAGAAATAACTACTTACTCGTAAAATGCAATGGAGATGGATGCTACTCGCAAATATTTCTCAGAGGTTACGCTGTCTACAGCCACACGCCGCTCCAGAGCCTCCATTTGATAGATGAAAGGCTCGTCGATTGGCTCTGCAGCAGTCCTTGATAACGATTGAGGAATGAGGGTAAAACAAGGAATGTAGGCAAGGCCACGACTGACTCGGAACAGGCTAACGCTGAAGACTATAAATACTGAGGCAAAATGCCAGCAAGGCATCGCTTTTCTACCAAGACCACACTTTAAAATTGATTAAATGTGCTCGGATACTAGGCGACAAAAAAGGGGCAATCTTGTCTACAGTAAATCTGTCATGCAAGGCGAGATCGAGCCAAGATCGAGCCAGCGAACAAGCAGGCGAAACAAGGCGAGACATTAGCTGGCATTGGCGAGGCACGTCAGGGCACGTCTAACTTTCAGCTTGAAGGTCAGTGTCAACTTTGCTGATTAGTAAGCAGATATGCGGGGTTTATGAAATTCAAATGAAATTTATTTATGAGTCCGAGTCGTGCCAAGTCAACCAAGTCAGTTACGGTACTCAGACATATGATTATTGAAGGTCTCCAAGTTAAGACTTGCGAGGAACGCATCGGCCGATTATCGCAATTCTGCCAGACGTCGTCTACAACTCACGCAAAAAAATTCGAATCAGAAGGGCTACTACAGCCTACAGTTGGTAAATTTCAATTATTCCGAGTCAGCGTTCAGACTTCACCAGTGCAGGCCAGGCCAAGCTCAGGCGCAGGAGAATCTGGTCTGAAGTCGAATAAGTATTTCAGGGAGAGTGGGCGTCCATCGCTGCACGTTCCGTTGCATCATATCTGCCCAGATCCCATAGTAAGCCTTCTTACCCTCTGACTCAACTTGCGCTCATCATCGTGCTACTTGATACCCAAGTCGTTCACCCTCAGCCTTAGAGACCACTGTCCTCTTCACCACATCCTGAGTTTCTTTTGGGACGAATGGCGTGTGAGCATGCGCGTATGTACTCAGGGCTCTCAGAAACACCTGCCGAGACTCGGATCCCTGGGACCCGAGCATACATACTTCTTTCCGCACCCCCAAACCACAGAATCAGTATGTTTGGCAGCAATGGAGCCTATTCACTTCCTCCGGATCGTACTCCGGAACCTGGACAAAGACCTGAACGGCTCTTTTGAGGGTTGTTTCTACGTGTACATTTGGGACTTCAATAAAGGAAACTTTGCTCGTTTGGAAAATATTGACGACACAGATCCTCTCGTATGCATGCCTTGTCGGTAAGTTTAGTCATCCTTTGATAGCGACTATGGACATGTTATCCATGAGCCGCCGTCATTAATACACTACTACCGCCTGCCCCGTGCATTTCTCTTGGTACAGGATCGACTTAATGTAATATGGGCAGGTGATCTTTCTAAACGTGGGTCTGGCCTGACTCGGTTCATATTCAGCATAGCCTCATATAATCTGCACGTTAGGCATACCTGCTCTAGGTCCGGAGGTGAGGGTTCGGGGTATTCGTACCTTTACATCTCGCTATACTTATAGTAGCTGCAGGATTATACAGCGGCACCTTGTCCATGCGTGTCATATTCATGGCAATCCTGTGGATTTCCGGAGTAGAACACCTTGATTGATCATCTCCTTCGCCTCCTCTGGGCCTCATTCTTGAAGCTAGTGTTCATCAAGGTGGCTTCAGCTCCATCGTTCAAGTCAGGGACGGGAGTCCATGCTACGGGAAACCCAGTCAGAGTCGGATGTGCTGAGTACTCTTTGAAGGGGTAAGTTGTTCACATAAATCGCACTTCTTTTACTCTCACGTCCTGATTAGGAAATCCTGCCTTATATATCCGACTCACCCCAGTGGAATACCGCACTACTCCGACCAAAATCTTGCATTTAAGATTTCAATGCACGACTCATCTGAGCCAAACTATCGTTGAATCCGCCCTGCCATAATGTCTTTACTGTCAAACCCTTCATCGTCACCTTCCCATGGTTTTTCAGGCTCTCTTCAAGAAGATGGCAAGGGGTTCTCCAACAATTCTACAAATGTACAGAATGTTGAGCGCAAACATCAGTTACAGTCGTATTTGGTATGAGTCCTTTTAAGTTTAATTTATCTGCAAACACTGAGTAGTTTGACATAGATGGACCTCGACGGAATCGACTTGGCGGAAGATGATGAGGATAGGATGTTCGCCCAGCTCAGCGTCGACACTGTATATGCAAGTTATGCTGCGGCGCAGAACCGCGTTCGCCAGTACACCCAATTGTTGATGCTTCTGAAGCGGGAGGAAGAACTATGGGCACAGAGAGTTGAGAAGGCAAGATATGTATTGCCGGAATACAAGTCCAGGTGGATGCCAGACTGCCAGGAGTCTTGAACTATTTTGCCACTCTTTCCATCTGTTACTGCTTCTTCCTTCTCTCCACAGCTGGCCTTTTCTTTTCACCATACTCCTTCAAGTGTACCGCTATGTACCGGCGGATTTTGATTATATTGATGAATTAGCTTGTGCTTGTCATTCTTGTTGCTTGAACCTTTCCTTCTTCCACGGTCTCGTTGCCACAACCACCACTGATTGCTCCGCTGCTACCCCAATTCTAGCCTCACGCACATCTGCTCGGACGGCCACGCGAGTATCGAATCAATATGGCAAGATGCCTAAATGAGGATGTAATACAGTATCAGGCAAGTTTACTACCAAAGGTCATAGTTTACGAGCGCTTAGTCTTTCTTAACATTAATATTGCGGCAGCCACTATAGCGGAACGCGTCTACGTCGACCGCCTGGGATTTCGTTCATCCTACTACCGTCTGTCCCACACGTTTCTCTTGGTATTACATGCAATGTTTGCAGCTCGAGTAACCAGCTGTGCCGCCCACCAAGTCTCACATCTCATTTATATCTCATCGACATCACTCAGTTGTGAGATCATGAATATTTCTGGCTGAATGACCATGTTCGCGTTTGTATCTAGCCGCAGATCTGTACATGTATAGCCGTATGATCATGATATACAATCCATTTGTAATTTCAAAAACACAAAAACTCCATAAAACAACCAGTTACTGCATATACTCGGAGACTCGTTTCAATCCAAAAAAAGTGCCCGTGCAATCGGGTCTCAACGAATCACAAAGAAAAAATAGTCATATCACCACACAAAAATAGTCATATCACCACACCACCTTCATGAACTCATCACGAACCCACTGACTGCCCCGCAATATTCACCAAGTCCCAAAAATCACGTCCAACGAGCAGTCTCGCACCACTTCCAGCAACATACTCCAGAGCCTTGTTCTGCAATGCATCCAACAAATCCTGTTGCGAACCCAGATGATGCTTCAGGTACGCAACAACAACTGCAGTAGCCCATATGTTCCCATCGACCTGCAGTTCTACGGCTTTGGCCAATGTATCAATGCCCACAAGCGCACCCAATTCGGGCGACGGCGTGAAAGAGCCGTCGAAGTTCTGCAGTGAGATGATAGCGTACGCTTCCTTGGGCACAGGTGGTGCAATGCACGGAGGTGGTGGAAGTAGTGCCCCCGGTGGCGCGGCATCGAAGACAGGCGATTCCACACGTTGGATTGGATCTTCTGGCGGAGGTACAGGGCTGGGCGGCCGAGAGTAAGACCATCGAGAACTCGTGGAAGAGCCTTCCAATGAGCTCAATGTAGAGAAAGTGTCGGTGCTCGAGTTGTCGTGTCGATATGAATATTCACTTTGAACGGATGGCGAGTCCGAGCGGGACTGTGCAGCAGAATAATACGTACCGGGAAGCGGCTTCTGGCGTCTTCGAGTAGTGGGGGGAGGATCAGAGAAGAGGAAGTTGAACATCGCATAAACCGCCTGAGACAAGCTGTCCAAAATGGTCTGCGCGGTGGACACATCTGTTCCTGGAGCATCATCATCAGCAGGATCACCAGTGGCACTGGCGCGGCCATGCTGCCGCCGAGACCTTTGCCATGACGTTGACCGGCGCAGCTTCCTTGCTGTCTCATGTCCGGACTCTTCAGCAAAAAAGGACGTGTACTTGCTCACAAACTGGTAATTAAGTCCTAAGCGAACGATTGCCGCTTTTTTAATGTCCTCATCCGAAGCAGGTGTGATGGGTTTGGGAAGGGGCGCTCTATCCTCTACCAAGTCCTTCACGAGTTGTCGTGCAGCTAAAGTATGCAGGAGTGGAATGGATGACCACTCGTCCCTGAATGGTTTCACTTCCGTGACAAGCACGGTATCGTCGATAACCTCTTCCGAGTCTTTAATCTTGGCATGCAACCTGACCTCGTGAGGAATCGAACTAAAAGTAGTGATTGCGAAGACACTGAGGCGCATTCCAGGGAATATGCTTGTGATTATAGGCGGCCCTTGCTGCATCGAAGGAGGTGGCTCTAGTTGTACGACGCTGAGCGGAAGCGGGTGATGGCGATTCAAGGGTGAAAAATTGACAGTTGGAGGGCTCCCCAAACCATGCCAATCAATTGTGATACTCTCGATCTCACGTGTCCGACCAGCGTTCAGAAGCATCGCGCACTTCCCTGTAATGTCCCCAGCCTGGACAGCGAACAGACATCTACCACCGCCCTCGCGAGCAAGGCGCTCGCACATGGCGGATGAGACATGTTCACCGATCCCGAGAGTAAATACTCTCAATTGTGCATTGGCCTTGCAGCCTTTCACAGCTCTGGAGACAACCGTGAATGGGTCAAACTTTGCGGAAGGCTAGTTTATCGTTAGATCGAAGAGTTATAGCCAAGTCATCACACGCACATGGATATTGCCGTCAGTGAGGACGAACATAGCAGTCGGGCGGCCGGAGTTACGTGACGCGATAGCGAACTCAAGGGCCTTGGCAATCTCTGTCCCTCCGTAATTTGCTTCCATGCCTCGTACACTCGAAATCTGTGCATATTACCCATGAGCTAGTTACTCTGGACAGCGACAAAACTTACTTACTGCACTACGCATTCCCGACTGATCAAACAGCATACTTTTCCCCCACAGACCGTCAACCTTGCTGCCAAAACTGAAAATATTGAAAGTCGTTCGTGAATCCGGCAATAGGTGAAGGAGCATTTCCAACGTGCGCTTAGCTGTCTCTATTGGGGCTCCCTGCATGCTTCCGCTGCGATCAATGACGAAAATGTACTCCTGCGAATCCAGGGGAGGAATTTTGAAGTTCGGTACAAGGGAGAGCTGCATAGCAATGGTATTACGACCCTGGGGATCAACTTCTGCGAAACACCGAGGCTTGTCGAGTCCAAGAGCATGGACTGTCAATACGAAGTCTTCGTCGAGGAACGTCGTAGACGACCAAGTTACGCACATCCGTCGTTCAGACTTTCTCCCGGTGCGTAACTTATAGCGTCTGTAAGCAATCGTCGGATGACTAGGGCTGCGTATCTCCTGGATCTTGGCACTGGATTGAACGTCCACAGCGATTTTGACAATCGTCTTCTCATGAGTTGTAGATGCATCGAGCATGGCTGCTGGAGTCTCGCCGTATCGTTTGGCGATAGCCATCGGAAGCTGTAGACGGACTTGGTCCCGTCTTCCATTATCCAAAAGATCTATTACAAAACTATTCGCTCATCAGACCAAGTATTCAATAAGTGAAAGTGTACTCACTGTCAATCTTGCTGTGACCTTCTTTCGAGCGGGAATCGAGCCAATTGAAATCGTGAATACTGGATGGGATGAAGGTCAAAGTGAGCGCTCAGTCCGGTGTCAATGAAATGTGCCTGTCATACTGTCGTCCGTCACCCATTCCATAAGTCCTGCAGTCTTTCCGGCATCCACCGCACTCTGGAAAGCTTGTGTGGCTTCTGACTTTTCCTTCGCGACACCGACGATAACACGACCATCGGCATGCTCGAGCTCAAACGCACAAGCGGCAGCGCTCTCTGGAAGAGGGAATACATATTTGGCCCGGCTGGTAGGACTCTCTGTCACATTTTCAAATATTTGCGAAAAGAACGACTCTCGCAGACACTAGTACAAGGAAAGAGGAGTGCTGATTAGTGATTTTGGACTGCCCAGCCACGTAAATACGTACCGTCGACCATCCATACCCTTACATCGACCTCTTGAAGCGGCAAATGCAAAAGATGTTGGTCCAGGGAGCGATATACGATTCCTGCATGTCCGTTCATACTTGCCATGAAGTGACGAGATAAGGTGGAGATATCGCTCATAGATCCTTGGACGTTTTATATTTGGAGTTTGACGCCCGGGCTTCCTGTGCTGTAACTTGGTGGCCAGCCATTCCAGATCCTTTGGAAGCATGAACAGGAATGTCTAAGGCTATGAAAGTCTGTGCTGCAACCCTGTTGTGTTCGATTCCTGTGAGCTACCAGTGGATGAAGTACTGAATGGTGACCGATTTGATACCGAATATCCCGGCGTCGCACCCGAAGTGTCGCTGAGAATCTTAAATAGACCAGCGGCGGATCCGAGTGGGTCCTGAAGGGCTTTGGAAGGATCGCAGGCGACTTATCCACCAGTAGTACAGTCACTTCTTCTTCCTAATTTACAACCGTTATCACATTAATCTTACTCACCGGCACTACCGATTGCGCCTGACGACAGCTTCGAAGCTGTCTGGCGTGCGTCTGCGTCTGTAGGTAAAACTTTTCTCAATACAGTGGGGACAACGACTCCGAGGTGTTGTTGATGATATCAAAGCCGTCATGAACCATTCTCCCATCTACTTAAAATCGCGAGTCTTGCAAGTAGAGCATTAATATATTGCCACACTTACTATATGTCACTTTATTTAACCCTTCTCTAGGCTCTCGCGACCAACACACCATCTAATTTTCTTTACCTTGCTGCCCGTGTTAATGAAGTCATCGACTCGGCATGGAATCACAGCACTCTCGCCGGCTACCAGGATAGTGTAAACTTGCTTAATTTTTCTGAATATAATACACATTCCAATTCACGTCTAAGGGAGCTCATAAGTAACACCCAACTCAGAAGACTCCAGAGTCCAAGTGTCCCACTCTCCCATCATCACAGTCGATATGCTGGCACTTCTGCATTCGCACCTCAACACCCTAGACGCTCTAGATGCTGCTTGCCTCGCGGTAACGTTTCCTTAGTGTTTGCTGGACCCCGAATCGCAGACTTTTATCCTGTCATTCGACCAAGAGCACTTTTCTAATTGTCGTTGTCTTCGAGCCACATCCGCTAAATAGTCAACGCCACAGCATGCAAATGCATGCACTTTGCACTCTTCGGGCTGATATATACTTAATTTGTTGAATACTACAGGGCCAGGTGCATATATGCGCAATTACTGCTATCTTTCTAGTAATCCTATGGGTCAGGCGACAATACAGGTGAGTTTTGTGATATCTACCATCAACTACTGATTCTCTCGCAGGCGTTGACTGGAACTCGATACGCGGCAATAGTAGTGTTGTTATACTTTCTCGTCGTGATATCGAGCTAAATTTTGTGGTAATCCTAGGAGTCAAAATCGACATAATCTGTGAGTGTTTCTCGTATTTGCAGCCGCAGTGCTGAATCAATCATTCGCTCAGGGTTCCTCGAACATCTGGTTCAAGAACACCATCCAGGCTGTCGTCGACGGTACTTTGTATCGAGCGCGACCACTTCCTTTCTCATACAATTGTTTGCATGCTGTGTTTGGACCGCTTTTTGACGTTTTCGTACTGTTATTCGTATTGCAGGGAGTGTATTGTATTTTGTAATAGCTACAAGCAACGTGATGTATACTATTCTCGCATGATATGAACTGCTCGCGACAAATGCAACACAGTGCCGCATCATGTCACAACAGCTTGAACCTACCTCACACGACAATGCACAATCCTGACTACTTTTGCAATGTGGGTTCGTTCGAATTCTTGTCGACATCGTGCGAGGGCAGTTCCAGTTGGTGGTGCACGATGCGGCACTCTCCGGACATCTCTCGCAATGTCCGATGAAGTTCACTGAGTATGTCACCATTGATCAGTAGCGTGAAAGTGCCGTTCCGAATTTCCTATGTTTTCCAAAGTCATTTACAAACATGGCTCCTGTAGCACAAGTACTTACTTTCCTATGTACATCCTGTTTCCAGTGAAGGACCGAGGAAATAAGTAACATCAGTCCCACCGCAGTACTGCTTCTCACACGGCTGCTGCGTGAATTGATTCTCAGCCAGCAGTGGGGTCTTTCTAGCGAGGCACGTCGTGTTGCACAGCATAAGACATGAGTTCGACATCCAGAACTACAAAAAAGGTTCTGTATCAGCATCCAAAGCATAACCAAAGGGGAAAAAACCCCTACTACGAATACACATAGCAAGATGTGTCTCCGAACCAACTTGTCGGTACGAGGCTGGTCCTCACAATGCTATGATCATGTGATGCCAAGGTACCAAGGCCGTCGATCTGAATGGTCGTGAAATGTGGCCGTGCTGCATCAACTCCACCCAGAGCTTAAGAGTGTTGAAGCTGCCAGCGAAACGGCTTGACTTCCAACCGTCACAGAGCTTCGATGAGGTAACAATTTGTCCTGAGAACACAGGTCAGAATGTCATCTGATCAGCCATTCCGAAGTGGCAATAGCTCATCGCACTGCTATGGAAGGTTGATCAGACATAAATTTCTTTGTGACTGACGGAATTCACCTTGTGATACACGCAATGCGGATTACGCCTTGAAACTCGCGGGAAGAGTGGTTCTGCGGCCCGATTCCGGGAGGGATGTCAAAGACTGGTGATCAGCGCGCAAGGCCGCACTACTCGAGATCAGAAAAGAAAGGAGCGACGAATTTGAACCACCCCACAACCAGTGCGACATATCTGCCGTGGTAGAAGTACGGGCCATACACCAGCATGCAATAATCTGTTACCTGCCTGTCGGACAGGGCTCTCAGCGAAAGTTTATGACTCCGAAGGTCAATATGTAGATTTCTGAAAAGCAAGAAAAGGTCAACAATCCTATGGGAGACTCGACGACACCAGAGCCGGGCCACATCATCGAGAACAGTGTCAACCACAAATCGGCTGTTGTCAATTCACTCAACAACCCTAAGAGAGCTTTCGAATCAACATCGCCTGCGGCGTCTTAGACCACGAGCCGATTCTTTCACAAGGGAGGTGGGTTCTAAGATATTTTGGTGCTAGCAGTAAACTCGATGTGAAAACGCACGATTGCCAGAACGGAAAGAAACTGGGCTTCACACAGCGGCATCCTGAACAAAACTGCTTTAGCACGAGTGTCAATTGCGCTGGATAACTATCTCGATGAATGGCCATCACGCCCTTTTGAAACTGCAAGAGTAATTGTGCGTCAGATTCGGGGCCCGGGCATAAACTGAATGTCTCGAGCCTGTCTCATTGAGGGCATGGAATGCGTGCACAAAAAGAACTTGTTCTGTGGGTATGTAAGCCTCAGTCAGCTCAGCTGGCAGGTTACCACTAAAACAGTTTCGGAATAGATCGACTTAAGCCCAGAAGTATTAGATCTGCTTCAGCCTTTTGCAGCGACCAGCCTCAGCCAGAAAGACGATAATATTGGCTAGAAAATATGACGAGACTGGCCGAGAATGACTGTTGCGGACTTGTGAACAGCCGGTTGTGGCTTGATGTGTGACAGTTATTACCCACGTGGCTGAGTGCAAGTGATTGAGGAGGCGAAACAGCTTGTTTAGCTCATTCACCATTCCCTTCCGCCATTTCTCATCGTCATGCATGCTGCCCCTCCATCTCTCCCCTCACAAACCACTTTAACACTAACATATTCTCCAGGGACCATCTAAATGGTAATTTTTGGCGACGGTGTCTGGAGTATCAAGCGGGGATCAGGGTAATGTTTCCTTGCCTTGGGAATCATGCAATGACGAGGTTGACAAGTGTCTGTAGCTATGATTGACCCACAATGTTCTGCAAAGCCCTCAAATTAATAGGGTGCCCTGCTGGGCGTATTGGTTCATCGCAATCGGCATCCGATGAATGCGATGAGAGCAGAGTCAGCAGCGAGTATGGTGACGACTTCAGCAGCACTCCCATATTGCGATAGTGGCTGCAATGACTCGTCTTTGCTACCATTTGCTATATCTACCGTTGTTTGCATTTTGCATACGTGCAGCGCTACCCTTGTCTGTGAGTCAGCTCCACGCGTCCTCGTGCTCATCCAAAATGCACAGCATTCTCATAGTTTGCTGGTGATCCTTGCAGGAAACATGCACACACATCATTCAATTGGTCTTTGCTTTTGCTCGCTGCCATTTGATGAGCGACTTCAAGCTGCGTTCTCACTACACGCAGAAGTCGCATGTTGCCAGTCGTTGGTATGACGGTGGTCGATGAAAGTCGTAGACGCGAGCGTTTTGGAGCGCATACATCCTCGATTTACTCGACTGTTGCATGTGTGCCTTTGTCGAGACTTGGAAATTGTATGTGGGAGCCGTATATCCTGGTTGCATGTGCCATTTTAGCTGACTATCTGTTGCAGGATACTCCTTCTATGTTCGTCGCCAAGGATAACTTATTGGATAAATGACGCTGCTCATTCTTCGCAATTCAGAGAATCATCAATGTATTTCTTTCTTGGCTGCGTAATAAAGGTGCGCATCTCCAATACTTCTCACAAAGAATTTCGTCTGATGAGTCTCTTGTTCCCCCACCGTTTCTTACGCCCTAACTACGAATTCCAACATATATAATAGCTAGATGATATTCTGGCAGCTTGATACTGACGTAGCTAGTGTATTAGTCCTGAGGTGTTACAGTGAGATTGTTTGGTGAGGACAAACACCGGGGAAACCCTTAGTATTTGTCAGATTTTTATTGTTTTATCTCGGGCCGAGGACTTTTTCGGCAAATTTCCGACCACGCCGCCGCTGCCACCGACGACGACGAAGAGCTCAACTAGCAGAAGCCAGTCTCCCTTGAACACATCTTCATCCTGCCCCGTCTCCATGTCATGCCCCGCAACCCGAATCTGGGTACCTCGACCCTTCGAAACCGCAATCGAGTTACCAACAAGACACGCCTTAAGGTCATCCAAGGTAGCATCGATGCAGACCCTCTCGTGGTCGATGAGGACGAGGAAAAAGCCAGGATCATTAGCACTGCTGGCGTGGACGCTGAGGACGCCAATGTGAGTTGTTTTCCCTCTCGCCGTCGCTTTCAACGCCCTTGTTGAATAGGCTGACGTGTCTCTTTCTCATTGGCTGATTGTCGTGGGAAATCCCTTATCGATGGCTGACTCATATTTCCACCTTAGGAGCACCACTTGCAGGCGGTACTGTCTGCCGCGTCCCAAAGACACCAATCAGTGGGTCGCTCAACACGTGGGGAGAAGGCTGTCACCCCCGCCGCATATATTCCCACACCAGACTCCACTGGTATCGTCGACAACTATGACGAATTATATCCTTCCCAGCGGTGGGAAGACCCAGGCGCATACATCAGATCCTCAGAGACTGTCGATGAGGCAGTCTCAAATGCGCTCGTCGATGCGTTCACGTACTACATGGATGAGCGCGATAAGGAATGGCTCGACAGAAACAACGAGGAGGCGCGTGGTGAAGGCACAAGTGCTCAGGGTGCTCTTTCAGCCTCCGGCGCAACCACTCGCTCTGGCCTGTCCCAACGAAGTGCCAAGGCGAAAGGCAAGGAGCCTGAGTCGACACAACCTCTTGCTATCACGGAGGACGAGTTCGAACTTGTAATGGGCATCTTTGAGAAGGTCACCCATGACACCACGGAGTTCTTGCACCATGCAAGTTTATTTACCCTGACCACCATAATGCGCCACTGATTCGTGTCATAGGGTCTCGAGTCTGGCATGGCGTTTCCTCCGTTCACGGACTATCAAGAAGCATTCTCCTCTCCATTACCATCCTCTATGTTTGCAACGTTCACAGTGCCGACGTGGATACCGCAACCCGCTCTACTATTGCGCTTGGCGAAAGTCATCTATCCTTATTGGCGTGATCGCCGCATCGAAAGAAAAGGCCACCGAATTATACCCATTTTGAATGTCAGTATCTTTATATTTGTATGATTCGAGCAAAGTTGTTCAAATTGCTTATTAGTTCGATGAGTCGGACGTGCTCAATGAGTCTTATATTTGCTTTCGCCGTCGCGAGATTAAGGCTGTCAGGAAGACCCGTGCTTCGCAGGCGACGTCATCCGATAAGCTTTTGCGGTTGCAGAACGAGTTGACGCAGGGTTTGGAGCTCGCCAAAACGCTCCTCTCTCGAGAAAATCTCAAGCGCGACTACACACAGCAAACGCTACAGGTCTGGGACAAGCGCTTTGAGTTCGCCGAGCTCAAGCGCAAATTTCCCTCGTTGGGTACTAAAGAGGAGGAAGAGCTTCTACTTGACAAAGAGAGAGTAGTAAAGAAGCCCAAGATCGAATCTAGTCGAATTACTGGACTCAAGATACGTACGAGAGAGAGCGGGGACCCAGGATCTCCGGCTGTCGCTGTCGAGGCATCTATCCGGCCTAAGGAACGCCTCAGTCTCATCAATGCAGCCATGGAGCGTGACCTTGCGAGCCAAAAGGAACGTGACCACGGGTATGAAGATGTGGTGGAGGTAGGATTACATGAAATACATTCTTCAAATGCTTACCTGTTTCTTTTTCAGAATCCTTATCAACGCCCAACATTTTCCTTTCCGCGACGTCACTGGAAGGCCATTTTTTCCTCCTCGCGCCCGTCAACACCATCACCAAATGTAGCGTATGAGGAACCAGAGTGCGTGCGTTATGTCCGCCACCGTGTGACTCGTCTAGGCAACGCTACAATCGATCGTCGCGACGCTTTCATTCAACGCTATGGAATCCATAGTGATGACTCCGCGTTCACACGACGACGGCAAGCGTTTGCACGGCGTATGGATGCCATCATCCCCGAGGATGATGAGGAGATGTCAGCTCGTGTACGCGAGCGCTGGAAGTTTGATCAAGACGATGAGCCCACGGTTGGACCTGAGGGCGCGGACGAGCAAGATCGGACTCTCATCGATGACTATGATCCAAAGTATCTCCGTCAAATGATGACATTGTTGTCCGATCAAGACCATCAGGCTCTTACGACAGATAACACCATTGTCGTGACTGTGGACGGCCGCCAACACACTGTCTCCCCATATCGTCTTGGAGTGCAACCTCAGTACAGTATCCGCCGCGATCAACATGGCATTCAGCGGGTATATCCTGGAGGTATGCCGCTGTCGGCCACTCGTGCAGCCCCCGCGGGCATTCCGATGCCGAATGGTGTGCCGATATCCATGCAGGCGCATGTCAAAGCGATGCAACCACCATCAGCCATTCCACAAATGCGCATCTCATCAAACGGTGCCATGCGTCCTCCGGTTGTTGGGAAGATTGCATCCCCAAGTTCGCCTACTGTAGTACAGCAGTCCTCTCCCCCTCACGCTGCTTCCACGAACGGAGTTAATGGAAACCATACTGGCACTCCTACGTCAGATGGCGACTCAGTCAGGCTGATCGCTGCACCCAATGGCATCGTTGCCGATAGCACCACGACCATCAATGGCACAGTACATCAGTCCACAGACGTGCAGATGTCTCCCCCTGCTGATCCTTCCCAGTCCAATCAGGCCGGCTCACCAGCGCGTCTGGAGTCCGAGTCCCAGCACACTCCGGTAGTCCCACTTAGCGGTTACCGCGTTCCTATGAACGGTTATCCCATGTCTAATGGCGCTGTCGTGCGTCCGCCAAATGGCTTCACTTTGCAGCAAATGCCCTTCAAGATGTTTGCATCGAACGCGGAGGGACGCCCAGTGCAAGTTCCGTACGGGCCAGGGCACCTCGTGCAGAATGGCGCACACTTCAATGTGCAGCTGCCAGGTGGCGCCAATCTTAACATCAAGGGACGGCAGTGGGCAGGCGTGGCGTCACCTCATCAGCAGCCCGCGCAGCTTAACGAAGGGACACCGAGCCCTCATGTTACGCCAGGCAATCTACCTACGCGCACGCCGTCTGCTAATGGTATGCGGACCGCCAATCGTGCCGGGAGCATCAATGTTCCTCCGCAAGTCGGTCAACTGCTACAAAATCAGTATGTCATGTCGCCCCATATGCAGCACAACAACCCATCTCCACTACCGTCGTCCATCCCGTTACCATCCCATCAGTCCCCCCCTCGTCCGCCGCCCCCACAGACCATGAAAATGGCTTCCCCGTCTCTGCAGCACCAGCAGGTAGTACAGAGTTCGCAAGGCGGATATTAGTATGCACCATTGGGCTCGGGTTTTCCCGCGTATCTCTCCTGTGATCCCTGACATTACCATTTCGTTTATACACTTTCCGCTCTGTTTTGGTTACAATATCACTCCGTTTTATCTGCTTTCCAGTTATGTATTATTGTCGCAATTTGAGGCATTTTCGCTCTTACATCTTGCTGGGTGGTGCTTGTCAACCAAGATACATGATCGCGGGACGCACGATCGCTATTGACCAAACCGGGGTTGGCGGTGAGTGGGATATAAGCGCTCTCAGGTTTACTTCCACAGCCATTGCTGACTCGTGCGCCTACATCCCTCGAAGAGGCTCAAACCACTCAAGTTACAAATTATGTGCTAAGAATGATGAGCAGGTAGACGTCGTGGCGTTCCTCAGCATTGACTTCAACGCCGGTAGCTCGCGACAGGTATAATATATGCATGCTCGAAGGTAGATATCCGGCCCCTCGGGTTTGTTTAGACCACGGTGGTACCTATCAAAATTGGCCTGGATCAGCGCTTCTATATCAAGATGTGTGCTATGTTGCCCATGTGCTCACGGTATCGTTTCACTTTTAATGTACAAGTTCATTTGCTATTGATCGGTGTTCAACGTTCAACTTCTACAGACTTTTATTTAGGCATTAACGATCATGCAATCGTGCAAGTATTTCCTGCGGGCCGTACAGTCATTTCCGCCAGGCTCCAGCATGAACACCAGCTTCATATTCTTTCGACAGGTCATAAACAACGAGGCACATGGCCCGCAGCGCTGCATGCACGCACGCTTCTCGTATCTAATGTACTGACTTGGTGACCGCGTGTAATAGCGTTGTTTGTTTCCAACCGATGGTAGCCTCAGGGACGGCGAATCGTGGTAGAATCTCATTTCTTGAGACCTGCGACCATGTGGTCACCAGCCTCGCACGACGCATCGGGGTTAGGACAAAGTTCATGCCACATAAGAGTCACAACAAGTGATGACTGACATGGTGACCTGCCAACATTTATTTTCGTTCAACTCCTCGGTGGCCGTCGTCGGTAGGGTAGCGTGCCTGAGCAGTGCGATGATCGAATTGTCTTAATTAACCGAATGGTCGCCGCTGTATACTCGAGGCAATATTCAGGTCATTATCGCTGCACATCAGGATAGACTAGTTCAATAACTGATGGTCAGTATCACTAAAGGCGTCAGACCCCGACGTCATCGAGCCTTACTACTTACACAAAGTGCGAGTTTAAACACCTCAGAGAATGCGAATTTGATGTCACGGACATTCAACGAATTCCAAGCGCTAAACTACTGAGCATTCCCTCAGTGTCCGTACGCCTTTGTACAACGAGGTAACACGAGGACAAATGAAGCTAGTTTTATTTTTAATCTACTGCAGGAGAAAGCGTCTTGTAAAAACCCTACAGGCTGTTCTGTACGAACGCTATCTACACAAAAAATTCCGCAAAGTCCCTGCTAGACAAATACAACAGCGGGAAAAATCGAGAGCCACCATACTCTATGTACAAATATACGACAGGTATGATATATGCGATAGATAGGATAACAAATGGCCAAAAGAGTGGAAGCCTCGTCGGGGGTTCCGAGGCGAGGCGAAGGTACATCGATAGCAGAGAGGATATCGCGAAATCGGGAAAGCATGATAGGCGTAGCACTGCGACAATGATAACACATTTTACTTTTCATACGAGAAGGTCAACTTCCTGGGCGTCACAGGGTTGTCTTGCGATGTCGTGTCGACTGAGATGTTCGAGTGGCGTTGGCGCACCTGGAATGCGTATTCTGAGGGCGCCTCATCGACGACACGGGTGTTGCGGTTAAGCAAGATCTTGATCCAGGTGGGCACGATGCCGCCGGGAGGGATGACCCAGGGCTCGGATGCGTCATAGTTGGGTGGCATGATTGCATTGTTGGAGATCTTGGCGACGATCCATACGAAGCCGTTGATAAGGACATAGGAGAATATGCCGACAATGACACCATACGCAATGCTGCGCCTTGCTGTCAACATCTCAAACTCTTTGAGATATGTTCAGGAGACTCACTTGTATGACAGAGGGATAAATAGGATGGTGAGGAAAGCAGGGACAGCATCGCCGACATAGTCCCAGTTAATGTCACGAACATTGCGGATCATGAGCGAGCCGACAACGACGAGCGCGCCACCAGTAGCCCAGGGTGGAATGGAAGCAAAGATGGGCGCGAAGAAGACGGAGACAAAGAAGAGGAGTCCAGTGACGATTGCAGTGATACCAGTCTTGCCACCCTCTGCGAGCTTAATCAGATCCAAGATATTATATCGAAGAGGGAATGGTGTTCATACCAGCAATACCAGTGGCACTCTCAATAAATGCCGTGACGGGACTTGTGCCCGCGAGTGCACCCATGGAGATAGAGAAGGCATCGACACAGTATGCGATGGTAGAGTTTTCAAAATCAAGGGTGACGGGATCACGAAGACCAGCAAATTTAACCATAGAGTAAAGAGTACCGGTGGTATCTTAATAAAACGCTGATTCCAGATGTGGTTTCATATCATTGTTGAAACACTCACCCAAGATATCCACATAAAGGAAGGTTATAAGTGCATACCACACCTTTCCATTACTATAGTGATACTTGAAAGCAATACATGAGCTTCGCACTCTACAAGATCGGGATTTTACTTACATCTAGTGCATTACCGATGTGTTGCAAGGGATGCCAAGTAACAACCTGCTTGAAAAAGTCGAACAGCTGATCACCAGCGGCGTCGTGTGGGAAATATGTGACAGAGGTGTTTCGCGGCCAAGAGATAATGGAAGTGATGAAGATACCGATTAGGAGAGATCCCTTGACACGATAAAGCATCAATAAGATCGTGAGGATACTAGGTTAGGTTATGCCGTAAGTACAACAAAAGATAAGACGCGGACCGTACATACCCGCCGGTAAAGACACCAAGCCATACGGTAGGACTCTGTAGAACTTTAGTACCACAGTAATATGGTAGACCTTCCAACCAATCTACAGACGTTGCCTATCAGACTCGATGGTGATGCAGCGACATGCAATGAGCGTACCTGACTCGAGACAGCCACCAAGGCCGACCAAGTTGGTCGGGTCGCCTCCAATCACGTTCAAGCCGCCAGATGCTGTGCAAAAAATATAAATAAAGAATACCCGTCAGAAGGAACATGTGTAGACAAACTTAGTCCAATGAACCTGTGTAGCAACGAACAATGATGGGCGCATCAGTCACATGTTCATCATCGATCGGTGCAAAATGATGAACTTACGCAATGTACAATCCGATACCAGCACCTACAGCAAGGACAAGGGATTGTGGCATGATGCGAGCAAGCCATTGACGTAAGCCTAGAAGGGACAAGATGAAGAATATCCATCTGCAGAGGGCGTCTAATTAGGCAAAGAGCTCCGCGGGAGAAATGGACTTACCCTTCCAAGAAGACAGCAGAGAGTGCTTCTCGGTAAGTGATAAACCCGCTGCCGTGATAACCAACGACAGAGTATGTGAACTGTAGAAACAGTGTTAATGAGCACGTCTAGAATCCAGATGGTCGTCAAGTTGCTAACGGACGTACATAGGCATTAAGTCCCATCCCTGGAGCCATACCGACAGGCAAATTCGCAAGGGCACCCATTAAAACTGATGCGAGAGCGGACATGGCTGCTGTGGAAGTGATGAGATCTTGTTTCACCTCTTGGACACATTGGAGATATGTCGGATCAGTGGCGCAGTTATTGGCGGCTTCACAGACGCAAGTTCCGCCAGAGTCAGATACGATTGAAGCATTGACAGAAATCTTGCAGGAACAGATTGATTGAATGATGATTTGACGGTAACGAGGGAAGAACATACGATGTACGCCATGGCCGCCTGAGAAGGGCGTTAACAAAATAATCTCAACGGTGATAAATTGATTCTCACCCAGGTCGTTATACCTGCACGAATGTCGGTCTGGTGAATGCAAATTACTAATCAGACTACGAGGTCTGAGGGTGCCACAGAACGAGCTACGAACCATAAAACGTGAACCTTCGCGCTCACGGGCATGGCCAGAGCCCTCCAAGCGAAACCATCGTCCGACTGCAGAATCGGCAACCTACAAAGAAGAAGGAAAATAGTGTTATCAATAAGATAACTGGGTGGCGCAGGGTATGTACAAACCTGGGCGTTAAGCCTATCAGCGAAAGTAAGCATGTTGATAGAGGTGAGGAAAAAAAGGAGTGTCGATGAAGAGAATGCTATATAACAGAATCTGAGAGTGGGAGCTAACGAAGGTTGAAGCGAAACTCTCTCAGTTGAAACTTGAGAAGTTAATAGGCTGGATAATACATATCTCTTGATTAAACACTGCATGAACGCTGCTGAGTTACTGAATGCGGATCTCGGTGATATCCCGATCAGAAGCTATGTATAGCATCACGTTATGCCTTTGGTCACACCAACGTGTCCAATTGTCTGACCTTTTGGGCATCCCTCCAGGAACTCCCCTTGCCAAGACTCCCCATAGTTGTAGCGCAAGCCCGCAGGCCCCAGGGGGTAGATCGCTATCACATTTCTAGGCCAACATGCAGTACATTTTGCCTTGCCTTGTACTAGTATATCCCGGATAAAATAATCATATCTTTGACTCAGGACCCGAATAGGGTTGACAGATTTATTATAATCAGGTCACTGTTCCAAGGACTGATCTAAGTTTCGAAACATTTGAGTTTAGCTGTAACAGTCCAGAGTTGGGACCTGCGGAGTTGAGAAGGCTCGGGCATTTTTTTCGAATCATCGATTACACAGAATGATGACCTCGGTATAGTGGCTAGCACACACTGATAGTAATATTGAGGTAATAAATTATATTATTAACTTTGGGCACAAGGGTTTCGACATGATTCGGGGCGTATCATCTCATTCTACATTCACGATGGGTTCTGCCTTTGGTCATGAAATTTAAATTTGAGTGCTGAATTGGAATAAAAGTGTCGTAGATTCAGTCGATGGGACTTGTGATCTGTTATCTCGTGCATATGTTGGGGCCGGAGATGAGGTTCTCCCTATACGTACTAACGCGGAGCACTGATCGAGAATACACACCGGCCATGTGAGCACTGGTAGAACACAAAGGGAGCACCGAATTTGAGGGCATTATGACATGATTAATTACCAACACCCGCAGACGAACAACAAACGACTCACGCATCGATGTCCCGCGTTCATATCGATTAGAGGTCTACGCCTTGACTCGTAATCGGAGTCAGGTTACCGGGCCATTGGCAAGATACTTCTTAAGTGTGGTTAGTTATACTTCGTAACTTTAGAAAGATTTCAGAATTCTTGGTGCTATCACCATGAATCTCCGAAGTACTTCAGTGACGAAATAGACTCGGAGCTAAGTTTAGGAAATGGTACTAAGACGTCACACTTGAGTATGCATGACCAAGGGGCGAGAGGCCTACGGTAGTATTTGTTGATCAAGGTCCAGGACTAGGCCAATCCAGACTCACCAATGTGCTCGAATCATGGAGGGACATGGGGATGATATCCCGCCCTGCATGCCAAAAATACCAATCAGAAGGTTAATGAGATGGGCATTGGGCAATGGGCTATTCTTGGCGATTTGAGGTCAGCCGTAAGCTTCAAGTTCCATAAGTTGCAGTATGACGTATCTGGTAACCAATGTCGTCGTAATGCCGCAAATTCTCCGACTACTCCTAGAAAGGACAGATTTGAATAGCATGAGAACGCGCGGACACTTTCAAGTTGAAGTATCTCCCGGACCATGTCGTGATGTTGGCCACGAGGGGAGGGGCAAAACGAAAATGGATGGCACGGAAAGCTTATCAAATGAGCCATAATTACATAACTTACGGGTTCACGCTTGGACATTCGAGAGTCGAGGCGCCAGCGCCCAGGCTGACCACAGCGCCTGCTGTCAACTTCTGATATGTCGTGGGCATAAATATGACATTTACAGCGAGTCCAATCTGGGGTCAAGCACAATTTGGTTAGCGGCATAGGGTATGCTGACTACTTTCCTGATATGGAAGGCTATTCGAGTAGTGTCAAGTCTAGTTGCTCTCGGGTTCTACACTGGACTGCTGATAGCTTTTAGCCCTGACATGAGCGGCGTCCACGATTCTGCGGATTTGGCAGCAAGCTGTAGAGGAATGACATGACCCCCACGTTAGTGAAGAAGGCCTGACTTTGTCCTGACTTCTAATTTCTCACTACCGCCTCTTGCAACCTTTTTATTTGTGTCCATTGAGAACAGCACTTTCTTTAAACTATGGGACCCTTCTGATATTTGAAATTGCGAATGCCCTGATAGGCTGGGGCTTCTCCGCCGTCCCCTCTGGCCGTTTTAGACGCGCATTTCAAACCAAGATGAGATGATTTAAATAACTGCTATGGAATGGTTGGTTGGCTTGCGATGATGGTCCTCCTCGAGCTCCGCTTTTGCGGAATGTTACAGGAATCTGTTGGAGTGCGATCAGCGCATGATGCATGTGCATGATGTGCCACAAGATCTTCCCAGCCGGTCAGTGAATTGGCGTGACTGTTCTTCCGTTCTGCAACCTTAACTTTAAGCCTGCTCTATAGTTCTCGGATAACACTGTTGGCCTTATCATTCGTCCTCATTCGTCTCGACGTTAACGATCTTAATCCCCGCTCGCTTAACTTCTTGCCTACTGCTTCCATCACACAGACCTGTTTCAACACTTCCGCCCACCTTCCCTCGTTAAGCTCTTCGGCAACCTTTCCCTGCTCCTTGCCGTTGTCTTGTCAATGTCGCCTCAGTAATGCGTCCGACAAAATAATTTTGTGCCCAGCAGCCAAGACCCTTGTCATTGTGGCTATAATGTCTGCCCTGTTTCTATACCCGCGCCCACATCGCATTGCTGCATTTGTAGCCACTCACTGCAATGACTCCTAGTAACACAGGAACTCCGCATGTAATATCGGTCTTATTCCGGGACGACGTGGGCACAGTGACCGACATCTCGCAATTCCAAGTGCACCGGGTCAATCAGCTTGGCCGGAGGGCCCAGACCTCTTCGTCTCATGGGCGGCTGCTTCATAAAACGTACATTTTCATTACGGACATGCGCACCCCGGCACTTAAATGCACGTTCTTCGGGAGCGTCCATTGGTAGACGCGCCACCCAAATTCAATGCTTCGATTCGCGAGATTGCAGGAATCATGCCATCGAAGTTCGAACGCAGAAGATGTCACTGGAAACATATTAATGGCCAGACACGTGCGAGGGAATAAACAAGAGGTCGTGGACTGGAGAAGAGGACATGTCACGGGTCAGCGGGATCGTCAAACAGTAAGCCCGAGATGCCTGCCATCATGATGTGTCGACGAACGAAGAACAGATCAGTGTATCAGTCTGGACTCTGGACTCCGGATATGAATTCGGAGGATGAGCTGAAATTTAGTGTTTGTTGCATTACGAGAATATTCTCAGTTGTATCGAGTGACACCCAGTAGGTGGACTGGCAAGCTTGGATCTACAGTGAAGCAGAAGAAAAGTGCGAGTGAGCCGGAGTTGGGGTTTGCCGCGCGCGTGAGCTCTGGCAGCAAACAGTTCAAAGTCCGATCGTAATCAAGGTTCATACAATACTAGTACAGTCTAGTAGTACTATTACTTCTAAGAGGACCCATGACGGTCGTAGAGCTCGGTGAGTACTGTGAATTCAATAGACATTAATATGCTCTATGTAGTACTCAGTGATTTCCAACTGCCGATGGTCTGACCATATATATGGATTCCGTACAGATATGATGATGCCGCCTTATTTCCCTGCCAGACGGCTTCGACTCGCCTGACTCCGCGCGCAGTTTGCATTCGAGCTGTATCAACAATTACAGTTACGCGAAGGCACACAAATAATCAGCACATGACTTACAAGTGATCGACTTTACGAACTTCGTCAGGTTTAAAATTTAACGTCTGGGAATTTCCCCATACCATCCAGAATTACTCATTCACAGGACTTGCACAGGATATACTTAGGAGTCCGACGAGATGCAGAAAAGGAAACATCAAACGCATTTGATCAGCCTGAGATCAGTGAGTCATGACAAGGCAGTTCGGATGCCGCAAGCGAAGTGTACATAACGTTCTCGGTACAGTCTCGAGTAAGTGGAGCAAGAGCAGTTTAGGTTACGCCAAAGTTGCTAGGTGACTTAGTGCGGCCCATCTGATCAGGAGCGATCCCGTAACTTCTCAGAAGTCATCACATTTCGTTCTCCAATTCAACACCCGGGAACGTTACTGGAAAGTTCTGGGCGACATGTTCTACTCAACGTATACGAGCCCCAGCGCCACCTTGGTGGGCCAGTCACGAAGCGGTTCAATACCCTAGTGAGCGATTCATGTTGGGTATTCATCAACGAAGGGCATGTGATGTCGCACCTTTAGTTCGAGCTCGTCTAAGACAGGCGGGACGTCCAGCAAATCTAACTCGGATTTTGATCGGAACAACGACGAGAATATTCGAGGTCAATTTTGGACGATATACGAACGGGAGGCTGGGTATCATGTTGAAGAGTTCCTTGAAAAGCACAAGGGTGACATGGATATCGTTCTTATATTCGTGAGTATCTAGCAGTTAAAATCTCCATCTCGGTGTATTTCTACGTGGAACCGCGATTCTGACCATAATATATAGTCAGGTCTCTTTTCTGCAGTCAGCACCACTTTTATCGTTTCTCTTCAATCTGCGCTCAGTCCGGACGAAACTGAGATGACAAACGCCCTTATAAAACTGCTTATCCACACACTTAACAACACTGCGTTCGACGGTCAACAGCCCGACCTCCCACAATGGAATGGACCAGGGGCGACTGAGATTTGGATACAGAGTCTCATGTACGCCAGTCTCAGTACCAGTCTCATTGCTGCGCTAGGTGCCGTACTGGGGAAGCAATGGCTGGGGCATTTTATCCGCGGCGGACGTGGTCCGATTGACGTCCGCGGTCGTCTAAGGCAGCAGAAGATGGACGGTCTTCAAACGTGGCACTTTAGTGCTGTCTTGGAGGCGCTTCCGTTGTTGATCCAGGTTTCCCTGCTTTTATTCGGAATTGCTCTAGGTGCTAGCATTTGGACGCAGCAGCCGACCATTGCAGCTCCAGTAGTGTTGACGATGGCATTTGGAGCCCTGTTTTATGGCGTCATCATCCTATCCTGCATCGTTTCTCCAACTTGTCCATTCCAGACCACTACGTCGACAATCCTCCGGTTTACCTTACAAAGTCTCAGTCGTTCGATCCGGAGATTCCATATCTCGCTGGCGGGCTGGGTCCCATCGCTCCTTTTTGGAATAGCCTCTACTTCCAGGCTATGCAATGATACACGCGGGTATGATAATGACAAAGACTCTGTGCTACCGCACAAAGCGGACGCTCCCCACGACGCGTCCGCGGTTCGCTGGATAATGGAGACGACCACAGATCCAAATGTCATGACTTCAGCTGCGCTTATGGTTCCCGAGATTGAATGGCCCAAATTAATCGACGTCTCTGCTGCAATCATACAACTACGAGATACCTTTCTAGCTTGCTTCGAAAGCACTCAGGGCAGGCAGCCTAAGCTTGGGCTTCATTCAAAGACGCGTGCACTTGCCTGTGGGAAAGCTTTGATCCACCTATGCTTCGCGCGATTGGATGGCCGGGATATGCATCAGCTGTTCTTTGATCCATTAGAGTCGGCATCAGCCACACCGGTCGCGACTCAGTCTCCCGACATATCTTGGTTCACTTTCCTTGTGTTGCAAGATACGGAGATGCAATTTATCTGTGACATGATACGGAGTGCCTTCCGACTGAGCTTAGGACACCGTCCTTTCGTCCCCCGGATACCCGACTCATACCTGGCGTGGATGTCGTACTCCATCCCGCACTGTTTGTTACATTACAAGCAAGAAAGGCACCTTCGCATGTGGGCTATTGATGCCATCACTCGTTTACTCGTCTTTCCACTGCCTCCCAGGGCTGTGATCGTTAACTGTTTGACCGCTGCTGCGCTCATGATCGGCATCCCTATTGAGGAGGATGCTTTGATTCGTCTCGACAAGGGGTAAGCCCTTGATTTATACTTCATTCGCAGTGTTGGCTAATGTGCTCTACAGGGATGAACTCGAATCTATGCTCTTGCAAGTCCTGCAAGCCTTGCAGGATCGAGATCTACAGACAACGCTGGAACAAGGTTTATCAGCAGCATCCCCAAATGACCCAGATAGTGGTCTCGAAGATGTTGATATCGCAATGCTCTTCCGCCCTCTCTCGGTTCTTATCGAAGTCGTCGAGTATCGCCAGATATTCCGCGACATTAATTTACCTGCTTGGGCCCTGCAACTTTGCAGACGTATGGTACAAAGAGCCAACATCAAACCTCCTTTGAACCCAATTACCGCGGATCACCAGTATCAATGTCTCAGCAGTGCCAGAGCTGCACTTCACCTTAGTATCGTTGCCGACGCGGACCTCAGGTACAGCGCTGGTGATTGGCGCGCACTGTGGAATTGCATCAGAGTGGGCGTCAACCATGGAAAACGCCGCAGGGAAGACTTCACATGGTTGCTTGACTTTATTGTTCATCATCGTAACACCAAGGACCACCTTGCTTTGGGCGATGCCCTCCAAGCCATGAGCAAGGTTGGCGAGGTAGAGTGGCCTGAAAATTCGATGCAGGTCTACTACTCGAGCATTTGTGTAGCCATGAGTCCGGATATGCCCGCCCAAACGCGTTATTCTGGAATGGCGGCGCTTCACGCAGTTAGGGGAAAGGTGGCTTCAGATGATTTAACGCCGAGCATGATGGTCAACCTCTCGCTTGCACTGTCCTCTACCGCTGCTCTCTGCATCGATCCTCCTATGGACGACGAGCCTTCTCATACCCTGCCCCTTTCAGAGATCGCGCTATCATGGAGGCGTGACCTATGTTACATTCAAATTATCTTTGCGCTCCGGCAGTCGCACAAATGGGACGAGTCTTTAGCGAACGACGGGCACCTTGAGCGATGCGCTGGGATTGCTGCCAGTCTGGCAAATGAGAATCGCAGCGGGCGCACGCGGATTATATCTCAGCTGAACGCAGGACATCTCGCGCTTTACCTTGCAGCCGTCCTTGCGGGGGGAACAGCACGACACCGCCTTTAGTACAGATGCAGCTGGCATATCCACGCCAACGGACACAGATAAGCTGTGCTGGAAGCTCATCCGCAAAGCTTGGGCGTATGCGTCCAGGCAACGGCTGGACGAGGGTGTCCAACGCGTCGTCCCCACCCTCGTCCAGCACACCCTGCAACATATGAAGAGAGGTCAACAGGACGTGTCGCGCTCCATGGAGGCAGCGGTATCGAAAGTCCTGGCTGCACTGCGGTCACTGCCAGGTGTCGATGTGGATGATGATCAAGTTAATGAATTGACGGAGCTGTTGGAATTGGGGGAAAGGGTAGAGAGTACGATGAAACTTCACGTTGGGAGCTGATGCGTAGGATGCATATCCTGAGAAGCACATTTATCACATTGTCGCGTCATTCGCATGGACATACAATTCTTATGGACTGAGTTTTGATAGAATTATCCGAATAATATAGGACAGTCAAATGGAAAGGCTTGTGGGGGGAGAATGGCAGATCCTGAATAGCTGAAATGCCACTTGAGTCGAATCTTATGAACACTTGAGAGTTATGTCGTTGAGGGCATCATGACAGCGAAGCTCTCGTGGGGAGCGTCTGAATTCGAAGAAGTCGGGATCCGTTGGTTTAGAGCTCGAAGCTGGAAACTAAGGGCACAACCCCCCCGAGCGTGTCAAAAATGGAGGAAGAAAATCGATAACAACGCCAAGGGATAAGTTCAGACCAAAAGACAAGCCAAAATGTGAAAACACACTATGGGTGAGTGAATAGCTTTCACGGCTCAGTATCTGAGAAGGCTGAGGCAGGGATGGTGACCGAGCTGGGCGTTCATGAATGTAACATCGCATAAAGGGGAGAGATATTTTGGACCTGTAAATGCACGTGTGGCTAGTATGAGACGGTGATGACGACAATCCAATTCAATTGGAGGTGCATGGTTCAACTTGTACAGGCTATATTACATGGTGACCAGAGTGCTAGATATCAATGGAAGCATGAGATTCGAAAATTGGATTACGACAATCAATGGTTTCGGCGCCTCTCGTACCAACCTTAGGGCCGCCATTCGCTCAACCAAACATCTCTTGGTCCTGGAAGCAGACTCTTCTCCCTCCGGATGTACTGACCGTACTCCATCTCACCAACTACCTCCCCATGGCTGAACACCACCTTACCCCTGATGATTGTGTACCTCGGCCAGTTCTTGAACTCAATACCCTCAAACGGCGTATAGTCTACAGCGTGGTGCAGCATCTCGTTCGTGAGCTTGAATGGCTGGAACTTCGTTTGCGGGTACCAGATAACCAGATCAGCATCGAAGCCAGGGGCAATGCTGCCCTTTTTCTTCAATCCGTATAGCTTAGCTGGGTTTGTGGACGTGACCTCGACGAACTTCTGTGGGGAGATGCGCCCGGAGAGGACGCCGCCGGAGAAGAGAAGCGGAACACGGGTTTCCACGCCAGGTAGCCCATTCGGGATGAGACGGAATTTACCATATGGAAGGTTTCCGTCTTTGAGTCCCCGCTGCTTTCCATTTTGATGATTGAATTTGGTAGGGGAGTGGTCTGAAGAAACGATGGTGAATGTCCCGTTCTTAATCCCAGCCCATATGGCGTCTTGGTCGGACTTGTCCTCCCGGATCGGAGGTGAGCATACGCACTTCGCGCCTGCATAACGCAAGTAAGACAAAGGTTGGCAGAACATAGCAGAGGAGTCATCACCTTCGAAGTCCCCCTTTCGCATCGAATCAGCGAGAAGGAACATGTACTGGGGACACGTTTCACCGTAAATCGGAAGCAGCCTCGTTTGTGCGTCGCGGATGTGCTTCGTGGCAGGCCCACCGGATATGTGCACGAGCAGGATCGGCGTATCCATGAGTTCAGCCAAACAAATGACGCGGTTCTATTGCAATGTGAGTATGTCATTTCAAACAATGCACAAAATAGGCTCACCGTAGCCTCAGCTTCCACAATCGGAGGTCGAGATGTGCCATGGTGGTAAGGCTGCGTCATGAGCTTCTGTTCTAGATGCTGCGTCATCCAGTCGATGATATCGGCATTCTCGGCGTGCACCATCGTGGTGATACCAAGTTTCCGAGCGGAATACATGACATCAAGAATCTGGTAATCCAGAAGCCTCAATGGCTTGTATGTCATATACAGCTTCACACTCGTAATTCCGTACTCGTCGACCATCCGCGGGAATTCATCTTCGACGATTTGGGGCGTCGGATTAGTGATGATGACGTGGAAAGCGTAGTCGCAGTAGGACTGGTCCTTGGCGAGCTTGTGATAGTCTTCGACAACAGCAATGATACTCTCGTCCTTCTTCATTTGAGAAGCGAACGTAATTACTGTTGTCGTTCCTCCAGCTACCGCACTGCGTGTGCCCGTATCGAACGTGTCACCGACAAAGTTTTCGGGATCGGGGACGACCCCATTCGTAACGATAGAGTGATCAATGTCCACACCGACGGTGCCTTCGTAAAACTACACAACACGATAAGCATCTGAGCAGCAGATGAAGAAATTTACTAGCCTGGCTCAGATGAACATGAGCGTCGACTCCTCCGGGAGTTATAAAAGCCCCTTCAGCGTCAATCTCTTGCGCACCGGGTGCAGCTGGAAGACGAGGACCAACAGCGACAATGGTTCCATCCTGACATAGGCAACGACGTATTAGTAAACCCGAGCACGATAGCAGGTGGTATTCGTACCTTGACTCCAATATCACAAGACTCCCAAATGTCCGAGGCAGTCACAACGGTACCATTGCGAACAACGAGGTCGAAATCCATGACAGAGTATCAATGAAAGCTCCAAGCATATCGCACAAGAAACAGCGGAGATAAATACACCCCTGAAGATAACAAGAAGACCACATGAACGTCATCTTACCTTTAATCTTCCAGAAGCGAGGTCTCGTGCCAGGAAGTACTACTATGCCTTGGAAAATTGTGGCTGATTTTAGCAGGGTCCGGACACAGTCGGGCCTCTGATAAAGGGGTAACTACGCTCACGTTAGCAAGGACAAACATCTAGTAGCAATAATATTGTCTTGCTTGAGTGAGCTCGCTGAGCTACTTTAATAGGCACCCGCAGGTTGAATTTGTTCTGATGGTTAGGATATGGCTGTGCAAAGTTACTCCGGAGTAGATAGTATCCCGCCTTCGTCCCTGTCACCCTGATCGTAGTGAAAGATGGGCGTTGAAGCTTGGGTCATGAATATCTTAAACAGCCAAAATGTGGTGAAAAGGAAAAATCAGATACTTATAAACAAATCGACACAAACTCGAGAATCAATGTGCACCGTGGCGTTGAGATGAATTTCCAGGGAGAACTATGGAAAGTTGCTGTGACATACACATAGTGGCCAAGAGCTGAAACACGAGCCTCAATTTACTAGATGTTGCCATCGGTTCCCACTGCTCACTACCCACCCATCACCATACGCGTGCCCTCTCCGCGCTCTCTCAGAGTTTTTCCAGACGCGTGAACTGAAACTTGATATCATCGAGGAGCACAGGGCGAGGGATAAATAATTTCATCCAATTGGCTGAAAGGAGGGCTTATGTAACCGTGCACTCTATTTAAATTCTATTATTAATTTAATATTTAGGCAACGGGTTAAGTATAGGCGCCTCCTGTTTCTACAGCATTGCAGTCATTCCATCTGATCAGTGATCTCAACCATTACACGACAGCTATGGTCTCAAAGATTCCTCTCAGTGGACCCGACGACAGCATCATGAATATCTTGCAAGGAAGGGAGCGTATCGTATCTTACCCTGGCACGAGTCAGTTCAATGGTCGCGGTACATCTGCATGTGGCCTTGCAGCCATGAATTTTGCGAGAGTGCTTTCTGACCTCGTCCACATACATAGTCAGGACAGGATGATGGATCTGATACGAGCTATCACCAGTAAAGAGGTCATTCAAGTCAGTGTTTCGTCTGATTTAGCGCCCGTCAAAACCACTGGTCGTACTAGCCCCTCACTGCTTCTCACGAAACGTTACACCATAGGACGTTATCTCCATCTGCTCGGGATGGTCAAGTGACTTACACTTGGACGTGGAAGAAATTCAGCAGGTTCCCTTATTCGAGAAGTCTCTGAAGCATGTATCAACACGGTTTGGTCGCCCAACGGCGAAGTATTTCAGGCGTACCCTGGAGTAAGTCAATTATTCGTTTATCGGTTTCATTACCCCCATAATCTTCTCAGATATATGCAAACCTTGAGCTCCTCTGCTACTGTCATCATCACCCGCCCTCCTGAGATCATCGCATGCACGATGATTAAAGGATTGGAGACGCATGTTTTCGTGATTTTCGATTCTCACCCGCGGCCAAGCTATCCAGCTGGTTCTGGCATTATTCTCAATACATCGATCGACCAAGCGGTCTCACGCTTGGCCACCATATTACCTGCTACTGACAGTCGTCTTCTTTCCCTGAGTGGCTTGCAATGGCAGGCTCAGCTGCTTAATAACGTGTCGGGTCATATCTTCGTATCAAATGGACCACCTTCAGACATGCGAGGCATGCAGCATACTGTTGTTGAATCCAGCCTAGCTGTTCTGAGATTGCGAGCCGAAGTGGCTGAGTTGACGCAGAAAAATGAGAGGCTAGTTGAAGAAAACGCGACGCTCGAAGAAGAGGTTCAACGCTTGGACGATGCTTTGAGCATCGAGAAGAAGAAAGTGGTGTCGCTTCAGGAATCCTCCAAGATTGTGCAGAAGAGCAGTGAGCGGTACTTCACTTCAAAGCCCCTCCCTTCGCGGTCCTCAAACGGAATAGCTGAATCATCGCGGTTGGCCCCGCTCAACTTCTTGGCCTCGTCCTCGTCATCTGGCAAAATAACGAACAACGATCGCGGTCGCGATGCAAACGCATGGTCATCGCTTTATGATACGGTCAAGGAAGACCTAGGACATGAGTGGGGGCTTGACAGCCTGAATTCAGCCGCGGCCCTCGAGTTGCAGAAATATTTTGACGTTGAAGATTTGCAACTTCGAGATCAGATGCAAACTCTGGCTGCCTCACTCCCACACTCCTTTTCTTGCGTAATATGCATGGAAGAACAATCTGTGGACAACAGTGTGGATCTTGAATGTAATCACTCGATATGCAGAACTTGTATCCGAGGACATATATGCTCCAAGGTCGAAGAGCATCGTTTTCCAGTCATGTGTCCCGTTTGCATGACAGAAAATAATAACCGTCAACCTGCAGGTTTGTACATCCTCTGTAGTACACATTATTAGCTCACCCTCCTTAGTGATCTCGGGATTCCTCGTGCAGCAAATTGGTGTCGATGAGCGGCAATATGCGATTTGGGAAGAAATGGAACTAAGCCAGCTTTCAGTTCTCCTTCACTGCCGCAAGTAAGTGTCTCACCTGTATTACCTTCCAGCGCGTCAACCATGTCATTTTAGATGTCAGCGTTCAGTTCCAGTAGACAGACAGGAGCATGACGAATCTCGCATGCTGGTTTGTCCTCTACCAAATTGTAACCATATTTGGTGCAAAGCGTGCCAGCAATCTTTCACAATCGGCGGTCCTCCCCATTCTTGTGACGGAACCTCGGAACTGGACCATTTAATGAAACAGCGCGGGTGGAAGTATTGCCCAAGTATGTGCTCTTCCTATTGGTTATTTGCTGTTACTTATAGTCATTGATAGACTGCAAAACACCGGTCCAGAGAGACGGAGGATGCAGCCATATGACCGTGTGTGATCTATTTCTTGACAAGCACACCGTTCTAACGTATATGCTGTCGTAGTGCATCTCCCCGGCCTGCAACACTCACTTTTGCTACATTTGTGGGCAAAGTATTGTTCGCAGCGCCTTGCAAAGTGACATTCGGACCGCGGTTGCTACTCACTATCGTGTTTGCAAACTGTTTGATTATCCCGCGGAGTGAGGCGCTCGGCGGTAGCGGACAGGAGTGTTGTAGGTTTAAGTGGGCTATAAGTCGGACTGTAACATCTTTGTCATAGAATTCCAGAAATGCAATTTGAGCCCGAGGCCTTTTTTGGATTTGATGGCTTACAATTTTCATGAAGGAGGCAACTGCAATCTGGCCCTAATCAGTCCAAAGTCCGGTCCAGTTGCGGTCTTTTTGCAGTCCAGCAACTGGACTTTGGAACACTATCTTCATCCTCATCTTCATCAGCCAGAGCAAGGGAAAGCAGGCTTTCATCGATGATGTTGCATGCCATGTTTAAGGTTTAGTAAGTACTAAGTAGGATTAGATTATGATTTATTTGACTTGTGTCTACGGTTTGGAAATATTCCACTTGGCCGAACCTCCGAGTCCAAAACGAAATCTGGAATTCTAAATGCTGCGCTCGACTCATATCAGGCCAAGTGAATTTCAGTGATGTGCGCGCCCGTCACATTGAATTTGGACTTAGTTCAACAGCCAGACAACAGCCACATCCACTTTAAATGCAGCGCGACGTACTCGACAGTGCGCAGTAGATACCCACAATGATTTTGCTCACTCTATCTACTGAACACGTTCGCAATACCGTTATCACCAACGAGCAAGGTCAAATTATTTACAAGACAGAGACTCCGTTCAAACTATTTGGCGTCCGTACTACGACCATTCAGAAAATCAAGCCAAATGACGACCAGGTCGATGTCTTAGGAGAGATTGAGTGGCACATATTTGCTTCCTCAAAGTTTCGTTATGATGGAACTGAAGTAGAGACGAAGGTGTTCATTCCGAAGAGAGGCATATTGGGTCGGTGAGTACATAGCGTCCTTCTAGGAAGTCCGGGCCAGCAAAATAAAATAATGGCAGGAAGCGCGTCTGCATAGGACCAGATAGCCGTCCCTATCGCTGGGACCTCAAGTGCAAAGTGGTAGTTGTGAGTACGCTTCCACTTCATTAACATTGCTGATACTCTGTTTCTTACGAGTCGGATTTCAAATTTCAGCTCTCACGGGATGATGCGTCTCGAACAGAGGTCGCTCGCTTTCATAGAGCGACTCTCGGAATTATAGGAAGAAAACGCAAAGCCATGCTGGAAGTATCACCTGAAGTGGCTCATATGATGGATACCGTCATCATGACGTTCATCTACGTCGAGAAACTCAGAAAGGACAAAGAAAACGCCTCGAGAAGTTCGGGTGCTGTGTTATATTGATTGATACCCTTTTATAATAAGTAGCTTTCTCTTACAAGTACTAATACTTACAGTCTGCGGGAAGATGTCGAAATTCTGGCCAAGTCTGGGCGGTAGGTCTGTTCTTATCCAGAGGGTGTAGTGATATAAAATAGCTATATGAATCATAGTGTACTATCAGCTCCGAGCCGTTATGAAAGATCAACCTATTGGCAATAATGACGAGTATAAGTATTGTTCCACATAACATATGTAACAAATATTCACCTGACGCGCGGTGGTGTCTATTATATTTTAGCTTATTACTGCCGTGAAATTTAGAAGTCAATCCTTAGTATTGCTAGGTTTCCCCCGAACGACGAACAGGCCTAGGAAGTAGGAACCATAAGTTTGACCTATTTTCAAGTGAGACCTCCTGATGCAGTGACCGTCCCGGGCCTGATTATGGGACCTGGGTTCGTCAAATCTGCACTCACTCGATGACCCGCATCATGTTCATTAAATGAACACATGTCTCTGAAACGTTTATCAGACGCCCGACTTTGTCCGCTGAAATCAGCGGCGATTGAGGAGTTCTGGCACGAGACCTCGCTTCTGGAAGCTGAAAATGTTCATGTGGTCTTCCTGTTATCTACAGCGCCGGTGTATATATCTGTCATCTCTCGGGTGACAATGGACATGCTTGGAGCTTTCGTTGATATCATAACACCATGGATTTTGACCTTGTCGTCCGCAATGGTACTGTCGTGACTGCCTCGGACATCTGGGAGTCTTGTGATATTGGAATCAAAGTACGAATCACACCTGCTGTCGTTTCCGAGTTTTCCATGCATATGTTAACTAGGATGGGACAATTATTGCTGTCGGTCCTCGTCTTCCAGCCACAGCTGGCGCGCAAGAGATCGACGCTGAAGGAGCTTTTATAACTCCCGGTGGAGTTGACTCTCATGTTCATCTGAGTCAGGCTGGTGTTTTTCTTCGTTATCTGCTGTCATATTCTTATTCAAATCATATTGTGCAGGTACACAACGCCAACGTCGACGACGTAGATCGTTCTACCATTACGAATGGGGTCATCCCAGATCGCGAAAACTATGTCGCTGACACGTACGACACGGGCACGCGCAGTGCAGTTGCTGGAGGAACGACAACAGTAATTACGTTCGCTTCTCAAATGAAGAAGGACGCAAGTATTATACCTGTTATTGAGAACTACCACAAGCTTGCCAAGGACCAGTCCTACTGTGACTACGCTTTCCACGTTATCATCACCAATCCGACGCCCCAAATCGTCGAAGATGAATTCCCGCGGATGGTCGACGAGTACGGAATTACGAGTGTGAAGTTGTATATGACATATAAGCCCATGAAGCTTCTCGATTATCAGATTCTTGATGTCATGTATTCCGCTCGGAAACTTGGTATCACCACGATGGTGCACGCCGAGAATGCCGATATCATCGACTGGATGACGCAGCATCTAGAACAGAAGCTCATGACGCAACCTTACCACCATGGCACATCTCGACCTCCGATTGTGGAAGCTGAGGCTACGGTGAGCCTATTTTGTGCATTGTTTGAAATGACATACTCACATTGCAATAGAACCGCGTCATTTGTTTGGCTGAACTCATGGATACGCCGATCCTGCTCGTGCACATACCCGGTGGGCCTGCCACGAAGCACATCCGCGACGCACAAACGAGGCTGCTTCCGATTTACGGTGAAACGTGTCCCCAGTACATGTTCCTTCTCGCTGATTCGATGCGAAAGGGGGACTTCGAAGGTGATGACTCCTCTGCTATGTTCTGCCAACCTTTGTCTTACTTGCGTTATGCAGGCGCGAAGTGCGTATGCTCACCTCCGATCCGGGAGGACAAGTCCGACCAAGACGCCATATGGGCTGGGATTAAGAACGGAACATTCAATGTCGTTTCTTCAGACCACGCTCCATGCAAGTACAACCATCCAAACGGAAAGCAGCGCGGGCTCCAACACGGAAACCTTCCATACGGCAAATTCCGTTTCATACCGAACGGCCTACCTGGTGTAGAAACCCGTGTTCCGCTTCTCTTCTCCGGCGGCGTCCTCTCAGGGCGCATCTCCCCACAGAAGTTCGTCGAGGTCACGTCCACAAACCCAGCTAAGCTATACGGATTGAAGAAAAAGGGCAGCATTGCCCCTGGCTTCGATGCTGATCTGGTTATCTGGTACCCGCAAACGAAGTTCCAGCCATTCAAGCTCACGAACGAGATGCTGCACCACGCTATCGACTATACGCCGTTTGAGGGTATTGAGTTCAAGAACTGGCCGAGGTACACAATCATCAGGGGTAAGGTGGTGTTTAGCCATGGGGAGGTAACTGGGGAAATGGGGTATGGTCAGTTCATCCAGAGAGAGAAGAGTTTACTTCCAGGGCCAAGAGATGTTTGGTTGAACGAATGGCGTCCCTAGTTCATTGATCGTTGTACTCCAATTTTCCATAGACCGTGTCATGTGCACTGAATTTCTTGGTGGTGTCAACCAGTTGTCTCATTGAGATGTGAGAAGTAGTACATCGCTAAGAAACATCGAAGCTGACCCAGGATTGAGCCATTGAAAATATGGCCAAAGTTCTGGATGAAATCATCTTGCAAATTGCAGACATTCTTTCGAAGGTCAAGATGAGTAACCAGTCCTCCACCGTGGTGCAAGGTGTTTTGCTCGATGCGGATTTGAGGTGGAGGAAGGCGCTCACCATCTCACGATTCTCACCACAATTTTTGATGAGGTATTCGAGTTTCAGCACGACGTGGTAACGGTATATACTATATAGTGACCTTGAGCACTACTACTCCCGCTTGGAGCTCCGAATCGAACTTGACATTAGACACGTGAGTTTACTAAGCGAGACTCATCCTGGACGGCGCCTTCGAGTTGCAAGCGCCCACCACCAAGTACTTGTCCTTGCCACTCCTTGGTAAGAGCCTCTGCCTTCTCACCCCAAACTATATTTTGTTTCAGGGTGTGAGATACCGGGCGATGTTCCTTGTTCTCATGTGGGTCGTGTACAAAACCCGAAGTGTATCAAATGAAGACTCGCCCTCGAAGAAATCTGTTTCAAGCGCGCATATTGCAGTCTGGACCCACCACCTTTCCGAGTCTACCTTGGTCCAACGAACGTATTTTTATGCTCACTCGCGACAATATAACTGTAAGTTTGACGTCAAACACTATTCGATTGATCCGATCGCTTACTTGTCCAAGCATCATCTATCCTCCATCTACGAAGTGTACTGTCTTCCTGCCGCCTATTCTTAGTTGCATTTCCCACTCCTTAAGAACTTGAATATCTGTTTGATGCATGTTTGATAGACTAAATACCCCAAAAGTCACAGGAGGAGACCCAACGATCAATAAATACCGGCAGCGTCCGGTCGATGTTAGACCAACCGAAGGGGCGATCATTGACATATTATGCTCTCAGTGAGAAAACCGGAAATATTCTTCGCAGATTTCGAGGCTAGATTGAACCTCGGCCCCTCGCAATATACTTCTACGAGCCCAGTGCATTAAAGCCCTGAGATCATATCACACTGTTGTATCGCTGTTGTAGCAAGTGTTTTCTTGGATATGTGCCGTGAGTATTTTACTGGCTCGCTTGGTTCTAGAGTCCTGACGGATGGTCGTCTCGCATATGAATACAATCAATAACGGCTTGCATTCTTATGCTTGGCACCGAGAGTCCTTGTGGTGAATCGACCCGTACTGGACCTGTACTGAAGGGAGAATCCTTTCCGAGGGTTAAACAAGACGACGGAGTCATTCGACGGTGGGATGACAAACTCCGCTACTAAGCAGAAATCGCAAGAATGGTAAACAAGTAGCTCAAATCTCTTGTGAAGTTAATCAGCTTGCGGACCAGGCCCAACCAAACTACTTCTGTTTAGCGAAGAGTGAGAAGCAGTTCCAGAAGCTGGACTGTGAGTTGATACATTCTTACCCGCGTTGAAGCGTTGATTTCTTGGCAAAAACTTTGATAGTCTTTTAATCGAGACACTACCTCTATGTTTCTATCCGTCCGGCGGTCCTGCCCAATGCATTAGCGCCGACATCGGAATTAAATTCTGACTCTCCTGCCCGTACAGATTGGATCCCTTCTGTTGGTAATCAGATGACTCCCGAGACGGACCTGAGGTGGCGACAAGTTATCAACATCATATCGTGTTTCCACAGCGTGCTCGAGACGTCTAGGACATTGGTAGGGAACAAAAATATCCTAAAGCGGAAGTGCCTCAGGGAACTACACCTTGAGGCTTGGGCAGCCACATCCGTAGATCAATTGGATCTGAATTGCTAGCGGTGAGTCCATCACGCAAGCTGTATCAAATGTCCGAGTTGATGATTTTTAGTCATTCTGTGGCATGTATCTCCTTGGCGAGGCTTCGCACATCAGCCATCGTGGTATCGAACACTTTTGCTAAGCCTTCCAAGCACTCCGTTCTGGTGCGAGATCGCATCAAGTGAACCAAGTGCCAGAAGTGAAGTGACCGTTGATGGTACACCGCACGAGCATCGCATGGAAAGTAATCGCTTGGCCAGATTCGCCATGCACTTCCTTATCGGAGGCGTCAAGGGCGTGATGAGCGGATATCAAGAGTGCAAACACCCACTCCAAGAATCTGCGAAGCTGATTTCGAGTCAGCAACAACCGATGCGCAATAGACAGTTGCGGCCTGCATATTTAAACAGTTGTGATTTATCATTTGTCTTCCTCATACTTCTCCGCATATTACTATGGTCCAGACTGATGAAGTCCATAATATTTCCGTCGTGCTCCCGAAGGAGCAAGATGTCGAACCTCCTTACTCTGTATTTACGACTTGCGAAAAATGGGTCATAGTAACTCTTGCATCCATAGCAGGGTTGTTTAGGTGAGCAAATGGTTGTTCCTCGACATTGAAACTGTTGTAAATAGTTTTTTTCAGCCCGCTGACAGCGTACATATACCTTCCTGCCATTCCAATGATCGCGACTGCGTTTGACAGGACTGTCGAACTTACCAACCTCACGGTGACGGTTTATCTAGTGTTTCAGGGTGTATGTCAGTGAAGCCTGCTGTATGCTGTCTGCCCGGGCTCATCGTTACCGCTTAAAGCACCCATGTTCTGGGGTACTCTCGCAGATCGCATGGGCAGGCGACCAACGTCGCTTGGATGTTTATTTGTTCTCAGCCTTGCTTGTATCGGTCTGGCGTTCGTACCGACATCATACTTCTGGTTGTTGATGGTTCTTCGGTGTCTCCAAGCGGTTGGTAGCGCTAGCACGCTCACGATCGGTACGCTACCGTGTATGTTTTATTTTTGCGCTTTATCTAATTTGCTACAGGTGCTGGTATAATTGCAGACATTGCTACCCCCGCGGAGCGAGGTGGTTTCTTCGGCATCTTCACAATGGGTCCACAGGTGAGTGAGCGCAGGGCCACATAACTTGACTATGTAGTAACTGGGTTTCGAAGGTTGGACCCGCAATAGGACCCGTTGTAGGAGGCGCTCTTGCGGATAAGCTTGGATGGAGGTGAATCAGTTGTCCGCACAAATAGAACAAAGTTTCGCTCATGCAGTCCATTATCCAGATCCATTTTTTGGTTCCTCTGTATCTCCAGTTCAGCGTGTTTTATTGTCATGGTCACGTAAGTTGCGATATTTGGAGTTATTCTCTCTGACGTAGCCTGGGTGTCAGGTTCCTCCCGGAGACCTTGCGTAGCATCGTCGGAAATGGCAGCGTCTTTCCGCCTATCCAGTATCGTCCTTTATTACCCTTAATGGGGCGTGGCCATAAGAATTCTGAGGTGGAGTGTCCACCTGCTCGTAAATCTCATAACCCTTTCCGTCTGTTCGCATGTGTCGATGTCTTGAACCTCCTGGTTTTCAATGGCATTCAATATGCAGTGTTCACCGCCATTCTAGCGACCATATCTTCATTGTTCGAAGAAAACTACCCTCACCTGACAGAGACGGATATTGGGATTTGCTATCTGGCTTCTGGAGGCGGGCTTGCGCTGGGCGCAATGTTCAGTGGCAAGCTCATGGACTGGGATTACAGGACAGCGAAGGAACGGCTGATTCGTAATTTAACGCCAGAGAAGGGTATCCCAGGTGATATCATACGCGATGACGAATTTCCCATCGAAGCAACGAGGCTGAAGAGATTGCCACTTTGGATGATTATATTCTGCGCAGCTTGCACCGGGTATGGCTGGTGCTTTCAAGCGCGAACGACCATTGCAGTTCCTCTGGTCCTCCAATTCGTTAGTGAGTCCTTTTTCGATTCTTGTTCATAGTTTAGTGCTCAATGTTTGATTACACAGTTGGTTTTTCGGAAATCGCTATGCTCACTACCATTCAAACTCTTTTGATCGACCTTATGCCATCGCAAGGCTCTTCGGTGACTGCGTGTGTGAGTGCATCGGGTTTCTCTGATACACAACATTGTAACAACGACCGCAGAATAACCTCATACGGTGCTCCATGGGAGCGTTGTTAGTCTCTGTGATCGACTTGCTACTTCGCAAGATTGACGCTGGGTGGACATTTGTTCTTCTAGGGGGGATATGTTTGATCTCGTTACCCCTGGTTTGGCTGGCAGTGCGTATTGGACCTTCCTGTCGTGCTGGCAGACGTGTACGTCAGGCTGCATCTTAAAACTAACAAAGCGCATAGTGGGTATAGGAGATGTAATGATATTTTTGACTTTTGCAGTTCGTAGTGTAGAATTGGAATCAAGATCAGAACCACCTTGGCAGTGTCTTGCTGTCCGAGAAGCGCTCACGTAGTATTCGCCAAGGCTTGCTATATATTCATAAAAAAAATCCAAGTCGCCTTTTTACATGGTAATCACGAAGATCAAGGCATTGGGTAGACCGATACGCACAAATTGCGATTGTAAGCTACAACTACTTATTCCGGCGAGAGTTAGCGCACAAACTCGGCCCACGATGTCAATTACTCCGGGCATCAATTATGTAAAAGATTGCCTCCCACATTTTTAACCTCTCTTGGACTCTCTCAGGTTCATCCATTAATGCTCGAGCGACCGCCGACAGTGCACCAAGATCTGCCTCCCAATGACTGCTGGCACGTAGCCACGCTTTTATGTAACCTCTCTGAAAGTAAGCCCAGAATCAGATTCTTTGCAAGCCTGCAACCCATCCAGAATTTATCATCCCTGACCTGTTTTGGCTCATATATCCATTTTGAAGGGCTTCCGCGATGTATCCGGTGAGGCAACCTCACGTCGTCACTGGTACTTGTACTACAATTTTGTCTGGGCATGATCCTAGACCAGGCAAATTCCGAGATGCAGAATCTCCTTGGACCTTCTGTCCTTTATTCTTAATCCATCTGTTCCCTAGTTTCTGACGTATGCATGGCTCCACTCGCGATGTAGCCGAGGTACGTGCTGTTTATATACACCACGATTTAGCGGCCAATTACAGTGATGCATCACACGTACATCAGAAACCGAAGTCTGCGTTGACTATGCGCAGCATCCATTTTTGGGCTGGGACACCGACGGTAATCGATCCTTGGACAGATGGATGGATGACCACATCTTCATGATCAGCCAGGAATATTTAGACGATTACAACATCGAACAAGAAAGGAACTGCAACCTCGCCACACGATGCATGCTGTGATCGGGCAGCAGAATATAGTTGTGCTTTCTTTTGAGTTACCTTAGTCAAAGTCAACCTAGTGTTACCGTTCGCTGTCTCTAGGTTCGTTCGAGCCTGACACAGTGGCAACACGAGGGCAAAAGTTCTGGTCAAAATTGTCATGTGTTTGCTATCTCGCTCATTCTGCCTTGTTCCACCTATCTTGGAACTCACTCGCCCACTGAACCACGGGAACGTAGAACCCTTCACAGCCTCGACGTTCAGCTCCTATCACACAGTAGGTGGCGTAAATATTATGTTTCATGGTTTCCAGGCAAAAGGTCTGGCACTGGCAAGAGTCTTGATTCCTAGCACACCGAAGGATGTACGCCATAACAACAAGCCCTGACGCCGCAGCTTTAAGTACTCGAATTAGTAGTGGCCGCTTTTAGGTTGCGGATGTCGTCCATGAGGCTCGCAGGGTTTCTGAGGCTATCTGGATTCCGGACGTGCTTCTTATTCGATCGCACGATTCAGGCATACTGATAATTCTTGTTCTCTAGACAATACCCTCGAGTTTGCAGAGGTTCTGCACGCTTCTATAATATCCTACCCCAATCGTGACAGTTCCTTGCGTTGAAGATAGATACGAGGGAGATAAGATTGCTTAGTCTAGATCAGAGTGACTATATACATAGCTGATGGACGATCTGCGAGTTCAGCCATCTCAGCAATCATCTCTTGTTTCTGCCGATGCAGATTCCAAAAGGTGACTAGTGATTTCATTGAAAGTTTGAACTTGAAGTAATTACGGTGACATAACGTCACACAATGTCATGTCACAGCAATCGGTTAGGGTGACAGCATTTTGGGCTCGATCTTGCTCGCTCATTGTCTAGCGCGATCCACAATCATTATTCAACCATGCAGGCAGGACAGACACCAGTGTTCGTCATGAGTATGTACCACCTGCACTTTTTAAATACATCACTGAACGCGATGTTTTGCAGACACTGCACCAGAGAGGCAGTCAGGAAGGAAAGCCCAGATCTCCAACATCACTGCCGCAAAGGCAAGTATCATCGTCAACATATACTTCATTTTCCTCTCATTCATACTTGCTTCTCAAATAGACTATCGCTGATGTTATTCGAACATGTCTTGGCCCAAAAGCCATGCTCAAGATGATCCTCGATCCAATGGGCGGCATACTGTGCGCCTCTACACATTTCCTGCCATCAATATGTTTGAGTAATGTATAATGCATAGGCTAACAAATGATGGAAACGCGATTCTCCGTGAAATTGACGTTGCACACCCTGCAGCAAAGAACATGATCGAACTCAGTCGTACTCAAGACGAAGAATGTGGTGATGGTACGACCAGCGTTATCATCCTTGGTGTGTTCATAAACTTCGAAACCATATCATTCTCTCATCGTCATATAGCGGGAGAAATTCTCGCTCAATCCCTCTCGCAGCTTGAACGCGACATCCACCCTGTTGTTATCATTTCCGCTTACAACAAAGCTCTCAAAGAAGCTCTCGCGATCGTAAACCGCATCTCCATCCCCATTGACACGTCATCTGATGAAGAAATGCTCTCTCTCATTAAAACTTCCATCGGCACCAAATTCGTGGCACGCTGGAGCGATTTAATGTGTCATTTGGCCCTTCAAGCCGTGCGCACCGTTGCCTCGGATGACGCTGGACACAAGAGTGTTGACATCAAGCGCTATGCACGTGTCGAAAAGATCCCAGGTGGGTTCATTGAGGAGTCGAGAGTCCTCGATGGTGTCCTTCTCAACAAAGACATCACCCACGCAAACATGCGCCGACGAATTAAGAACCCGCGTATCATCCTACTCGATTGTCCCCTTGAGTACAAGAAGGGCGAGAGTCAGACCAACATGGAATTCTCCAAGGAGAGCGACTGGCAACGCGCACAGGAGATCGAGGAGGAGCAGGTCATTGCGCAGTGCAGACGTTTACTCGAATTCAAGCCTGATCTTATCATTACCGAGAAAGGCATATCCGGTATGTGTTGAGATCGAAATTTGCCCGAGCTACTCCGAGCTACTGATTTTTTCCTCCTTCAGATACGGCACAATATGTTTTTGAGCGAGCGAACATCTCTGCTATTCGACGCGTCCGCAAATCAGACAACAACCGCATCGCTCTGGCCGTCGGTGCAACCATCGTGAACCGCGTGGAAGACCTCCGCGATTCCGATGTTGGCACAGGGTGTGGGCTATTCAATATCGAGAAGATGGGGGACGAGTTCGTTGTTTCAGTTCTGCCTGGCCCCTCATTTACGCAATCCACTCAGATACTTCACATTCCTGACCGAGTGCAAAAACCCCAAAGCGTGCACCATTCTCCTCCGTGGCCCCTCCAAGGACATACTTAATGAAATAGATCGTAATCTTGCAGATGCTCTCAGCGTTGCGCGCAACGCATACTTCAACCCCCTCCTTGCGCCGGGAGGAGGTGCGACCGAGATGGCAATCAGCGTGGGGTTGCACGCTAAAGCACGTAGCGTTACTGGGGTTGAGGGATGGCCATTCAGAGCTGTTGCAGATGCCATGGAGGTAGTCCCACGGACCCTAGTGCAAAATAGTGGCGGGAATGTTATCAGGGTACTGACAGAGCTCAGGGTGGGTGATCATATTTCTCTGGAGAGATTGTACTTAACGACTTCCGATAGGCCAAGCATGCGAACGGAGAGCATTCATGGGGCGTGAATGGAGAGACCGGAAAGATAGTCGATATGAAGGAATACGGCTTGTACGAGAGTGCAAGCGTAAAGGTACGCTCCATGATCCTGTAGTTTGATGAGTCCCCTGACCGTCTATCTGTCCCGCGTTCAGATCCAAATCCTGAAAACTGCTGTTGAGGTATATCTATTGTCCATCACGCGTGTGCCGCCTGCTTACCATACCCACAGGCTGCCCGTATGCTACTGCGTGTCGACGACGTCGTACAAGCCACACGAAAAGAGCGCGAACAGCAAGGCCCTCCACCAGAGGAGATGCAGGGTGATTAAAAATGATGCGCAGATGAAACGAAAATTGCATTTTGTGCAGTGCGTTCAGAATACACTAATTTACATGTTTCGAAGTGTGCTATCTGTCATGCTGTTTTCCAGCAGAGCAAATCTTTTAATGAAGACACGATGCGCGGTACGGAAAGATCCAGGTTGAAATGCGTGTTAACGTTAGCATACACTCTAGCTTGAGAGGCTCTTGTTAGCAGTGATCGTTTGAGAACCATCATGATCAGAGTCGGTCGATCGGTGTCTGGCAATGTAGAATGAAATAATGTGTAGGTATGCTCGTATCAACGAAGAACATGGTGCATAATCTGAGTGACTATGACATGGCGGGGAAACGAAAGGACTAAGAGCTAATACGATGTAGATCTATATACAGGTATGATAATATTATGATGAGGAAGGGTCGCATAACAAAGTCTGATGCGAGTGGCTTTCTGGCTCGTTCGGGGCGTTATCTCGACAGTACTCTTGATGGCCCTGTGCATGAAATCTAGCTCCCTGGCCACATGTGCACTCACCCCTTCTAGAATATTCATGTATTGTAGTACAGTTGGGAGAAAAAGCTACACATTTGCAACGCGCCCAAACACCCATGTGAAAGTTGAAACGCTGAAAATCGAAGGGGAGCAGACACCTTTTGAAATAGCTTGGGAATACTTCGAGGGAGCATTTAGCTGGGTTTCCATTTGGACATTCAAAAGTATTTGGAAACTGAGCTCGACATGTATCTTCTACCATAGGGCTTCGCCCAAGCGGACGATAAACAACGACCATAAGTATCTCGTACAGAGTGATGAACGACTTCTTACCCTTCCGAAGGAGACCTGTCCCCGAATCCTGCAAAACAACCTAGACCTACATTAAGTTGCTTCCAGAATCTGCGGCAGAACATGAGTCAGTTTACATATCGGATAGCGTTTGATGATTAGTGTGGGCAAGACCAAGCAGAATTGCAGCGCTCCCTGTAAGCCGCCTCCTTCAGATGTTAAGAACCACCGTCCGTTTCCCCCAAAAATACTTGACCATGCTCAAGAACATCACAAGGCCCCTAACATTATCTGTCGCGCCGGAAGCAGTGGCTGCGGAGTCCTAGTGTGGAGCGAGCAAAAGTCGTTCGTACTCTTTATCATTCCTGGACTCCCGATCCTGACCAATGCCTTGTCGGACGCTTAGTATAATCTGGTCAGCGAAACAGAACTGCCTACGCAGAATCAACGTAACACCAAGTTCAAAGGACACATAAGCGCCTGCGTTAAACAAATTCTTACCAATGGCACGGCCGCTAAGACTAAAATTGTCGGGTATGATCACAAGCACAGTGAAAACTGCAGTAGTTATAGTCACGTTTGAGCTGAACAGGGATGAATACCCCAAGCAGAAAACCATCAATCCCCAGCGCAAGGTCGAGAATCCTCGATGCTGATGCGCCCGGATGGATGGCACAGGACGCCATGGTTTATTCAGGAGATCTTTAGACGTAGAGTAAGATTGGTTTGAGACGTTGTCTTGGAAGAGATGGAGCCAGAACTAGCAAAGAGAGTAAAATAAGGCCAGCGGGTTATGACGAGGGGATACGATGTTCATAAACATAAACATCATCTACAACAGAAAATTCAGTGTTATACGCTGATATTTATCGCCGGAATGAATATCACTTGGAGGGTGATTGTCTTGAATTCGTATCAGGTGAAAAGCCAAATGGTATATCCAGTTGCGCAAGGTGGTCGCTGCGAGGCCCAACATCAGTCTTTTGAAACGTGCATTGCCGTTAAGCATCATTCTGAGCCCTGGGGCGAACCATTCTGTTAAGACGTGATAGTAGACACTATTACTAAGGACTTACCGGTAGCACTAAATCTAAAGTAAACGCCATTACACCGATGTTCGGAAAAAAAGGAAAGCCGGTCATGTCTCTACTTAGTAGTATTCGCGCGTCACGACAATGCTCTTCATTGACAGAAGCTCTCGACAGACCACAGTCTACCGACCAGGGCAGTCATGGCTACCCTGTCTGTAGTTGTCCATCGAGAGCTGGCTTCCCATGTCGGCACCACCCAAATATTTAATTGCGATCTTGATAACTCTTGGTGTGATTCTGGCTGATACTGGATAGTCAGGCATGCCAACACGCGCAATTCCGTTGGACCAGCAAGCTATCTTCGGCCATATTAGTGGTCTAAATCTGCATGGGCGGATGCTGTCAGTAGGTGCTGCTGTCAATGATAGCGATCCTTAGCAATCACGCAATATTTTTTTGGACAATTTGATAATTTTACCTCCTGGTAATAGTTGTAACTTGTCAACTAAACATCGTCACGGAAAACGAGAACGGATGCAACACATCATGTTGGTAGAGTGCTACTTGCCACTGGTCATCAAGTCTCACGTTCTAAACCAGGGGGGCGCATTTAAAGACACACTGGCAGGATGCAAGGGAAGTCTGAGACTCTGGTCGATGATCGATGAGGCCTAGGGGCGACACGAGGTGCGACCGTCAACGTGTTGCCAAGGGTCCGAGACGTCGGATTCAAGGCTGAGGTTGGTTTTGATACTTTGTATATGTTGTTCAGCCGGTTTAGCACGCACGTGACCAGCCCCAACAGTACGTAGCGCTAGTAAACAGTTCAACTTTATGTTCTCGCCATCGTCGTGTTCAATAGCCTGACACTTTTTACATGAGTCCTGTACCTTCTAATTCTTCTTCAGTATGACAGACAAGATATCTCTGAAGTCAGCGCTTGCAGTTCTGGAGAATGGGCAATCTGACGAGCTCCAGACTCCATCGTCAATAACTGCGGTCACGGTAACAGATCAAGACAACCTAGAGGAAGGAGAGATTTCCGAGGAAGATGTATCAAGTACTGCTTCAACTCCTCCCCGAATCGCGGGCCAGCTGTTGAATATATCAAATGGGACAAGTCTTTCATCTGACTCTGTTCAGAGCTCCCGTTTATCTTCTCCCTCAATCACTGCCTGCGGCTCGACCGCGACATCAACAACACCACAACATTCGGATACGGGACCTAGTATGTCAACGCTTTTATTCCTCTGTAAATAAAATGTCGATTGAAACTTTCCTTGTAGTGACTCTCCAAGACCTGGATCACACCAAGAACCTCGTACTTGATCTCCTAGGTTGGGGCGTTTCTCCTGAATATCTGGTCGAGGCTGGTGTATCGGCGGGTGTAATATACAGGGTGTTTACCGATCTCAATCTCCGTCTTCCTACAAATCTTGTTCTTCCTCCCACTCGGCCCTTGCCGCCTTCTGGTATACGATAGGCGTCTGTTTCCTCACTGTTCGGACCTTCCGCATTCTGTAATCGCTTTGTCGCCTCTGTTTTCGATACTTTTTCTTCCAGCCTATCGAACATTCGTTTTTTCGAGTTTTGCACGGGAAGTCTGGATCCCCCGGTTCTTGTTGTGGGGTTGATTTTACTGTAAGCTATTGTCATAATCCCTGAGGTATATGAAGGGTGTTTGAAGATCTCCGTCACTCAATTTCCCCATTCATAGGTGGTTTTGACCTGGTCGCATCGGTAGGTTTAAATATTTAACATTACCTGCACCTATATGCATCCCGCTGCTTCGATTCGTCTCACCACAGATATCTCAGTACCATTTTCAATCTACTAACCTTGCCTTAGCTCGCTTTGCCTTTGTGTGCATCATGTGCTTAGGCGCTATTAGCGACTTGTGACATAGCTTAGAATTCCTGTAAGTCTCTGCGTCCTCGGATTGTGCATTACCATCATGAATTCCAATCAGCAGCGGCATTTAGCATCCGAAACTACCTACAAGAGACACAGCAGACATCAGAATATATACATATGTATGGGGCAGAGGAACCGTTGTCGTCGATAACACATCTCATGACTACATGCCAACCGCTTTGTACATCATATACTTCCGCAACTTTTCTGTGCCGCATGCCCACCTAGGACTGGCTGATGAGTTTCTCAAGATCAATGAGTTCACCACCACTAGTCAGGGCAGCCTCAATAACCGCAACGTCCTTCAGTGTACCAAGGGGGCTGCCAAGACCATCATCTTTTCCATCCAAGGCCGCAAAGAAGCTCGCCTGCTCCAATTCCACGCCTCTGATTGGTTCATCAATAACCTCCTCCTTTTCGGGGCCAAGTACTCCATTTGCATCACGGGTGGCCGACTTGATAGTGACGCGAAAAATGGGCTTCTCAACGTTGCGGATGAGGTCACGAGCCAGGGTTTGCTGAACCTCAAGCCAGCCATCTGTACCGGTGATGACAATACCTCGACCTGCGTCGGAACGAGATGGGCTGGGTGCAGCAAAACTGAGTTCGAAAATGCCATGCGAACCGTCTGCGTTCTTTATGATTGTGTTGATGGTATCATGGGGCGCAAGCCACTCCTTGTTGAGCGATGCAAATCCGGACAGGTGAGTCATTGCACTTGGGAGTATGACACGAAGAGCTGCGACGGAGTGCTAAAAGCAAGTCAGTTGCGGCTTTCTGCAAGTATCAGGGACTGACCACACCGCCATCAAGCTATGCTCAGCCACGTGTCAGCTGGTTGAGGTGAGCACAACACGAATCTTACCAGGAAGCCTCCTTGATACTAATCCGATAGAAGCGAAGACACGGGCCAGAACTTGTCAGACCACACATCAGAACGAGGAAATTAACATTTACTTACGTCCGGAACAGTCCGCCACGGGGTCTTATACCATTTTGAATCCTTGTCGATGAAGTTGACGGTACGAGAACTGAAGAAGGTGATTTTTCCTATTTTGCCGGCGGCGATAGCACGGCCAGCGGCGATGAAACCTGGCTCGACCTCGAAATTTTCAGCTACTCTCCACACAAGTCCCTTGGGCTTATACTGCGCTTCATACTGTGCGATCAATTTAGCACCAGACGCTGCATCCGGTGCAACAGGCTTTTCACTTAGCACGTGTTTGCCGGCGGCGAGTGCTTTCAAGATGATGGACGGCTGTTGGGTGATTGGGAGGATGATGATAACGGATGAAATGTCAGACCTGGCAAGAAGTGCGTCAAGATTTAAAGATGAATTTCCGTCAAAGTAGATATCAGGGGTAGTGTTGAGGAGGGCTGTTGCTTGGGCAGCAAGTTCGCGCGCGCTCTTCTCTGATCGCGAGTAAACGGCTCTAAGCTTTGGCGCGAGAGGGCCAAGTATTTGCAGTGCAGGTAGGTGTGCTGTTGAAATATCATCATTATAAGCCTTTTGAATGTTCCCCGGAGGATGAGTGAGTTTGCACACCTTCCTTGGCGAAGAGACCCGCGCCAAGTAAGGCAGTTCCGGCGGTGTTTGAAGTTGACATGAATGATTGTTTACAACCGTCGGGGACGAAGACCTTAAGTGCTATTATGTTTTGACTCTTGAAGCGAGAGGATGTTATATGGTTAGCCCTCTGCGCTTTATTCCTGATATTGAATTCACTATCACGGAGAAATATCGGACAGCACATGATGCACGATATCCACAAAATGAGCAATTACAACAAAGATATGGCTCACATGTTCAACACCATTCGGAATACACTTCCGTGTGTACTCCAAAGCATGTGTTCTTTGGATTAAAGTTGTATCTAATTTTTGTCAGGTGCATTCGATGCCATGCAACCCGGCCCATTGAATGCCTTTACCACGATATTCTTTCCCGCATCCATCTATTTCATCTGTCACTACAGTGAAACAGTAAGGCAGCAACTTGAACAAGGCAGCGAACCAGTTTGCACTGTCTGCTTTTCAAATTCCCAATGCACTCACCCGGATAATTGTCGGTTGCTTTGCTCAGAATCGTCACAGGAACTTCCATGATAGCATGGTAGATCCATGGTAGCAGTATGCTCTGGTGGTTTAAGAGGCTTCACCATTCCCCAAATGCGTGTCTCACCACCCTCTACAATTTGGCTCCCGATTTCATGACCTCTGCAGAAGTTGCAAATAAGTTACCAAAGGACTTCATATGGGGGTTCGCTACTGGTGGGTTTCTCTACGTTTAACGCTGTTCCGCTGATCATAATGTGTTAACGTGTTTTACAGCGAGTTTCCAGATCGAAGGATCCACCAATGTTGATGGACGCGGAAAGTCTATCTGGGACGACTTCTCGAAGCAACCTGGAAAGACAAAGGACGGCCGAGACGGAGATGTGGCCACTGATTCATACAGGCTCTGGAAGGAGGACATCGCCTTGCTTGCTCAGTATGGCGTCAAGTATTACCGCTTTTCCTTATCCTGGTCTCGCATCATCCCGCTTGGTGGTCGTAACGACCCCGTCAATCCCAAGGGCATAGCGTTCTACTCCGATTTCATTGATGCACTACTGGAACATGGAATAATCCCATTTGTTGTATGTGGAACATGTTCGGCTACTTCGGCGCGTTCTCACTACGCTTTTCAGACTTTATACCACTGGGACCTTCCCCAGGGCCTGCACGACAGATATAGCGGGTGGTTGAATAAGGACGAGATTGTGCAGGACTATGTCCGCTATGCCGAGGCGAGTTGTCATGTAATTTTACGCGTATGTTTGAAATGAGCAAAATATGACTGCTAGGTCTGCTTCCGGGCTTTCGGAGACAGAGTCAAGCACTGGTGCGTAGTCACAGTGATGGGGTATTCGGTCATTTCATCAACCATACATCTTTAGGCTGACAGTGAACGAGCCATGGTGTGTCTCAATTCTGGGGTATGGAAGGGGCGTCTTTGCGCCAGGACGATCAAGTGACCGAGAAAGGTCATCCGAAGGCGACTCCTCTACCGAACCGTGGATGTACGTCTACCACTTGCATCTGTCTGTACGCAATCGGCTTGCTGATTCTACGCTACCCCACAGAGTTGGCCACAACGTCATTTTATCGCATGCACACGCAGTCAGGCTTTATCGCGAGCAGTTTAAGGTCACGCAGGGTGGCCAGATCGGAATCACGCTCAATGGTGACTGGGCCATGCCATATGATGACAGTCCACAGAGTAGGCGCAATATTTGGTTTGCTGATGATGAGCGGATATTGATAATACGTGTCTGTGTTTTCAGATGTGGAAGCGGCCCAGCACGCCCTTGACGTAGCTATCGGTAAGTTCGGCCCCTGCCTGTAGCATCTGGTCTGCACTGACGAACAGTTGATACTATCGACAGGATGGTTTGCTGTAAGCTTCAAGTCGTATGCTCTGTCGAGTCGTTAATCAAGCAAATATTTATTCGCCAGGACCCAATCTATCTCGGTCATTACCCGGAATACATGAAACAGATGCTCCAAGAACGTTTACCGGAGTTTACACCAGAAGAATTGAAGGTCGTCAAAGGATCCTCTGATTTCTATGGCATGAACACCTACACCACCAACTTGTGCAGTACGTTCATTTTATCCGCTTTGAGTCTCGTGTGCCTGAACTGTCGTTACAGGAGATGGTGGCGACGATGAATTCCAAGGGTTGGTCGAGTATACTTTCATCCGTCCCGACGGCACTCAATTGGGTACCCAAGGTAGGCGTCTCCTGCCTTCTAGATTTAGAACCGGCAACTCATAGAGATATTGTAGCGCACTGTGCCTGGTTGCAGGACTGTAAGCAATATGAATATGAGACATGGTGAATATTTTTCTGACACGACTATTATGCCCCAGACCCCCGAGGATTTCGCGATGTGAGCATAACTGGGGTTAATGTGGAGAAACATGACTGACTCCTTCGTGTCAAAATAGTTGCTTAATTACATTTGGAAGGTTTGCCCACTAGCTCATGATGTGCATGCATTCCAGCTACTGACGGACATTTGACAGAGATATAAGCTACCTATCTAGTGAGTTATTTCGAGGAAGCAGTTGGTGCGATCCGCTGACCTTGACTTTAGCGTTACCGAAAATGGATTCGCTGTCAAGGATGAGAATTCGAAGCCGATTGAAGAGGCGTTGCAGGACAGTGACCGTGTGAATTACTTCAAGGGTACCACCGCTTCTCTCAAGGCCGCTGTGCTTGAGGATGGTGTCGATGTTAGAGCCTATTTCCCGTGGAGTATGTATTATTATCATTTGCGATCAATTTTTCTGATCGTCTTCTTTCCTAGGCTTTTTAGATAACTTTGAGTGGCGAGTCAGAAAGATCGATGATGTTCCCCTTCACTGATGTCTCCCCAGGGCGGATGGGTACAGCACACGATTTGGCGTGACATACGTCAACTATGAGACCCAACAGCGGTATCCTAAAGAGTCTGCGAAATTCCTTGTCAAGGTTAGTTTGCCATAAAGAGCAAAGGTGCAAGGATGCTTACACACCTCTGCAGTGGTTTGGAGATAACATCGATGCGGGCGACAGGAAACTGCAATGAAAGGACTCTGTTACTCTCGACCGCCTGAGCATTGTTGGAGGACCGGTGTGCAATCGATTATCGATGCTTTTTAGAACCGATTGTACCTATAAGTTAGTGAGATGTCCCAGGAGGATTTAACTGGCTGCTCTTGTTTCGTGTCTATTTACCTGTTGTTTAGTATTTCACATACTATTAGTATGACTGTCATTCGATGAATATTTGTACTCCGTGCCCAGGCAGCAGGTTACATGGTCGTTCCTCGTTTAAGCGAGGGAAGGTGTTTGGGGTCCGCCGCCGCATGTTGTAGGTCCTTGTGAGCAGGCGATACGTTGCAATTATCGTGATTCGTTGTGCGCTTCCAAAATCGTGTGATCAGGCTCAGAAACCTAGAAATTCCATCTACGAGTTGACGACTAGAGTATTATTCCTCGACTTTCATTCGATCTTTCCTTGGTCCATATACCTTGGATTTATATTCCCTCACACACCATGACAAACTATGCTGTCGCTGCCCATCCATATGCCAGCCCAGCAGTAGATCCTACTGGTCACCATGATCCAGAATCGGCTTCCCATACACCAGAGGCCGACGACGCTGCAAAGAAAAGAAAGACCACGAAACGAAGAAAGGTTAACCACGCGTGCCTCTATTGTCGACGCAGTCATATGACTTGCGACGAAGGTAGACCCTGCCAACGCTGGTGAGCACCCATGAGTATACATTATACGTACACTATTGCATGTGCTGACGAGTTTGTAGTATTAAGCGTGAGATTGGCCATCTTTGCCATGATGAGCAGCGACAACCAAAGAGTGGTGGGAAGCAGAGTTCTGATGTTATTCCAACTGCTTCGTCAAACGGTGTTGATCCTGCAAGGTCGATGGCTCGTGCGTATATCACCATTTTATATTCCCATACTGAAAGCGTTCTATGCAGAGCCCATCTATGGTTCAACAATGCCTCCTCCAGCGACCACCGCATGGTCAATGAGTGTTCCTTCAGGCGCATTTATGTATCAGCCCGAAACTTTAGGCAACGAGTTTTCAGTCCTTACGTATGTCATTTTATGATCACTCCGCTATGCGCCCCACTTACTTGTTCCAGCGACTTCTTGGAAACCCTAGATGAGGGATCTTTCTTCACCACATCTCCAGCAGTGACTCCCTCCCTCATGCCTACTCCTGCATTCCCTCAGGCCACTCCATACATCTCAAATTCTACTTCTACTGCTGAAGCGACATCCAATCCTCCAACACATCCCCCTGAGGCACCTGCTGAAGAACCTGCACCCCCTCTTCTACCGTCTGCCACCAAGACAGAAAAGTTTTTGTTGACTGCTGCAGATCAGGAGTCAGGTACTCGTGACGAACGACTGAACCGCGTTATTCGGAGCAAATACGAGGCAGGTTTGCTCAAACCGTATGATTATGTCAAGGGCTATGCACGATTGTCAAGGTGGATGGATCGCAAGTACGTCAACATCTTCGTGTTGAGACAATGATTTGACACCTGTTCATCTTAAGTGTATCTCGACAATCGAAGCAGCAAATTCTGCAGCCGTTATCTGTGCTACGACCCAAGTTCCGAGTGAGCGAGGAGCCTTTATAATATTTGCTAAAGTTGCTGATCATAATTAGGCTGTTGCGCAATCCCTACGCGATATCGTAAGTTTGATGTCCTTGTTGATGCATTTTGCGATTGACCATGTTGCAAGGACCTCGTATTCATAGAAGAGGCTTTTGAGCGATTGCTTCTTGATTACGACCGTGTCTTCTCAGCCATGGGTGTCCCAGCGTGTCTCTGGCGCCGAACGGGTGAGATCTATAAAGGAAACCGCGAGTTTTCAGAACTCGTAGGCGTTGATGGATACATGATGCGAGACGTAAGCTGCCTCAATGTGACTACCAATGCCAGCAAGAGCTTATGCCTTCTATGTAGGGCCGCCTCTGTATCTACGAGCTTATGGCAGAAGAGTCAGCAGTCAATTATTGGGAGGTGAGCGCCGTCTATTGTAAGACGCTTCAACTTTTGACCACGCATGTTAGAAATACGGCCATGTTGCCTTTGATTCTTCTCAGAAGGCCGTACTCACTTCTTGCGTGCTACGTTATAAACCCCTTATCAATACGCAGTCGCAAACGCTGAAAAAAGAGGATGTCCCCAATGAGGAGGGCTTCGTAAACTGCTGTTTCTCGTTCACCATCAGACGGGATAAGTGGGGCATACCGAGTATGATCGTTGGAAATTTCATCAAGTGCTGACGGGGATGCTGGTGGTTGGAGGTTATTGTGTAGAGAAGTAACGAGTTTATCTTGTAAGTTATGATAAATCACAAATTTCAGTTAGAATGGGTTCCTGGTGCGCTGACCAAAAGTCAAAAATTTCTTCTACTCTCCAAGCTTCAGGACTTCTCTCCTGTAGATGTGCTTTGAAGTGTGCAGCAGGAAATGATCAGACGATGACAAGGGTAAATTTCGTCCGCCTGTCCTGCTTTTCGGTTCCCCGTCACGATGGTTTGATCTGTTGCATGCCTCTTCATCCCGGCTTCGAGAAGCTGACGAGCAGTTGGAAAATAACATTGGTATGGTCTCAGGTTGTCTGTCAATTTCGACTGTCGTACTGAGGTCTAGTGTATTAACGATGGCATGCTCAGAAGCCAAGTGCTCTGATGTCTGCAGCGGTGGACATGTCTCATCCCAGGGATCTATAAAAGGTCCAGCTTCTTCCACGACTGGAGTCAGAATGTCGTGACCAGGACGGATGAGATTCGTACAGCGACCAAGGGCACACTCGCCCGGTACCAACGAGCTAATTCCCACTGTTATGAACAACACTCTCGAAGGGGTTGATATGGAGGAAATAGTAGATATTTCTTTCGCATCTGCAACCAATTGCAATAACGCTAGCAAGATTATCGCGAGGTATAATTGAAGGTGATCTAAATTGTGTGCAGATCTTGGGGCCCTCCCTACTAGGTCTGTTGTTGCCCGTATTCCTGAACTCACAGCACTTAGCAATACCTACTGTCAGTTTGATGCAAAAAATCGTATTCTGAATCGCAGTGATCCGTCGGTGCATCAGGGCATTTCTTCAGAGCATGCCAAAGAGTGACATTTGCAAGTATTGCTAACCCATGTCCGACGCGTGTGGGACGAGTCTCGACAGAATGAAAGACCAAATGAAACGACGGTGCCAGCCTGGCTCGTCTACCAAACAACTAACTAACAGACCTCGAACTCTATGTCACCCGCTCTACGCCGATTCACGGAACCTTGGTATTTCAGCGTCAAACCTAAGTGCAAGTGTGAATACAATTGGAATGGGTTGCGTGTCGATAGACGCACCAAGTCCAGTCATGTCTCGTTACTGTTCCGTGGTAAAGTTTGCCTTGGGAGAGCGCCCACCTACGAATTGCCAAAGAAAGCGAATCACTGGGAACCAGATAGTTATAACGGAAGACAGTGGTTGCGATGAGTTTGGCATCGATTTCTGGTACACTGAGACTGGCGATGCTGGATGGCTCGGTCAATATTGTCCAACCGTTCTGGGTTGAGGGGTCCCATGAAAATTGTTCTGAGGATGGGGACAACGCTAGACGCGGCGTGACTCCCGATGTATCCAGCGGAACGGTCCAACAGTGACGATCACCGACCCATCGTGTCACGTTCGGGAGGAATGGAGATTCATAAGGCTGCGCGAGATCCCCCGGCATGAATACTGAATAGGCTCTCCAACCTCTCTTGATATACTTTGCGAGGACATCTGGGCGGTGCCTCGATCCGGGGATTTTGAGTGCGCTTCGGTCCTCGAATGTTGCGATTGGGTAGAATGAATATGCCGCATCGAAAGTAATGATATTCATAACGCAAGCTGGAACCGAGAGCATCAAAACTCATGTGAAAGAAAGGGAATAGTCTGGACACACTTGAGTGATATTTCATGATAGTATCGATGGGGTTGTAGGTTGTCTGAATAACTTGGACCTGAAGCTCTACATGTTCTCCATCTGACATAACTATAAACCGTTTGAAGGTGTAGACTTCAGCGATGTTAGAATACCGCGCCAAGCGCACATCCTCTTCTTCTTCCTGCGGTGGGTCCAGGACTTGGAGCATTCTCGGCATTGTGCCATCCCAATCAGGTGAAACTTGGTTATGCCAGTCCTCCACTTGATACCTGTGTGGTTCAAACTGATACCCAAAGCTCTCGATCCACTCTAGCACCTCGTAAACGTGACCAGGGTGAGAGTAGATGTCGAGATCTGACTCGGGGTAGAAGGTACGGTCCAAAAATTGAAGTGCATTTGATCCTGAAATGATGAGACCAGTTCGCGCTTGGAGAGAGCGAAATGAGAGGGGATCCGGGAAATAACGAGACAGGTGTCGGTCGATGTTGTATGCGCGCTGGAAAAAATGAGTTACTGCTTCGTGTATCATGTGACATGTGCGCGACAGTCGCACTAGGGTGCGAGGACTCAGATCGCGGAATATGAGGTCGTAGATAGGGGCACTGGAAAAGACGCGTATCACGCGGCCAGCCCTAGGCGGCCGTTGGCGTGCAGCGAGCGACCTCCACATCAATTTATAAGTCAAAGACGATTGAACGTTAAACGTTCGAACCAAATTTGCATGAAGTAATGCTTACATAAGAGTTACAGTAAGTTTGCAGTAAGTACTGCCTTCAGAGAATCAGCACGCTCTCTCCAGACGTGGCATCAGCTGAAGGTCTACTAGATTGCTGAACGAATGAGTGTAAGACATTTGGTTGTTGAACGTTGATTCTTCTTCAAGTTGGCAGGATCCTGAACCTCCGACCTGAGTTACTAATAGCCTATGGCTCGTCCTTGATGACACCGATGTCCGACAAGTTGAATCCGAGTCCAAGCACATAATGCTATATTTCTAATAGTATAGAGAATAGGAAGTGAGATGCACATTATGAAAGTGGAGTTAGTTATTTATGGTAATCCTAATAATACAGGAAGTGAGATGCACATGAAGGGTAAGAGATGTGGAAGGAGGTGAGAAGTGAGAAGTAAATGCAGTTCAAATGCAAAAATACCCCCCTCCCCCTACCAGGAATTATATACCAGGGTTGATGAGGTAGGATGAGAGGTAGAATGATAAATGACTTACCTTCAGCTCATGCACTGTGCCCTATGCCTGAGTACATATTTTCAATTTCAGATGAAGTCTGATAGGAATCTGATTAAGTCCAGAGGCAGGCTACTCTGGTGGAGTACCAGAGGACTTCTGGAGAAGTGCAGGAAATGCCTGGAGGAATTCAGTAAGTTCCAGTAGGATTTTGTCTGCTTGACAAAGAGAAGTGTAAAGACTACTCAGCACTTGACAAACAGAGAAATGGATGCAGAGACAAAGTCCAGTACAGAAAGGAACCATGGAACTGGGATATAATCATTAGATAAATACAGTCTGGAATCCTGGATAAGATAAAGTCTGGATATCTGACTGAATGGAACATGCTCAGAGTGATTAGGAGTGAGGATGGATAACATATGCTAGCTATAGGAGTCCAGAGTTCATAGGTGGAATGATGGATAATAATAGAGATAGGAACCAGAGATCCAGTATATGACAATCTGCTTCTTATCTATATCACATACATCTCTTACCTACTAGAAAGGAAGCAGTGGAGAAGTATCTGAGGCATAGATAAATAATATATATATATATATATATATATTGTCTGACTGTGTGAGAAGTGATTTACACTGTAGTGCCTTTATTGTTAGATAAGTTGGAAGTTGGTGAGAAGTGTATCAGAAGTAGAGGAACTGGTTGATAAGTGCATGAGTCAAGAGGAGTGCGATCAAGAAGTTTCTGACATACACCTCCCAAAGCATCGGATACATCCCCTACCCCCATGACAGCGTGATCGTCACTTAATTATTCCATATATGGAAGCTTAGTTAGTCTATTTTAAACGCTAATGAAGTTAAAGAGAGAATAATTGCAAGATGATTGCTAGAGAACGATATAAAAAGTGAGCAAAGTAGCAAGTGCAATACATAACAGTGACCTATCCGTTCCGTGGTGCGACTGTAGCAAGTGAACAAACATGCATGAAAACAAGTAGCAAAGCAAAGCAAGTATGATAGCAGTGGGATGGAGACTCGTCAAACAAGTGAAGTGGTAGGAGTGATCTGCATCTGTTTCATCACAGTATGAGCTTGTTTGGAAGGTAGGGTCACAGCAGGCTGAAGAGCATGACACTTGCCTTTGGAACTTGATCCCATGGGATTCACCTTCTCTGATGAATCATTGGAAGCAGCAGGCTGCTTGTGTCAAAGACTTGAATTGTCCTGCACCCTATAGAGGAACAGTAGACAAGATGCTTGTTTGACACCACTCCTTGCAGTCAGGACAGCATAGGCTCCATCTCTGCTGCGGACTGATGGCAGTTTTAAGCTCTTGTGCCTTGAATAACTGATAAAGCGGCTCAGGTTATTTAATTTGAGTTCTTTGACAACATCAATGTCAGAATGCGTGATTGTAATGCTGGTAATGGAGGCTATGGATGAGCCTGTAGCTGAGAAGCCAGAATTAGCAGAATTAGAGAAATAGCTATCATATTCATCAGGAAAAAGTGTTAATGCTATATAGTTGTATATAGTACTATATAGCACTATACCAGCTATATAGCTGTATAGCTGTATAGTCAAGTACCCTATTATATGGGCTCATTATAGTATAATATAGCGCTATATAGTGCTATACTGTGGACTATAATGCAGCACTTTCTCTATAGTTACCTATATTCAACATGTGTATCTTTCTATAGCTTTTGATATAATTGACTTATTCACAATTGTTTTCATAGATCTCAAAAAATTCATTGAAGTACTAAAATACATGACAAGTATCTGATATGATCTAAACTAGAGGAGAGGAGAGTCAAAAATGCAGGGCTAGAAAGAGAGGGTCAGAGAGGGAAGGATAAGAAAGAAAGAAAGACTTACCAAATGGTCAAAAATGCAGAGCTAGAACAAGCAGAAAAAGAGGGAGGAGGAGGAGGAGGAGGAGGAGGAGGGAAGAGACCTAGAAAAAGGAAAGGGTCAGGGAGGGAAGAAGAAGAAAGATAGAAAGAAAGACTTACCAAATAGTCAAAAATGCGAAGCTAGAACAAGGAGAGGGTCAAAGAAAGAGAGAGAGGAAGAGAGAGGAGGATGAGGAAGAGGAGAAGGAGGATGGAAATAGTAAAAAATGTGAAAATTATTGAGGGGAAGGAGGAGAAGGAGGAGGGAAGGAAAAGACAGCGGGAGAAAGGAAGGAAAAGATGGGAAAAGACATGTGGTTGACCGCATTTTTGCTTATATAAGCAGTCCCAAACAAAGCCACATCACAAGACTTGGTGAATTTTCAAGTTTTTGATTAAGATCAGACTAGGATTGTGATAGTAAGGAAAGACAATGACATTGTCACATTTTTGCTTACTTGACCATGGGAACTTTTTCCGATGAAAACCAAAGTTGTAGTCCTTGTCAAGGAGAGTCTATCCATAGTCTAATGGTATCAATAGATTAAGATCCTAGTGAGTTATAAGCAAAATACTCAAAAGTGGATGGTTCAAGAAAGCACCTGGACCGTGGGAACTTTTTTGATGAAAACCAAAGTTGTAGCCCTTGTCAAGGAGAGTCTATCTATGGTCTTGTGTTTATCAATAGGATAAGATCCTAGTGAGATATAAGCAAAATACTCAAAAATCATAGACACTTTTTTTTGACAACAATGAGATGTTTTGCATTTTGACACTTTTTCTGTGCCAAACTTTATGCTAATTAATAGATTTCTACAGTGGTCTATATACTATTATAGCTGGTCATAGAACTGTACAGAGCTATGGCATAGTATGGAGGCTATATAGAGGAGGGTCTTCTATATAGAGATACAGTTTTTCCTGATGTTGATCATCCGGTGCTAATGTTACTTGAAAGTCTAAGTCAGGGCTACATAAATATCTGGATGAGTCACTGTGTGATGATTGATCGTCTTCTGATGGAAAGCAGGAGTCATATTGAGGGGAGTACATTATAAAATTATTACAGTGGTGATGTAGGATGACAAGAAGAGCACGACACATCAATACTAATATATCTTAATATCAATGCATTAATAGTATCATGTGCTTTATTTTTTTTACATGATTCACTAGTTTGGCAAGTAACTCCCTTCGACATATGAATTTCATTGAAGCAAGTATCTAGACATATTCTACAATAATAAGAACACCCCCCTCCCAGTACTTGCTGAACAATTTCATGTGGATTTGAAGTTGTTATCGAGAAGCTCAGAAGCAGTGCTCAAAAAGATTCATGTGGCTGTGATTTAAAGGTTTCTGCTTATCCAATGGGTAGGCGTATATTCGGCATTTTGCAAACACACTCCTCTTGGCATGAGTGGTAGTTAGATCCATAGCTGATTCTTTGTGTATCAAGGAAGTCGAACTTTTGCTCCCTGACATAATTGTACCATCTCCATCATATGCAACCAGGCTTTGTAATACTTAGTTTCATTGCTCATGTGTACATGCACAAAATATGTCCACTCACTCGCTGGTGACCTGCAATGTTCTGTAGTGCTGAGGCATAAGAAGAAGGTGAGAAGTAGGTGAGAATACATATGATATATTTCTTATTATATTCTCATGTACTTATCCACTTCTCACCTTCTTTTCATGCACTTTCTATTTATATACAGAAAATCAAGGAGGTAATTTATATAGAGAATAATGAAAAGCTATAATATCTGTTTTCACCTTGATCCAATTTTCATGTGCTTCTCACCTTCTTATTATACACATCTCACCTACTTCTCATGCACTTCTCACCTACTTCTCATGCACTTCTCACCTACTTCTCATGCACTTCTCACCTACTTCTCATGCACTTCTCACCTACTTCTCATGCACTTCTCACCTACTTCTCATGCACTTCTCACCTACTTCTCATGCACTTCTCACCTACTTCTCATGCACTTCTCACCTACTTCTCACCTACTTCTCATGCACTTCTCACCTACTTCTCACCTACTTCTATCTATTGGAGTCGAGCATCTATGGTGACCATAGATGTTCCTGGAGGGAACATCTTAATTTGGTTAGTAAAGGGAACAAAGGAACACCAAGACTAATATTCTGTGGGAAAAGAGGGAACACTATGTCTTTATTTGGTTAAGACAGTGGGAACACAGGAACATCATGTGTCATTATCTGTGGGAAAGAGGGAACACTATGTCTTTATTTGGTTAGGACAGTGGGAACGCTGTGGGAAAGAGGGAACACAGGAACATTTATTGGGAACACTCCGTGGGAAGAGGGAACATAGGAACATCATTTGTCATAATCTATGGGAAAGAGGGAACACATTCTTTCTCTGACCTTTAACTCACCACTTGTATTTTCGCATTTTTCACAACCTAGGTGCCTTTAATTCATTATACCCTTGCTTTCATATCATTATAGCATATCTTCACAACATATATGAACCCATCCCAGCCCTTATTTGACCTCCTAGAGCGCCCTATATCAATTCCTGTACTATACCAACATCAAAAATAAAACAGGTTCACC